TAGTGCCAAACATCCGGACGGTTTTTTCCCTCAGTGTACGCTGCAGTCGCTAACGCCGAACCCACCGGGCGGAACACCTGGTTCTTGGACAGTTGCTGCGGTCAGCACATGTGCTCCTCCGGACGCTTCGTACAACACGAGCGACGCCTCAACCGTGACGTCGTCATCACCGTCGCCAACAACGAAAACCTGAAAACAAATAGACAAGGCGTGGTTCAGTTACAATCAATGGAGACAAACGTTATTCTTCAGCTCAACAAGGTCCTCATCGTCGACAATCTGGGATACAACCTATTAAGCGTAAGCCAACTAATGGCTAAGGGGATTCACCTGGAGTGCGACTCCTTCTCCAACGAGTTCCGACTTTACCACGGGAAGGGCGGTCTCTTCATCGGTCGTGCCCTCCTGAAGTCCGGTGTCTTCGTGTTGGACTTCGTCCCCGACCGCGGAACTGCCGACAGCGACGGTATCGTATCCTTCGCCGCCTGGACTCATCCGCCAGATCTTGATCCCGACTTCGACAGCGACGGCTTCTGGCACTCCAACACCATACCTGCAGCAGAAAGAACACGAGCATTAGCAGTTATCAGACAAGAAAGACAAGTACCCGCATGTGTCCCAACAAAACCATCACCTGCAGTATCGGCAGCAGGACCCAGCCGAGTACCACCACCAGCGACACGAGGACAGCCAACCGAAGCAGACCAACTTATGCCCGCCACACGAGAAGCTTGTCGAAGTCCCGCCTCGGTCGTCGCGTTCTTCTCCAACGCCGACATCTACCACCGCTCGCCCGGTCACCGCGCTCCCGACGACATCTGGCACCAACGTCTCGGACATCCTGCAAACAGCACGATACTTCAAACAATCCAAGCAGAAGTGTTAGAACGCAACGCCCTTCTGACGACGAGCGGCCAGGAACTCCGACGACCACGCGCACGGTGTTTCACATGCCCCGAAGCAGATCTTCCTCATCAACCTTTCCCAGCCCATCACAATCCAAACGCACCCACTTACGCTCCGATGGAAAAGGTCTACAGCGATATTCTAAACATGCCTCGAGACGACACCGAAGCCGACTTCAACTACGTCATCACGTTCATCGACGCCGCAACCAGATACGTCTGGCACTTCAATCTCAAAACGCGCGATCAAGCCTTCGAGGCATTCACCACATGGCTCCAATCGCCGAACGAGAGTCAGGAACCAAACTCAAGAGTTTCCAGTCAGACGGTGCACTGGAATACCAGTCACAACGCTTCAGGACCTATCTCGCGGAAAGGGGAATCCGACGCCTGGTGTCTCTGCCCTATGCTCACCAGCAGCAGGGGTAGCAGAACGCATGAACCGGACCTTGCAGACGACGATGCGAAAACTGCTTCTGGGGATGAGGCTGCCCAACGCACTGTGGCCAGACGCGATGACACATGCAGTCCACCTGCACAACCTGTTGTCCTCGTCATCGCTCCCCAACAACGCATCACCACACCTGCTGTGGACGGGAAAAAGGGGCAGCACAAAATTACTTCGAGTTTTCGGCTGCATGGTACAATACAGACCCCACACAGCTCGAGCAGGACGCTTCACTCAACGAGCTCGGTGGGGACTACACCTCGGCATCGCCAAACATTTTCACGCGTGGAAGATCCTCGACATACAAGACAAAAATACGGTGGCATCACGTGATGTTATCTTCTACGAGCGACTGACGCTGCAGCATTACCTGGACAACATTGCCAACTCAGACGACCCCACCGACGGCTTCGCGGGCCTTCGCTCCTTCGCTGACCATGCTGCCGAGGCTGACGCAGCAGAAGAAGACGTACCTGGAGCCTCGGAAGCTGCCGGGCCACTCCCATTCTGTTCCATACCTGTTCCACTCGATGAAGATAATCCCCTCGATAGCAACAACCTCGACACCTTTTACCACTTCGCCGACCAAGGTTACGCTACACCGCACCCCGTCGACACGAATATTTCGGAACGCATCGGCCCCAATTTCTTACCTGACCCCGAAGACGGTGACGAAGCAGCTTATTCGGGGAATGACAATTCCCCTCGACACACACCCACGGGACTCCAGATTCTAGGCCTCTGGGTCTCCGTCCAGCATCCGCCGCCGCCTTCTACGCGTGAGCCTTCAACCTTGTCGCAGGCTCTGGGGGGGAACATAAGGCAAAATGGAAAGAAGCGATGGAAAAGGAGTTAAAAGCTCTGCAAGACCGAGAAACATGGAAACTGGTACCTGCAACGAGCATCAACGGGAAGAACGTTCTCTCGGGGAAATGGGTGTACCGCATCAAGACCAACTCAGACGGCTCCATCGAACGATTCAAAGCTCGATGGGTCGTACGAGGCTTCGATCAACGATACGGAACCGACTACACAGAAACCTTCGCCCCAGTCTCCCGTCACACCTCATTACGCATCCTACTCGCCGTCGCGGCCACAAAAACACTACCACTACGCCAAATCGATGTCGCGAATGCGTTCCTATACGCACCTGTGGACGCTGAGATCTTCGTCGAACAACCCCACGGATTCATCGACGACCCCACGAAAATATGCCGACTGACAAAATCCCTATACGGGATCAAGCAAGCCCCGCGGCTCTGGCAGCAGCATCTTCACAGCCGTCTCGTAAAAATCGGCTTCCTACAGCTGCCGCATGACCAAGGGATGTACCGACTGCAGAAGGGAAGAGAGTATGTTCTGCTCATCGTCTACGTCGACGACCTGCTCTACATCGGCTCAACTACCGACATCGCCACCTGGTTCGAAGGGGAGCTGAAAGAAGATTTAACTCTCACGGTGTCCGACGAAGTTACGCAGTACCTAGGACTGAACGTCGTCGAAGACGACACGGCGTTCTACCTACACGCTGGAAAGTACTCAAGCACCGTCGCGAAGAAATTCGCTCTAACACCGACTGCGGTCCCAACTCCCTACCGCTACGGGAACAACGGCAGCGCCTCTACAAAACTCCCCGCAAAACAAATCCAGGAGTATCAACAGAAGCTCGGCTGCCTACTATTCGCAGCAGTAACCTGCCGACCCGACCTATCCTATAGTGCGAGTCAGCTGGCGACACATCTGAAGCATCCGCAACAGGAAGATCTCGAAGAACTCAATCGAGCGCTACTCTACTTCGTCTCCACGCCGACGATCGGGCTTACCTACAGCAAGGCAACAACACCGTCCGTACGACTACTCGGATACGTCGACGCCGACCACGCGGGAGACAGCGAAAATCGACGGTCTAGGACGGGCTACATCTACCGACTAGAACCTATCGGAACTATCTCCTGGCAGTCGAGCAAGCAGGAGTTAATCGCACTATCCTCGGCTGAAGCAGAGTATATCGCCCTTTGTACTGCGACCAAGGAAGGACTCTACCTACGAGAGTTACTCGAAGAAGCGAAGATCGCGACCCTGCCCGCCTTCTCACTCCTCTGCGACAACCAATCTGCGATCAAAATCGCGAACAAGGACGGCTTCGCCAATCGAACCAAGCACATCGCCCTGCGGTACTTCTTCGTCAAGGATGAAATCGCGAAGGGGAGACTTCAACTCAGTTACTGCCCGACGACAGAAATGGCCGCAGATTATCTGACGAAGAAATTGGCGAAAGCAAAATTCGACTACTGCATGCTCCTAACCGGGCAAACAAACGCCACCGGATCTGAACACTCCAGCACTCCAGAAACGAAGGGGAGTGTTGGAAATATCTCAAGGACTTAAGCGTTTCTGAAGTGTAACACTGTACTCGAGGAAGATTACAGGGGAGCACGCGAGTCAACGGAGGTTACACGAGGGGCGGACAAAGAATGCGAAAGGACTCGAAAGGTCGCAACTGGAGGTTGCGACTGACCGTTACAACATCACGGATGGTAACCGAAGCGGCAATCGAGTCGCTGTGCGATTCGATAAACCGTTCCTGTAACTGTATTCTACAACTGCTTTCTTATCTACTATATATTGCTGTATGCTTGTTTCTTTAATCAATCACTTGTTCTCACATACTAGTACAAGGGTTCAACTGCCTCAACTTCCGCTGCACTACTCCAAGTCTCAAGTCTCTACAGCTGGGACTTAGTCTCTGCAAAAGATCCTAAGGGCTTTTCTCAGCCCAACAAGTGGATCACACAGTTCCGAACAGCCTTCCTCGGAGCATCCACCGCACTGTACCACTGCAGAACCACGTCAAAACCGTGCTGAAAATCACTCTACCACTCTGGCCATCCTAACTTTCACAATTTCATATCTGAATGTTCTAATTGCCTTCAGTGCAAAGCACTCCACCCTCACTGTGCAATTCATGCACGAGAAAAGATCAAATTTCCGTAAGGGGTGTTCCGAGAATTGAACTCGGGACCTCTCGCACCCTAAGCGAGAATCATGCCACTAGACCAAACACCCGTGCAAAAAGGCCCAGATGGTTTAAATATACTACAAATATTTTCTAGCTCGATTTTGCAACGTCGCCTGAAGACACAAGCGACACCGCCGCCCTTTGCCAAACCTGCCGCGTCGCACGTCGGTCGCCTCGCCCCTCTACCGCAATCCTGATTGGTCAAGAGTGAAGTTGCTCGCCCCTTCTGTTTCGATCGGGTAAAAGCGGGCGAGGTGCCGCAGAGCAGATCTCGAGGCAGAGCCCCCCCGGAGACTGACGCAGGGAAAAAGGATTCTCTTGAAGCAGCCAGGGCAGGGAACAAGGCTCCAGCGAACTGGGCCCTAGGACGTGGAAGAATGCGTCCAGTTCGCAAGATCGCTTTCCGAACTTCGAACAGTATCGTGTTTTAACACGTTGCATCTGTTTGCACCGTATTAAAACCTTCTTTAAGCCCTTCAAAATGATCCGGACGCGGATCGATTAGGGCAATTCGGACGCAATTTTCCACGTCCTAGGAATTGTCGGGGAAGAAATTCCGCAGAGTGTCGGGGAGGGAGGGATTCCAGTGGCCAGTCATTCAGGCAAGAGCGGTTGCAGTTTGTGTGGGGCGTCAGATGGTATTCGGAGTCTCAAGTTACGCTTGGAGCTGGTGATTTGAGTTATGGAAACCTTTATGAGTTGACTACTGACTGATGACTTCGGGATAGACTCTGGTATGGAGCTATTTTCCAGCCTCAATAACCGGCTTCTGTGGCGGTGGTCGCACGAGCCGTCACTAGATTTCTTCTCAGACGTGTTTCGTCGCGGTTAACATATTGACTCGCAGAGTATCCGCAAGCACCGTCACGCATTATGTGAACTGCTGGCGCTGCATCGAGCAGGAGAGCCGATTCGTCAGCAGGTTGAGGAAATGGTCGCAGGAGCTTTAGCGGATTCCGTGTTGTAAAAAGCAATTCCGTAGATTAAAGCCCGAAGGTGACGTTAACAGCGCTCCGGGATTCACGGAAGCCATGGCTGCAGGAATCGTTGCGGATCCCGTCGCCGCGCGAAGCGTCGGACCCGTGGAGTCCTCTCCACTTGGATGGCCGCTGTATAGGGGAGAGAAGTTGACACCTGTTTCTCGTGCCACGCCCGACCGCCGTAACTTATTTATCGACGCAGGAAGGCGACGCGATAGGGTTAGGGACGAGCGCGACTGGTCCCGCGAAGGCGGGGCTGGCGAAAGGAGGGTAGCGCCACGTGGCACGCAGGAAGGCGAAGGTCAGCGCAAGCAGTCTCCACGTGGCAGTTCTGGATTCGGCGGTGCCAACTCAGAGGTTTCTCCGAGGGAGCGGAAGCGGTACAGGTGCGTTCGGGAATGGGTAGGCGACAGGTAGGCGACAGATAGGCGGCAGGTAGGCGACAGATAGGCGACAGGTAGGCGACAGATAGGCGACAGGTAGCCGTAAGGCGTGCGACGAGTACCACAGGTATACGGCGATAGACGAGGATGTTCCCTCCTCTCCTGAGAAGCCGAGGGCGATAGGTGCGGGATGGCGCGTGGGGAGTTATGTGTTTTCCGTGCTTCGTGCTTCATGCTTCGTGCTTCATGCTTCGTGCTTCATGCTTCATGCTCCCTGACCCCTCTTGCGCTCTGGCCTATCCTTATCATCTCTGTGCGTGTCTCCGCTGTTCTCCCCACTTCCCATCAGCTATCGGGAGTTCAATCCTCCTACCTCCTTTCCTTCTGGAACCAGCCGCACCACCCCTCCCCCTGCCCCTCCCCCCGACGTCCCTCCGCCTCTCGCTATCCCCATCCCCTTCCTCAACTTCCGCCGACGCTCTCGCTCCCCTAACCCCGCGCGCTCCCCCTCCCCCACCGGCGCACGCTCCCGCTCCCGCTCTCGTTCGCGCTCCCCGCACCGGCCCTGGCTCTGGTTTTCCTCCAACGCGGAACACTCTCCGCGCCAACCCCGTTCCCCTGGCCCTGTCCGCGACCCCGCGGCCGGCGCATCCACCTTCCGCCAAGCATCTCCCCGCGGGGACCCGCTTCACCAGGACCCTTCCGCCGGAGCTCCCCCCGTCGCCGCCGCTGCAGGCCCCTTTTCCGTGGCTGCTGCGCGGGTGACGGGCTTCTTCGGAAGATCGCACGTCCGAAGCAGTTCTCCACGTCCGGCCCGAGCCAGGCCGCCCGAGCCTGAGGCGCAGGTATGGGATTACCCCGCCCCTGCCACGAGAGAGCTGGTGTCGTTCCGCGACCTGGTGGCGGGCGCGCGAGAGAGGGCGCACGCTAAGGGGCAAGCGGAGAGTGCCACTAACGCGGATGCGGGGTTGTATTCAGGCCAGTCGATGGGCCACCAGCACGCGGAGTCGAATTCTCGTGATGTTACAGCGGGTATTGACGTGGACGAATCGTTTGTAGAGCCTGTGCTGCGCTCTGACAGGGCAGCCGGAAAATTGCGCCTGATTCCGCCACTTTCCGCTTTTAGCATGCCTGGTGCTGCTGCTGCTGCTGCTGCTGCTGCTGCTGCTGCTGCTGGTGCTAGTAGTGCTGGCAGTGCTGGTGGCGATGGCAGTGGTGCTGGTGTCAGTGGTGGGCGTGGTGGTAGCAGCGTTGGTGTTGGTGGCAACAGCAGGGGAGGAGGCGTTTCTGGTGGGGCGGAGAGGGAGGAAGCAGGGTGGGAGGAGGAGGGGCCGTCGAGTCAAGAGGAGGATAACCCCTATCTGAAGCCCGGGGTTTCTTACTACAGCAGCGTTACGATCCCAAGGGTGAGGCAGGGAGAGTCGTCCCCGGACGGGAGGCAGGGAGGGGTGTCTCCTGACGGCGGCAGCACTGACAGTCACTTAGACGCATCCTTCCCCCTGCCTCTGCCGCACACCTACCATCCCAATGATATCACCTACGGCGTTGAGAACTCGCCGTCGCCCATCTTGTTCTCCCCGCCCCACCCCTCTCACCCTCACAACCCTGCACACCCGTCGCACCCCGCACACCATTCGGCACACCACGCCTCTTCAGACCAGGGAGCTGATCCCTACCGAGATGACTCCCAGCACTACCAATCCCTACAGCACGCACAGCAGCAGCAGCCGCAAGCGTATCAAGGCCCCTCCCAGCAGCACCAGCAGCAGCAGCACGTGCCCCCAGCGGCGTATCTCCTGCGCAAGACGCCATCTGCGCTCAACCGCTTCTCCCTGCCGCGGAAGCCGGGGGAAGAGGAGGAGCAAGCCCAGGGCGCGGGGTCCGGGCGCCACGCAGAGAGCGGGGTGGGTCGGTCGGAAACCATGGCGGGGCGGTCGAGGAGCAAAGGCAGCAGCCGGTGCTGCAGAGGTGGGGTGGAGACAGGTGGCGAGCAGGGGCAGGGACAGCAGGGGCAAGGGCAGCAGTGGGAGGAGGCGAATGGGCAGTTGGAGAGTGAGGAGGAGGAAGAGGGGGAGGGGGATGGAGTGAGTGAGGTGCCGTTTCATGCGATAGTGGCCGGGTGCAAGGCTGAGGTCGGATTCGTCTCTCTCCATGTCGCTAAAGTCACTCTCTGTACCGTCACATGGGTCAGTCCAGCAACCCCCGTCCGCAGCTGACTCGCAAGCACAATCCGACTCCTCCTCCCACTCTCACTCGCTCCCTCACTCTCACTCTCAACACTCTCACTCCCACCACTCACACTCGCACACTCTCCAGCCACCCCACTCCCACTCCCACTCTCTCCCCTCCAGCGGCTCCCTCCCCCCGAGCAGCCTGCTGCGCGCCCCCAGCAACGTTCTACCAGCAGCCAGCAACATCCTGCCGTCCAGCGGCCCTCTGCCCTCTAGCGGCTCTCTCCCCCCTCTCTCCCCGGCTCGCTGCCTACTAGCGGCGCTATTCCCGCCTCTCTCCCTACCAGCGGCCCTATTGCCCTCACCCCATCCGCCCAATCCGCCCAATCCGCCCAATCCGCCTCCTCTGCTGACGTGGTTCCATCCCTGGTATCCTTCGTGCCTCTCCCCCTGAGCTCGTACAGCGGGAGCGGGCGAGGGGGAGCGGAAGGGGTCGGTGGGGGGTTGGGGGAGGGAAGGGGGGAAGAGGAGGGGTGGGAGGAGAGGGAGGGGGGTTGAGGGGAGAAAGAGGAGGGTCAGAGGGTCGGTTTGGGGGGATCGCGGAAGGGGATGAGTGCGAGTCGCCGTTCAGAGGGGGAGTAATGGAGGGGGGGGATGAGGGGGTTGAGGGGGAGGGGGAGAAGAAGAGGAAGGAAGGGGGTGGAGAGGAGAGGGCCGGAGAGCTGGTGAAAGGGGGGGATGAGAGGAGAGTGGGGCGAGAAAGGGCCGTGGGTGGTTGGTCGAGAGGTAGGACACGGACGACGGAGATTGAAGAGGTGGTGGAAGGGCAGGGAGAGGGTCAGGGAGAGGGGCGGGGAGAGGGGCGGGGAGAGAGGGCGGAAGGGCAAGGGGTGACGTGGGAGGCGGGGACGAAAGGGGAAGGGGAAAGGGGAGGGGGAACGCAGAGAGGAGGAGAGGGATTGGGGGCAGGAGGATGTGCATGAAGACCCCTGGATGCAGCGGCTGGGGGTGCTTCAGGTGAAACCTCAGGTGGATCCTCAGGTGGAAGCATCAGAGCATGCAGAAGGGCATGAGAGTGGGAAGGAGAGCAGGGAAGCAACGAGGAGGGCAGGGGAGGAGGAAGGGTACAGTGAGAGGGCGAAGAGGCTAGAGTTGAGGCAGAGGCGGTATGAGGAGGAGAGGCAGCGGTACGAGGAGGGGCTAAGACAGCTGGAAGCAGAGCAGCAGAGGCTGGCAGTGCGGATGGGGGTGGGGGAGGGGGGAAGACGGCGGTGGGGGAGGGGGGAGAGGGGGGATGAGAGGCGAGGGGCAGGTCGAGTTGCGAGTTAATGGACAGGGGGGGACGAGGGCGGGGCATGGCGCTTCTGGTGCTGGTGCTGGTGATTATGGCGATGGGGCTGGTGCTGGTGGTTGTGGTGGGAACGGGAATGGTGACTATAGCGAGCGGATGGACGAGGATGACCGTTTGGATGCATCAGACGGCGCAGATGCGTCCGACAAGGCACACACGTCCAACGGTCAGGATGCATTGACGGGCATGGGGGCGTCAGGCGATGGTGCGGCTCCATTCGTTCCTTTCGTTCCCTTCGTTTCCATGCACGTGTACGCATCAGAGCCAGCAGAGCTGGAGCCGTATGCCATGGGTGCCCCGCCTGACCTGCTGCCGCCCGCGCTCAAAACGCAGGGCTACCACTTTCACAGCGCTGCCCATTCCCATGCACACACCCACATGCATCCCAACAACCAGCCATCCAGCCACCTGCATCCCAGCAAGCAGCCATCCAGCCCCACCACCGTGCTGCACTCCGCTCACTCGCACGCGCATGCCCACCCCCCCTTGCACTCGCCCGCCCATGCCACCACCCATGCACTCACGCCCGCACACATGCAGTCACACTCTACCACCCCCAACGGTCCCCCAGGCGACCCCTTCGGCCCCCTGCCTGCTGCGTTGAGGGCGGGTCTCCTCAGGCGACTGAAAGAGGACAGCCTCCTCGCTGCTAATGCCAGCACTGCTGCTGCTGCACTTGCCACTGCCACTGCTTCTTCAGATTCGGCTGGTGCTTCTGCCGCTGGTGCTGCTGCTGCTGGCAGAAGTGGAGCAGAGGAGGCTGCAGGTGTGGGGGCGGCAGGTGTGGGGGCTGCAGGTCCCTTTATAGGCAGGCCCGTTAAGGGCATTCTGTGTCGGACCAGGGTTTTGACTGCTGGGGACAGTGAGACAGGGGAGGACAGGGAGAGCGTTGGGGAGGGCGGGATGCGGGGGTGGGCAAAAGAGAGAGCACCACACTTGCTGCTGAAAGCGCTGCTGGTACTGCTGCTAGTGATGTCACTGGTACTGCTGCTGTTGCTGCAGCAGCAGCTGCTGCCAACGATGGTACTGGTTTCGACACTGCTGCTGCTGCTGCTGCTGCTGCTGCTGCTGCTACCAGAGACGGCCTTCTTCCCCCGACCCTAATCGAGGCTGTGTTCAAGCCTGGAGCCTTGGGTCGGGCAGCTGCAGCGTACCGGTACAGGGGAGGGGGAGACTTTTTGTTCCGCGCCCTGGCCACGCTGCAGCCTGGTGGGGGGGAGGGGAAGGGTGGGGGGAGTGGGGAGGGGGGAGCGGAGGGGGAGTTGGGCAGGGGTGGGGAGAGAGAGGGTGGACGCGAGAAGGGGTTAGTGGAGGAAGGAGCGATCCGTGGCGGAGAGAGCACAGGATCGGTCACTGGTTCGTCATCTGCTGCTATTGATACTGCTGCGGCGGCGGCGGCTGCTGCTGCTGCTGCTGCTGCTGCTGCTGCTGAAAGGGTTACTGGAGCGGAGCAAAGCAGGGGCAGGGACAGCACGAGGGCTATAGGCGCGGAAGGGAAGGGAGGGAAGGAAGGCGTTGGTGTGAAGGAGGAGGACGAGGGGTGGGACTATGAGGAGGAGGCGCGGGCCGTGGCGCTGTCTCTCTTCGGCTTCCCCCACACGCTGAATGACTTCGGGGGGCTCCTGGAGGGAGACCAGCAGGCTGAGGGGTCCGGGCAGAGGAAAAATATTCAGGAGCTGCCCGGGATAGGTGATGGCAGGAGGGGGGGAGCAAGAGAAGGGGGTGTGGGGGAGAGGGATGGGGAGAGGGGGGAAGAGGTAAGGGGGGAAGGGGAGGCGAGAGGGGGAGGAGGGGGGGAGAATGGGCGGGAGGAAGGAGGAAGGGGGAGAGGAGGGCGAGAGTGCGGTGCAGCAGAGCTTGCGGCAGTTGGGAAAAGGCGCTAGTGGGGGGCAGGATGCCGCTGGATGCTGCTGCGCTCAGACACGAACTGCTGCTGCTCATGGGGAACGCAGGGGGGGGCGGGAGGGGGAGAGGGAGGGGGAGAGGGAGGGGGAAATGGGGGGCACGGGGGGCAACAGGGGGAGGAGATGGAGGCGGACTTGGGGGTTGCTGGAGGGGTAGGGGGGAGGAGAGGGAGGGGGGAATGGGGGGACAGGGGAAGACAGGCGGGAGGCGAGGGGTGAGGAAGTGGAGGAGAGGTGGGAGGGGGGAAGGGAGGGGAGAGGGAGTGAGGGGAGTGAGGGGAGTGAGGGGAGTGAGGGGGGTGGAGAGGAGGGAGAAGAGTATGGAGGTGAGATGAGGAGGGATGACAGTGGTGCAGATGCTGTCACCGCTGCTGCCGCCACTGCTGCTACGGTGGGTGGTCTGAGTGGTGGGGATGGGGAGAGCAGCGAGGAGGGTATTTCGATTGAGTCGGTTGAGAGGGATGGCATGCGGTGGCCGACGGTGCCAGCTGCAGAAATAGTGGAGCATGAACAGGACACAATTGGGTCGAGAGGAGGAGGGGAAGGAAGCGAGGGAGTGAGTGAGGGAGGGGAGGAGGAGGAGGAGGAGGAGGAGGAGGAGGAGGAGGAGGAGGAGGAGGAGGAGGAGGAGGAGGAGGAGGAGGAGGAGGAGGAGGAGGAGGAGGAGGAGGAGGAGGAGGAGGAGGAGGAGGAGGAGGAGGAGGAGGAGGAGGAGGAGGAGGAGGAGGAGGAGAAGGAGGAGGAGGAGGAGGAGGAGGGGGAGGAGGAGGAGTGGAGCGAGAAGGATATGCAGGCGCTGGAGCTGCTGAGGGAGGCGGCCATACCGCAGCCCGTGGCAGCATGGGGAGAGGTGCCTGCAGGGGGCGAGGCAGCTGCACATGGCAGCAGCCGCGTGCATGCGGTTCACCTTGCCTCTGCCTCTGCTGCTGCTTCTGAGACGCTTGGAGGGGGAGGAGGCCTGTCATCTGCAGTGGACGAGGGGTTGTCGTCTGTGGGGGGAGCGGGGGGAGCAGGGGGAGGGGGGTTGTCGTCGGCGTCGCACTGGCTGCAGCAGGTGGACATGGCTGAGGCGGACGGCCACGTGCCCGTGGCGCTGCAGCTGTTTGACCTCGCAGAGAGGTGCAACGCGCAGGTGGGTTGAGCGGGGTGTTGCAGTGTAACATGTGACGTGCAGGTGAGTTGAGTGGGGTGTTACAGTGTAACATGTGACGTGCAGGTGAGTTGACTGGGGTGTTACAGTGTAACATGTGACGTGCAGGTGAGTTGAGTGTTTTGTAGAGTTGAGTCGAGTGTGACTCGAGAGTGATAGCTGATGGCCACGTGCCCGTGGCGCTGCAGCTCTTTGACCTCGCTGAGAGGTGTAACGCGCAGGTGAGCAGTTGGTTACGATGTAACGTGCAGGTGAGTAGTTGGTTACGACGTAACGTATCACATGCATGTACATAACATGTGACGGCCATGTGCCCGTGGCGCTGCAGCTCGTTGACCTCGCTGAGAGGGGCAATGCTCAGGTGACCCCCCCCCCCACCCCAGCCCCCCCCAGCCACCCCCAGCCCCCCTCAGCCCCTCTCAGCCCCTCTCAGCCGCCTCAGCCCTACTCAGCCCCCCTCAGCCCCCCTCAGCCCTACTCAGCCCCCCTCAGCCCCCCTCAGCCCCCCTCAGCCCCCCTCAGCCCCCCTCAGCCCCCCCCAGCCCCCTCAGCCCCCCTCAGCCCCCCCCCAGCCCCCCTCAGCCCCCCTCAGCCCCCCCCAGCCCCCCTCAGCCCCCCTCAGCCCTCGGCCCAGTGCTGCGGACCAGTGCTGCGGACCAGTGCTGCGGACCAGTGCTGCGGCCCAGTGCTGCGGCCCAGTGCTGCGGACCAGTGCTGCGGACCAGTGCTGCGGACCAGTGCTGCGGACCAGTGCTGCGGCCCAGTGCTGCGGCCCAGTGCTGCGGACCAGTGCTGCGGCCCAGTGCTGCGGCCCAGTGCTGCGGCCCAGTGCTGCGGACCAGTGCTGCGGACCAGTGCTGCGGCCCAGTGCTGCGGCCCAGTGCTGCGGCCCAGTGCTGCGGCCCAGTGCTGCGGCCCAGTGCTGCGGCCCAGTGCTGCGGCCCAGTGCTGCGGCCCAGTGCTGCGGACCAGTGCTGCGGCCCAGTGCTGCGGACCAGTGCTGCGGACCAGTGCTGCGGCCCAGTGCTGCGGCCCAGTGCTGCGGCCCAGTGCTGCGGCCCAGTGCTGCGGCCCAGTGCTGCGGCCCAGTGCTGCGGACCAGTGCTGCGGCCCAGTGCTGCGGACCAGTGCTGCGGCCCAGTGCTGCGGCCCAGTGCTGCGGACCAGTGCTGCGGCCCAGTGCTGCGGACCAGTGCTGCGGCCCAGTGCTGCGGCCCAGTGCTGCGGCCCAGTGCTGCGGCCCAGTGCTGCGGCCCAGTGCTGCGGACCAGTGCTGCGGCCCAGTGCTGCGGCCCAGTGCTGCGGCCCAGTGCTGCGGCCCAGTGCTGCGGTCCAGTGCTGCGGACCAGTGCTGCGGCCCAGTGCTGCGGCCCACTGCTGCGGCCCAGTGCTGCGGCCCAGTGCTGCGGACCAGTGCTGCGGCCCAGTGCTGCGGACCAGTGCTGCGGCCCACTGCTGCGGCCCAGTGCTGCGGCCCAGTGCTGCGGACCAGTGCTGCGGCCCAGTGCTGCGGACCAGTGCTGCGGCCCAGTGCTGCGGCCCAGTGCTGCGGCCCAGTGCTGCGGCCCAGTGCTGCGGCCCAGTGCTGCGGCCCAGTGCTGCGGCCCAGTGCTGCGGCCCAGTGCTGCGGCCCAGTGCTGCGGCCCAGTGCTGCGGCCCAGTGCTGCGGCCCAGTGCTGCGGCCCAGTGCTGCGGCCCAGTGCTGCGGCCCCAGTGCTGCGGCCAGTGCTGCGGCCACTGCTGCGGCCCAGTGCTGCGGCCCAGTGCTGCGGACCAGTGCTGCGGCCCAGTGCTGCGGACCAGTGCTGCGGCCCAGTGCTGCGGCCCAGTGCTGCGGCCCAGTGCTGCGGCCCAGTGCTGCGGCCCAGTGCTGCGGCCCAGTGCTGCGGCCCAGTGCTGCGGCCCAGTGCTGCGGCCCAGTGCTGCGGCCCAGTGCTGCGGCCCAGTGCTGCGGCCCAGTGCTGCGGCCCAGTGCTGCGGACCAGTGCTGCGGCCCAGTGCTGCGGACCAGTGCTGCGGCCCACTGCTGCGGCCCAGTGCTGCGGCCCAGTGCTGCGGACCAGTGCTGCGGCCCAGTGCTGCGGACCAGTGCTGCGGCCCAGTGCTGCGGCCCAGTGCTGCGGCCCAGTGCTGCGGCCCAGTGCTGCGGCCCAGTGCTGCGGCCCAGTGCTGCGGCCCAGTGCTGCGGCCCAGTGCTGTCCCACCGTCAGCCCACCTGAGAGCTCGTCCCTTCTCGCACTGCCTTCCAGGAGCGCCAACCTGTTGTGTGCTACCTCCTCTTCCATCCCTCTCCCGATCATCTTTCCCCTTTCCCTTCCCACTCCCCCCCCCTCGCAGCCCGCCTCTGTGCTCATCGCTGCTCGCACCGGCTTCATGTACCGAAGCTACAGGGCCTTCCTCCTGCGGAACCTGTTGCGTCTCTAATCAATCCCCCATCCCCTTCCCTTTCCTACCCTTCCCCCTCAGCCCGCCTCTGTGCTGATCACTGCTCGCACTGACTTCCTCCTGCCTTCATGTACCAAAGCAACAAGGCCTTCCTCCTGCGCCACCTGTTGCTTCTCCAATTAAACATCGTTCCCCTCCCCGCTCCTCCCCTTCCCCCTCGTCTGCTCTTCCCCCTCTTCTGCTCTCCCCCCCCCACTCAGCCTGCGTCTGTGCTCGTCGCGGCACGCACTGCCTTCATGCAGCGGCATGGCCTTGTGCCCTCCGAACCTGTCGCTCCCCTTTCTTCCGCTCCTGCTGCTGTCGCTGCTGCTGCTGTCACTGCTGCTGCTGTCACTGCTGCTGCTGTCACTCCTGCTGCTGAAAGCAAAGCCCAGCCCACGGAACATGCCAGTGAGAAATCTCCTGCACCAGAACCTTCTGAGAAGAATCTTCCTAGCAGCACAGCAGCAGACGCTCCTCAACCCTCAGCCATCCCTGGGCCCCCCTCTGACCCCTCCACTCTCCCCTCCCCTCCTCCTGACTCCTCGCCCCTCCCCCTGCCGCCCCGCCTGGCGCCTGTGCTGCGCCCCTGCCGCTCGTCGCACCACCTGGTGGCAGTGTACAATCTCAGGGGCGAGCGGGTTTCTGGGGACGACTGCAGCGAAATGGGCGGGCGGGAGGGGGAGGGGGCTGGGTTGAGGGAGGATAAGGGTACGAGTGGAGGGTTTGGGGTCGAAGCGAAAGGAAAGGCAGCGGATGAGATTGAGCCTGGTATATCACAGGCAGGGGCAGGGCAGGGGCAGCAGCAGCAGGGGCAGAAGCTTCGGCAGCAGCGGCTGGAGTGGAAGTTGCAGAGGCAAGGCAAACGGGGCTAGAGGAAGGAGGAGAGAGAGTAGCGGGAGCAGGTGAAGGGGCGAGTGAGAGAGAAGCAGGAGCAGGTGAGGGTGTGAGTGTGTCAACCCCTGTGAGGGCTTGGAGTAGGGGGGCGAGGGAGAGGGAGCGGGTGATGAGGGCTGGTGGGAGCCCAGGGCAGGCAGGCGATGTCTCTGATAACGTCCCTCCCACAGCTGCAAAAGGCGCTGACAACACCCCCTATAGCGTGACTAGAGCAGCACCAGATGGTGCTGACAACGTCCCCAGCACAGCAGCAAAAGGTTTTGACAACACCCCTTATAACATCGCTAGAGCAGCACCGGATGGTGCTGACAACGTCCCCAGCACAGCAGCGTTTGGCAGCCCGTTCAAGCCTGCAGCAGGTTCACCCATCCGGCCCCATCGTCTGCCTTATCCCCATAAAGCCGTCCTCGTTTAACGCAGCAGCAGGCTCATCGTCCGCAGCAGCGCTAGCTGGAGAGGGGTACGTCCTCCCCTCGCCGTCCCGCGCCTCCCGCACTGCCCTCTTCTTCGACACCGTCAAAAAGGCAGCTGGAACAACGGCAGGAGCAGCAGGAGCAGAGGGAAGTGGGTCAGGTGTGGCGAGGAGGGAGGGCGCTGGCGGCTCTGGTTCTCCCTTGGAGGAGGGAGTGGCTGGAGGGCGAAGGGGGGTGGGGGGCGTGGGAGGAGCAGCAGCGTCAGGAAGAAATGGGGGAGGGAACGGTGCTGGCAGTCCTGGAATGGGGAGTGGCAGCGTGGGGGGGGGCAGCGTGGGAGGGGGCAGCGTGGGAGGGGCAGTCCGAGTGTGCTGGAGAAGCTGAGGCGAGCCAAGGCGCAGCTGATGCAGCTGCAGCAGAGCTACCTGAAGGACCCGCCACCACACTCCACCGTCTCGTACTCCTCAGAAACTCCAATCAGCTCGAAAGGAGCAGGATTTGGCCAGGTTGGCTCTCAGGTGAAAACTCAGGTGGGAACAACAGCAGCAGGAGGGGACACAGGGGAATCAGGAAGAAGAACAGCAGCGGAAGCTGTTGAGGAAGCAGTGGCGGAAGCAGCAGCAGCTGCAGCATTAGGACCATCCAGAGGTATAGGGGCAGGAGCAGGAGCAGGAGCGGGAGCAGGGGGGGGAGCAGGAGCACGAGTGGGAGTAGGGACACCCGCCCTTCCCAGCCTAGGCTCTGAGTCCCCAGCCTCCTCCCCCCACATCGTCTCCCTCCCCTCCTCCGCCTACTCCCACGCCTCCACTGCCCCTTCCCCCGGCGTCATCACCCCGCTCTCTCTCGACCGCACCCCCAGCAGCAGCGCCCAGAGCATAAGATCCGAGCCTGACCCGCTGCTGCTCGGGCCCACGCCTGCGCGAACCGACGTGGCTCGGTACGAGAAGGCTCGGAAGGGCCTGCCGAGCCTGGACGAGGAGGCGCCGATTGGTGGGTGGAGCTCGGATGAAGGTGGGGGGTTAGGCTTGGGAAGACAGGCAGGGAGAGTGGCAGAGGCAGGAGCAAGGGATCAGGCAAGGGAGGGAGAAGAAGCAGGGGCGAGTGTGGGAGAAGGGGAGGCAGAAGGGAGGATAAGACATTCTGGGAGGGAGGGAAGAGAGGAAGAGGGAGTTGGAAGCTCGAGAGCAGGTTCGGGAGTGAGGGGTGGATGGAGCAGAGGTTCGGCAGGTGTGGGGAGGGCCGGAGAGTCCCTTGGAGATAAAGCAGAAGCAGCAGCGGATGGTGCAAGGGTAGGAGCAGCAGGAGCAGCGGGAGCAGCAGGAGGAGGAAAGGCAGGAGGTGATGGGGACATGGATGCGACAGCAGGTGCCCAGCCAATGTCATGGAAGTCAGGTGCGAAGGGGACTGGGAGAGTGGGGTATGGGTGGGGGGGCCATCATGACGCGTTGTGGGAAAACAGATCGACACATAAAAACAACGATGTATGGAAAAGAGGGCCTCGGGACCTCGCATGTGGCATGGGGAGCGTGGATGCATCTCGCCCTGCTTGCCCTTGAGAGCGTGGTTCGTTTCCCGTGTAAAAGGGCTTGCTCTATCCCTCATCCACCCCATACATCACCCGTTGCTGCCTCTCCTGCAGGAGCCAATCAGGGCATGACACTTCAGCAACGCATGCGAGCGAGGAGGGAGGGAGCACAGGGAGGAGGGGCAGGAGGGAGGAGAAGGCAGTGGGTGAGGTGAAGGGTGGGGAGAGGTGCTGTGGCTGGGCGAGGTCAGAATGAGGCATGGTAGTGTGTTAAGGTAGGTGGAGAGGAGACATAGGGTGGGTGAAATAGTAGTTTGGGTCGGAGGCATTGGGATGGAAGGAATGGTGCAGAGGGTTAGAAAACGTTTTACTACATCCTTGTGAGAAGGGCAAAATATTGCCGCGGTGGGGGGAAGCAATTTTCCTCCGAATGAACCTTGATTTTGCACGAGGTAGGTTGATTAGAGAGGGATGATGACAATTTTAGGGCATTCCTCATGCCCTAGTCAATAGCATGTTTTGCGTGAAAAGGCTTGCCAACTTACCATTTTACTACGGTGGTTTTATATTCGTTTCACTTTATAAAGGTATGATTGGGCGACAGAATCTGAGCTAGGAAATGAACTCGGTCCAAACGATTCTGTCTTAGGGCGTGTCACCCAAATCCGTTTTGGCAAAATACCATACTAAACCGCTCTAGAATCTTATTTGACCATTTTAGAACGCAAAACATCTTTGCGAACCGCAATCGGATGTAGTGACACGCTCTTACAACGAGATCTCTCAGTGCGCGTTACAAGTTGGACGAACAGCGCGCTCGGATGACTCCCTCACCTATTTGATCGCGGATAGTCAGAATACAGGCAGTCAAGACGGGGGCAGATCGTGTACCCAAGTGCGGTTCGTCAAACGTTTTTCAAGAAGCCGAAAACGAAATCACGAAAATCACATGGTAGCCTAGCCAGCATCGTAACCAAGCCGCACTTACTTCCAGAGGCGCGCACTCATTTGCGAGTTCGGCTGACTGTGCGAACCCTAAATGCGCGACACCAACAACTCACTGTGTGGCTCGGCGAAAGTAGCGGGAGCAGTTTTCGGGAGCCGATGTTCGCCACGATCGGTTAGTGCCGACTGGGTAATTTTGTTGCTGTGTACGATCGTGGGGGTCAGGATCCCGATACATATGTTCATCCTTGCGGGAGCGAGAAATTGAGGTGTCTTGACCGCTGCGGTACATTACCGGGGTGTAGATAGGTTATAAAAGGGTAATCAACTCGAAAGCTTGAACATTCAAAACTTGAACGAGTCTTGGTCCATCTTGTAACGCGCCCTCGGTGTGATCAACACAACGGGCTGTCGTTTTACCAACGAGTACTAAGCTCAGAGAAATTTCCCGTATGAACGTTCGCCTAAGCTAAGGTACTCGGCCATCGTCAAGCATTCTTCCATCTTCTGTTCCTCTACGCTAAACCATGGCGCCGCGGTCCGACAACGGACGGCCTAATAGCCGGTTCTCGGAGCTCATATTCTTGGGAACGGGCTCTTCAACTGGAGTCCCAACCCCCCTTTGTGTCACACAGCCGACCGACCCGCCATGCGCCGTGTGCCACAAGGCAATAGCGGACCCTCCTGAGCGAAACCCCAATTACCGGTAACTTCATTCGCGAAATGAATCCGCGAAATGCTGGTTTGTAACCTTCGTGCTGGTGTAACCGTGTACCGTGTTGCGTCTGAACCGCCTCGCATTCCGCGCTGGTTGTTACGGGTAACACGGTAACCATCTGCTGCGTTGCTCCTCGCCTGCAGGTGCAATCCGTCGCTTATGATTCGATACCGGAGCCGATCTTATACAGCGGATGAAGGTGTGACTGTACGCAGGGAGCTTGCTAACGATTGCTGTGATTCCAACGGGGTCGCCGAGGCGAACTCCAGAGAAGGGACAGATGGGAGGCGGGAGAGCTGCACTTCAGAAAGTGCCGACCTGACGGATTCCGTCGATCTGACGGATTCCGTCGACCTGGCTCTGTCGCCTGGCGAGCAGTGGCGGTACATTCAGATCGACGCGGGCAAGTGCTTTCGGGAGCAGGTGCTGAGGTGGTTCGTGCGGCGCAACATCCCCACCATCGACGCGGTACGCTGCATGCATGCATGCATGCCACCAGGTGAACCTTTGATCTTTGAGTCGAGTCCGAAGCTACCAGGTGCTGCGGTGGTGGTGGTACGTGCGGTGCAACATCCCCACCATCGACGCGGTACGGGCTGACACAGGGCTCGTTGAAACAGACATGCAGCCACGCATGCAGCCACGCATGCAGCCATGCATGCAGCCACGCATGCAGCCACGCATGCAGCCACGCATGCAGCCATGCATGCAGCCACGCATGCAGCCACGCATGCAGCCACGCATGCAGCCACGCAGCTCCTCCCTCTCCATCCCCCTCTCCCCACTGTCAACCCCCCTAATTTCCCCAACCAAATCCCTCCCCCCCACCCCGCACCCCCCATCGCCACTTCCCCCACCCATCTGCCCACCCCGCCTCCATACCCGCTCCTACCGCCCCCCATTCCCCCCCTCTCAGGTGGTTTTTGAGTCGCCTTAAAAAGCTTTCCCTTCCCCCCCGGCCCTACAGCTGATTCTCACCCACGAGCATGCTGACGCCATCCTAGGCCTGGATGACGTCAGAGGGCTCCAGCGCATTCCTCTCCACCCAGCAGACCACGTGGCGCCCCTCTCCGTGTTCCTCGCCCACCACTGCATGGCCAGGTGCGCCGCTATCCCATGCTCCACCAGGCAGTGCACGCACGCTACCGCCCGTCCCTTCACCCAGCAGACCACGCGCCGCCTCTTTGCGTGTTCCTCTCGGCTCACTGCATGGCGAGGTGTGCGTCTCCCTCACCTCTCACTGCGCTGCTGTGTCTCCTACATTCCGTCTTCCCTGTATTGTGTGCGTCCACCGCCCCAACCTTTCCACCCTTCCTCCCTCCCCTCCCTCCAAACCCCCCCCCCCCTCCCCATCACGATCACAGTGTGCGGGAGAAGTTCCCCTACCTCACACTCACCCCCGCTCGCCCAGCTCCGTTGCTCCCCTCCCTGCTACCGTCGGCTGCTCCTGCTGCTCACACTGGTGTCACTGACACTACTGATGCTGACACTACCAACGCTGGTGACACTACCATCGCTGGAACTACTACCACTGACACTACTAATGCGGACACAGGTGTCGGTGTCACTAGGGGGGGAGGCGTGACGAAAGTATCTCGGCGGGTCTCGCGAATCGATTGGCAGATCATTGAAGAGAGTGTGGCGGCTCCCTTCAGTGCTGCTGGGCTTACAGTCACTCCCCTGCCGGTACGGTCACATGCATGCATCCATGTGCCATCCATCCATCCGTATCATGCCTTTTTATGTGACCTGCATGCAGTCAGATTCGCCCTATGTCTTCCTGACATGCTTGCATGAATCTTTTTGGGTATCTCTTGCCCTTCAGCAGAAGGGTGATGGTACTGAAAGGTTGACACATGGTGCTTGGCAGTATGAGGCTGGCACGTGCCGATGCATATGTATGCTGCGCCATCCATGCTGCACTATTCATGCTGCACTATTCATGCTGCACTATTCATGGTGCACAATTCATGGTGCACTATTCATGGTGCACTATTCATGGTGCACTATTCATGGTGCACTATTCATGGTGCACTATTCATGATGCACTATTCATGCTGCACTATTCATGGTGCACTATTCATGGTGCACTATTCATGGTGCACTATTCATGGTGCACTATTCATGGTGCACTGTGACCATGAGGTGTATGGCTGTAACTAGCCGGACGCATGACCAGATTCGTGGAGATTCTTGCTGCAGGTGCAAGATGGGGAGGACTACATCGCGTTGGGACTCCAACCGGTTTTTGAATCCTTTAATACAAAATTCATGCTGCACGCGCAATCTTTGCTGCAGGTGCAGCATGGGGAGGACTACATCGCGTTGGGGTTTGAGTTTGGGTTCCCCCATCGCATCGTTTACATCTCAGATGTCTCCAAAATTCCTCCAACCACTCTAGCATGTGAGATGGGGGTGCTGGACTGCTGCTTCTGTTGTTACCGGCATCTTAATCTCGTCACTGGCGTCTTCGTTATACGCTAATTTTATTATCTCTTCACGCCAGTGCACTTGCAGGCATTTCGTCATCGCACCACCAACTCACCATCCACGCACATGCATGCTCTCACACCTACGCTGTCTCATGCATGCTCTCACACCTACGCTGTCTCATGCATGCTCTCACACCTACGCTGTCTCATGAGCCTGCTTTGGCTGCAACTCATGAGTCATGCCTTGCCGTTCTGACACTCCTGCCTACTGCATCTCTGCTGCCTCTACTCCCCCTCCTGCCCCTCCCCCTCCTGCCCCTTCCCTCCTGCCCCTTCCCCTCCTACCCCTTCCCCTCCTGCTTGTGCTTCTTCAGACTTGAAGGCCAGGCAGCAGCATGTGGGTCGGATACACCTTCTGGTCATGGACTCGCTCTACTTTGTATGTGAACTCCCTCGTGCCTAAGTCCTGTCCCAGTGTCCTCACATTCTGCTTTTCCAGTGCATTGGCGTCTTCTCACTGAGTTCAAAGACAGGATCATTTTTAGCATGTCCTGACTTTTCTGTTTTTTGTACGCGTATGATCGCATGGCTGCCATGGCATGTGGACGTGTGTGCAGGATCACCCACACGCTACTCACTTCCACCTTCCACAGGTATTTCTATCGCCAGCACCACACCCATCACATCCTTCTACACGCACCATGTCATCAGCTTTTAATGTTCTGCATTTCATCTTCACTTGATCAAACCCTTTCACGGAAATAAATTTAAATGTGGTGCATCTTTGTCCCCCCTTTCCCATTCTCTACACCGTGCTGAAAAGACTCTGGATGCAATCCGGGAGTTGCAGCCAAAGCAGGCCTTTTTGGTTGGCATGACTCATGAGTTTGACCACCACAAAGTCAATTCGCTGCTCCGTGACTGGTCCATCAAGTATGAAGCGTTACCTTTTCCCAACCCAGTTGAAAACTTCCGTTTCTTCATGAATGTATCACCAACTTTCACGGCAATGTGCTTAATGATTTCTTTTCAATGTATGCCTTTTGTATGGGCTTGCAGGGAGGATATAGATGTTCAGCTAGCACATGATGGTCTTTGTATCCCCGTGCTCCTATGAGCTCGATCATGGCTGGAAATGCGAAAAGGGATGTTGTTCATTTGAATGATGGGATGCCTTACTCTGTTACTGATCAAGGTGCAGGTGTCATTGTATTAGAAATGAGGTCCGTTGGGTTTTAACATGTGTCTGGTGAAGGGCAGCTGGATGGCAATGGCATCTCGCACACGTTGTACTGTGTCCATGATGCTGCCAATCATCACAGATTGCTTCTAGATTTTGTAGTCATCACATCTAGGGCCGAAACTGGGGGACGATAATTGTCATGGTCACGTCCAACCTGTCAATGTCTTGAAAAATGTGAGTTTCACATAAAATACAACCCTGGACAGTCATGGACTCCGAGCAGTCACTAAGTGTCGATGGCGTGGCAGGAGAGGGGGATTGGCATGCTGTATGAAAACCCCAAAACTTTACCCGCCATTTGCTTCTGAAACGTATAAGTCGAGTCCTGAGGAACTTATCATTACTACGGTTAAGCAGCCAGCTTGGCCATGTTGCAATTTCACGTGAATATCGCTCTATGACGAGGTCTGATTGGTCAGATTCAACGTCACATGAGCAAAATCTTGCGTGACGTCGGGCGTGAGTTTTGAAAAATCGCCATGAATTGTACAGTCAACGTGTTTTTCACCCATTTGGAACATTAATACGCCAAAACCTGTCTGATTAACCCAGAAAAGGGCAGAACATAATGTATTCCTTCGGTTGGTGGTTGTGATAATTATCTTCCACTGCCCCAGATGGCATGTGCAAATGATGCTGGCATCTGATATGTGTTGCCTAGTCCACGTGAAGATCCATTTGAATCCCCACCAGATTCACCGGCTTCATCCATCCCTGGAGAACCGAGGAACAAGGGCCAGCTCACCTTCAACCACTCACAATTGAAGCGACTCGAGTGATTATGGAAGCGCTCCACGTGATATCTTGCGAAACCATTCGCGGGATCCCCCAGCTTTCCGGATAGCGACACGGCAGTGCAGAATTCTCCGCGTCTATCCTGCTGCCACCAGGAAACAAGCAACACTTTCCACTCCTCGCGGATTCACAGAAGTGTTCTTCTGTAGTCCATTGAGGGAGTGGACGGGCTTGATTGGTCCTGCCTGTGTGGTCAAAATCTAGGTCGAGCATCACCCACCTCCGAGCCGCGTGTCGAATGGCCCTAAATTTCTCATGATCGAGTCTTCCTTCCAACCAGAGCCAGCTTCTCTCGGCCACACATGCCTAGCATTCGAACCTGCGAGGCTGCGCCACGGCCACATACACGAGCGGTGGGGTGGGTATGCTCGCGGTGGCAATGCTGACCTGTGAAGAGCGACTTTGCACCAGCAAGTCATCAAAGCAAGGGATTGGTTGGCATGGTGATGTATGACATCAGCCAAGCAGCTTTCCAGGGAGCCCAGTCAATGTATCCAGAAAGCCCGCGGGGAAGGTGGAGTGTTGGCGGCCTTCTTGGCGAAAAGCACGGGGTAAAGTACCAACGAGGGGCCACATCAGCACGCAGCACACCAGACATTTCAGGCATTAGCCCAATGAGCCGACGTGGCGCTGCAATGGCGGATGAGGAGGTGGTAAGGGGATGAGGTGAGGCGATGAGCAGGAAAGCTGTGTGGCTCGCATGGCCGCCCGGGAAAGAAGGCTCGTCTCCAACCGACACGTGCGTGGCGTTTCAGTTTGTCCCCCCCCTTTCGATAACAGCAGAACCAGGGCCAGCAGAGACACACAACCGAACCAAAGGGATTGGAGAAATTGGTGATCATGATGCACATGGAAAATGGCGGTGGCAGATATGCCACCTTGCCATACCTAACATGCCAGAAACCATCAGCACGCCACCGCAGCGCACACGGTTTTGAGAGCCACAGCACACTCACAGCAGGCAGAGCAGCCACATGCTTCAACAATCCCTTTCCCCCTTCCTTCCCCCCTCCTCCCTCCTCTCTCCTCCCCTCTCCCTTTCCTCCCTCGCGTGTTTCGCTTCCAGCCTTTCATTCCCAACTGGAGGAAGCCATGGCTGCTGGTCCCAACTAGACATGCCCACTGCCCAGCCTTTCTCCAAAAGCTGATAACCGCAACTTGGTCGGAACCTGGGACCAGCGAGCAGATTGCATCCTTTGCCCCGCACGCCGTACAACGCCCTACCGTCACACGCCACGACACCTCACGTTTCTGTTCTTGCACCACTGGTTAGTGGCAGTACCCCGTGACTGATATAGCTTCCCTCCGCATTCCCCAACATTCAGTAGCTCTGTCACACTTCGCTTCCCATCTCACTTCCACCCGCGACTCTCGACATGGCTTTCCAAATACCTTCAGTACCTATTCTCCCAGCTTCAGACATGGCCTCTCTCGCAACACATCCCTTCTGCCACGGGTTTCCCCAACCCTTCCTAGCAATGCCTTCGACGCACAGCGCTCTCCCCTTTCCCCAGGACCACCAGCACCCTGTAACCGCCCTCCGCGCGTCTCCCTCCCACCGCTCCTGCGAGCTGTGCTCGCAGCCGGCGGCTCTCCGCTGCGACGCGGATTCCGCGTTCCTCTGTGCGTCGTGCGACGCTGCGGTGCACTCCGCGAACTTCATCGTTCTTCGCCACGCGCGACACCTGCTCTGCGCGCTCTGCAGCGCGCCCACTTCCTGGGAGGCCCCCGCGCCGTTTCATCACCTCGCGGGTGCGTCCCCGTCACAGGTCGTTTGTGACTCGTGCTTAGCGGTCGGCGCGGTTAGCGGCATTGCGGCGAACGCCGCGCTTCACACGCCGAGCTCTATGAGCGCAAACATGGCTGCGTCGCTGTTCCCCCTCCACGCGTACGCTGCCGCCCTTTCAAGCTCCGCGTTCGCCCCTTCGCCCGCGTCGAACGTCGCAGCTCCACTTCAGGCTCCGGCGAAGCGCCACAAGGCCGCAGAGGGATACCCGAAGAGTTTATTCGCGGGAATGGCTGGCGCTGGGGATTGCTTGCCCTTCGCCCAATACCCCCTGCACGCAAAGCTTTCTCAGATTCACGTGCAGCAGCAGCAGCAGCAGCTGCCGTCTCTGCTCCTCGCAGGAACGACTCTCTCGCAAAACAGCCTCCTTACAGCCAATCAGGGACTGCCAACTTGCCCGTTATCCTCTTCCTCCTCCTCCTCCTCCTCCTCCTCGCCGCCAGAAACACTCCAGCTTTTTCCGACGGCGATCCCGACCGAAGGAGTCACAGAAAGTGTTACTGTAACGCCCTCGCTGACGGACAGGCCTGCTTCGCGTCAGCAACTCGTGCTCGCGGAGTCCCCTGAGGTTGCTGACGTGGCGGGTGTCGTTCCGGATCTAAACGAATCTCTCTGCAACGAGAATCAAACGGTCCCTGGCTCTCTCCCCAGCCTTAAGCCGGGAAGCTCTCGAGCCTCCACGGGAAAGCGGCACTACCGGGATGAGCAGGTAGTGGTAGCAGATGAGGCGCGAACCGTTCTGCAGGAGAGTGGTGCGAGCGGGCAGGGACGGAATGTTCTCGGGCAGCTTGCGGCTGCCCGGCTGAAGCGCGTTCTTTCATCCTGGTATTCCAGGCTGGCGCTCCGTGGGCCGCACGTGTCTGACCTGGCGTTCCACATCTTCCAGAAGGTTCTGCGAAAGCTCCAGCCCGGCAGGGTGGCAGCAGACTCGCTAAGAGTGACGCTGGCGGCGTGCATGTGGACGGCTGCCAAGCTGGACGATAACCAGAAGACGCTACCCAAGGCGTCCGACGTGGCAGCAGTGGCCCGCGTGCCAGCTCAGCGCCTGCAAGCTGCTGAGCTGGACGTGATGAAGCTGGTGGGGTGGAGGCCTCTGGAGGGCTTCACTGGATTTCATAGATGATGGGGGCAGGTCAAGAGAGACACGAGATTAGAGGCAAGTCAAGAGACACGAGATGAGAGACAAGTTGAGCCCCTTCAGCAAACATGCTCTTGTGCAGCAGACATGCGCCGAGGCAGCAGCAAGTGTGAAAGTGCATACCCACATCATGGCAATGGGATGGACAGTGGCATGCGCATGGGTTCAGCTACCCATATCATGGCAACCATTGGGTTGCTAGCTATGGAGGCTCTCTATTATACGGTACTAAAGCCTAACACCTCTTAGTAGATTATAGAAGCCTAGGAGCTGCTGATTAGATGCTCTTGTAAACGTTAACCTGTGCATATTACAGGGCCTACCTTGAAAGCTAAACGCCACTATTCATGAGCTCCATTTGTGTAACGAATCATAATTTATTAGAGTCGATATACCTACCTTATCTCTAACTTACAATGCCACGTTCGCCACAACCCCACTGCAATAAACCTCGGTCGGGACGTGAGTTCCTGTAAGTCACAATGCGGTCCAGTGTGGTTTGTACGATTTTAAAGCGATTAAATGGTTACACTTCGGTAACCTGGGGTTGAATCGCGGATGTCAGGTTTCACACACTTGGAACACCCCCTAGGTGTGTACATTTTCTCGAGATCTTCCGAACTGAACATTCATCGTACTGTACCGCGTGTTTTTTAATAATCAGCGCAGCTAATCTCACCAGACCGTATTCGACCTTTCTGAATAGTCGACCCTGAGGCGTGTTCGTAAAAAATGTTAGACGCCCTAAAAGCAGCCTGAAAAGCTCAAGATTTAGAGCAGCTCAAGCTCACGGCGGTGCTCCATCCATTTCTTACAGCAGCCCCTTACGTCATCCCTTCCTCTCCTGCACTCGCCATTCTCGTACTCCTCCTAGCTTCTTTCTAACCCGCGTTTGCATGCCACTTCGACAGAATGGGCCTGATAATCTGATTTCCAACCGACCTGCTGAGGCACAGGCACGTCACTCTACTGCACAGGCACGTCAGTCTACTGCACAGGCACGTCAGTCTACTGCACAGTCACGTCAGTCTACTGCACAGGCGCCAATATTGATAAACCTCGTTCGAATCCAGGAAGCCCTACGAGCCACACTGCCGTCGCGCTGCTAGTCCGGCCTTGGCCCAGCGCGCACGATACCGCTCCCGTCACAGCTTACCCTAACCGACTTCGCCTCAGCCTAATCTGTCTAGACCCTCTGATGCCATTGGCCCTCTGCTGCCAGTCAAAGCAGTCTAAGCACGCTCATTGATCATCACGACCAATATTCCTCCCGCGTTAAAGCCCAAGCACGCTCGCGAGCGTCGGTCCCTCCCGTCCTCACCCGCCCGCCATGCAGCGACATAGACGAGAAGCAGCTGGTGGTGTATATCTGGAGTGATGTGCACAATATCGGGGGACGCAGTATCGAGAATATCGAGAGTCGACCACTGTTCATGAGCGGCTCTGGTCTCGCCGCGGAGCATCGTCAAGCAGAGCCGCCGCAGCGGTAGGGAGCAGCAACACAAGCAGCAGCAGCAACCGCAGCAACACCACAGGGCGAGCTTCTAGAGCGGTGTTGCAGATCGCGGAACCAAACCTTTAGCATTACCTTTACTTCCGTAAGCCGCAATGTCGCACTTTCCCAATCACAATGACGACGATCTCAGCGGCCCGCCGATTCCCAGCTACAAGGTTAGTAGCTTCTCGGACCCCAGTATGGAGGGGCCGCCGATCCACGTGGCGGACGAGGAGAGGCAGACGGTGCTGACGTGTCGGCAGGGCGAGTTGATACGCGAGTCGTACGCTGAGCTGGAGCCTGATCTGGACAACCACGCCATCATCATGTACCTCACGTACGTACGGATCAGGCAGTCACTGTAACGTACCTGCATGGCATGGCATGGCATCGCATTGCATCGCCCTCAACCAGCATTCCCGCAAACCCCTATCTACACCACCACCTCCTCCCCCCCCCCCCCCCCCCCCCCCAACCCCTTCTCTTCCCCGCTCCCTCTTCTCATCATCTTTGGCTTGGTACCCGGGGATACGCGCCTCCTCTCCATGGCTCCTTGATTCACTTCACACCATACCCAGTGCTTTACCCCTTTCCCCAGCCTCCCCCTCCCCCCCCTTCCCCCCTCCTCCACTGGCAGGCGCCAGGCGCCTCTTCTCCGTGGCTCGCTGCTTGAGTTCTCACCAACCACAAACGACCAACTTCCCCCCACTCTCCCCCTCCTCCCTCTCCCACCCGCCCAATCCCTCCCAGCATTGTTGACATGGTGCCCCACGCCAAGCGCCCCTTCTCCATGGTTCCGTGATTGACGTCACACCAACCTCAATGCATAGGACCCCCCCCCCCCCTCTTCTCCCTTCCCCCCCCAGCATCTTCGACATGGTACCTGACGCCAGGCGCCTCTTCTCCATGGCTCGCTGCTTGACTTCACACCAACCCCAATGCACCAACCTCCCCTCCCCCCCCTCCCCCCCCCCCCCCAACACGTCCCAACCTCTTCCCGCCCCCAGCATCTTCGACATGGTGCCCGACGCCAAGCGCCTCTTCTCCATGGTGCGCGATTCCAACGAGCCCGCGCCTGTCAACATCAAGCTCAACGCGCATGCCACCATGTCCTTCCGCATGGTACTGTTCATGCCACCATGTCCTTCCGCATGGTACTGTTCATGCCACCATGTCCTTCCGCATGGTATGGCGTCGGGGGATAGGGAGCGAGGGGAGAGAAAGAAAGAAGCGGAGAATCAGTGAGGGGCTGCAGGGCACTCGTCCCTCCCCACCCCACACGTGCCACTATCGTCCCTCCCCACACGTGCCACTATTTTTCAACAATACTGCCGTTTCAACCCCCTCTCTCTTAACGCCACCCGCTTTCTCATCACAACCGCCCCTCCCTCCCCCCTCTCCCCCTTCCTCCCCCCAAATCCCCAATCCCCAATCCCCAATCCCCAATCCCCAATCCTCACCACCCTCGCAGATGTGTGAGGCGTTCTGCAAGTGGGACGACCCGGCAGAGGTGGAGAGGTCGCCCCTCAATCCCCCCTCCAACACCGCCCTTGCTTACGTCCCCCCCTCTCCCCATCATCCCTCTCCACCCCTCCCCACCGCTTTCAGATGTGCGAGGCGTTCTGCAAGTGGGACGACCCGGCAGAGGTGGAGAGGTCAGCCCCCTTCTTCAAGGCGCTGGGCGGCCGGCACCTCAACTACGGCATCGATGGCAACGACTTCCCGGTGAGTGATCAAAGCGTGTGCAGTGCCGTGCCAGGAGGGATGGGAAGCACGCCAACAGACGCCCTGTGTGGGACCGTGGGAGGGAGCACATCGATTCTTCAAGGCGCTGGGCGGCAGACACCTCAGCTACGGCATCGATGGGAACGACTTCTTGGTGAGAGGGGGAGGGGTTGGGTGAAGAGGGTGGGGTGACGGGGAGGATGGGGGGAGGCGGAGGATGGGGTTGATAGGAGGATGGGGTTGATAGGAGGATGCGAGGGGTGGGCCGGGGGCACCTCAACTATGGCACCCATCACCTCAACTATGGCACCCAGCACCTCAACTATGGCACCCATCACCTCAACTATGGCACCCATCACCTCAACTATGGCACCCAGCACCTCAACTATGGCACCCATCACCTCAACTATGGCACCCAGCACCTCAACTATGGCACCCATCACCTCAACTATGGCACCCAGCACCTCAACTATGGCACCCATCACCTCAACTATGGCACCCATCACCTCAACTATGGCACCCAGCACCTCAACTATGGCACCCATCACCTCAACTATGGCACCCAGCACCTCAACTATGGCACCCATCACCTCAACTATGGCACCCAGCACCTCAACTATGGCACCCATCACCTCAACTATGGCACCCAGCACCTCAACTATGGCACCCATCACCTCAACTATGGCACAAATCACCTCAACTATGGCACCCATCACCTCAACTATGGCACCCAGCACCTCAACTATGGCACCCATCACCTTAACTATGGCACCCAGCACCTCAACTATGACACCCATCACCTCAACTATGGCACCCAGCACCTCAACTATGGCACCCATCACCTCAACTATGGCATCCCGGTGAGTTGGAAACAGAGGATGGGAGGGATGGTGATGGGAGGCATGGGGCGTGTTGTGCTGCCTTAGACGCCCCTCTCTCCTCTTCCTGTGCGTACTACCCCACCCCACGCTGCCAGGTGTTCCGAACGGGGTTCATGAAGGCGTTAAAGAAGGCGTTTGGGGAGCGGTGGTACGGGGAGCTGGAGGGCGCGTGGTGTGCCGCCTTTGACATGTTGGAAGGGGTGGCAACCACTGGCATGGCGGAGGGAGGGGGGTTCAAGCGTGTGCCGGCTTTCATGCTGTCGTGACGCGTGGCAGGCGGCATAGTGACACGTGGCAGGCGGCGTAGTGACACGTGGCAAGTGACGTAGTGACATGTGGCAAGTGGCACGTGGCGATTGCTACCTTGATCGTAGATCGCACTCTCACCAAGGTCCAAGACACCTTGCAGCCTCTGGCATGGCGGAGGGGGGGGGCATTCAAGCGAGTGCCGGCTTTCATGCTGTTACGCAGTAACTGCTATCATTTTTATCACCAGCAATTCCGTACTTCGAAGTCCACCAAGCAATCCTGCTGTGTGGCCGAAGGACCTGAGGCACGGGAAGAGCAACGGCTGCAGCTGGCCGCAGCCAACAGACAGCAGGCTTCGAATCTAATCCCCGTGCGCACTGCGGAGCCACATTGCCACGGCATCAGCTCACTGCGGAGCCACATTGCCACGGCATCAGCTCTCTGCGGAGCCACATTGCCACGGCATCAGCTCTCTGCGGAGCCACATTGCCACGGCATCAGCTCACTGCGGAGCCACATTGCCACGGCATCAGCTTGTTTCTGCCGGCCACCGTGCCTCGTGGACTGACCATTGACCAAGCAGGCCTTGCGAATAATGCTGGCTGTAGAGGGAGGCTCCAGGAAGCCTGGCTGGATGTTGCACCAGCCCTCGATTGCACATTGCAGCACTGACTGCGCTCCTGCTGTCTTACAATACATGCACCCTACAACGAGGAACGGGGAAATGTACAAGCAACCCACCACACATTCACTATACAGAGAGTCTTGCTACACTCAAAATCATCCCATATCTTGTTCATATCAACCTTTCTGCTCTATCCACTGCTCCCCCTTACCCCGACTCCGTACTCTCCACCGTCACCACTTGCTAAGCCCATTCCTTACCGGCCGAAGCCGTTCGCCGGAATCACTACCAACCACCAGCTCCTCCTCACTCTCAAGCAGCACAGCACAGGCATCCCCCCCCCTGCACTATGGAGTCATTCACAGCGAGCACCCCTTTGTTGGTAATTACTGTTCACTCCCAATCAGCACCGGCACCCCCCCCGCGCTATGGAGTCATGCACAGCGAGCACCCCTTTGTTGGTATTTACTGTTGACTCTCAATCAGCACATGCATTCCCCACCCGTTTACATCTCCGTATTTACGATTGATTTTCAATCAGCACGGGCGTCCCCCCCTGCGCTAGGGAGTCGTGCACTGCGCACACCACGCGCTGCGTCTTCTCCATCATGTCAACCCATCTCTCATCCAATGCCGCCTTGCCTCCCCCCCCTCTCACCCCCCTCACGATCCGTGAAAGCTCAGCAACCATCATCGCCTCCTGCGTCCTCGTCAGCACGATCTCCCTCCTCTCCACCGTCGATTCCACCCCCAGGCCCAAATTCCCCCACTTGGCCCCCGTTTCAATCACAAATTCGCACTTATCTTCCTGGAAGGGGATGGTGTGGTCGTTGAGCGTGACTGTAGAGCGGGAGCCCGCTAACTCCAGGCGTTGAGAAACAGGAGCATCGAATCCGCACTCAAACAAAGCCGTTAGCCCATTTCGCCAGCACAGGTAACCACCGCAGCGGATCAGCACACCCTCTTCGTTGACCTTCGCGTCAGGGAGACCGATCACTTTATAGGGAAGCTCGAAATCCGCAGCCCAGAGCGACGCGCGCACGCAGTACCACCCAATATCTCCCAAGCACCCCAACCCGTCTAGACCCTTTTTCAGTCGAATGTCTTTCTGCATAAATTCCTCCGATCCCGGGAAGAAGAAATTCGACGTCACGCGCATCAGCTGCCCGAAAACTTCCCGATCCTGCAGGACTGCTTTCATTTCGGCTGCCCGAGGATTGTGCATCCACATCGTACCGTCCATTATCTGAACCCCTGCTGATTCGACGGCTGCGATCATCGTCTTCAGATCGTCCACATTCAGCGACACGGGCTTCTCGAGCAGGATGTGCTTTCCGTGATTCGCGGCTTTCACCACCCACTCCACGTGGAGGCCCGTCGGCAGCGGGATGTAAACGGCGTCTACCAGCGGATCCGCGATGACGTCAGCGTAGCTCCCGTAAATCGCGGCGTCGTCGGCCATGCCGACCTCCTTAGCGAACTGCGCGGCTCGCTCGTAAGATCTGCTCCCTATGGCGTACGGAACGACCCCCGAGACGTGCAGCATCGCGCGAATCACCTTCCGCGCGATCTTCGCCGTGCCTAGGATGCCGAACCTAACAGGCACGGGGCTCAGCGGCGCGTCAGGTTCGGCCATTGCTACTCTCCGCAGGATGCACGAAAGTACAAGGAATGGACGGTTGTACGATCAGGCAAACGGCCGTGCGGGCGATAGAAGTTAAAACAAGCGGAACTGCGTCAAATGTGACGTTGAGTCAAATGTGGCCTGAAATGGTTGGAATGTACTAACGGGACGGGAGCGGGAGGTTGCTTTAGGAGTGTGAATGATGATTCGGAGCGAGCGGCGAGGACAAGCAGGTGAAATAAATCCGTGATCAGAAAATACGGAGTCGAGGAAGGGGGGTGGGGACAGGCCGCGCCAGTAGCCTTCAGAACTATCCATATGGCAGCCACCTACACCACGAAATCTATATTGGGTTTATTCATACACCAGCACTTAACATGGTGCATCGCTTAGCAGATAACCTAATGGGTGCCTCTTTTCTTGCAGGCGTTGGAAAGAAACAAGCATATTAGTCGATGAATAAGCTCAATCGATATTCCTTAATGTGATGTATTACCGTACTTGAGCACCTCTGTCTAACATATGCTCCCTCCTGCATGCTTTATCTAAATGCTGCTGTTGCCCTACTTCCACCAATTGTCGTCCTTGAGACCTTCTGTGTAGTATGTGAGCTACACGCCAACACTTCATGACAAATCACCATACATCATGCAATAAGAAACAGACCAAACAATTGAGGCCCAATGCATCGACACAATAAGCCCTGATTCAAAGGTGGTCCAATACAATGTGAAGTAACGAATTAGTTATTAAATTATATCATATTATATATATATATATGTAGGCTTGGTAGTGTTAAGATAGGAAGGCTAGGAGGTATGAAAGGCCGCCATGATAATGACGGTGGGGTTTAGCTAGGAGGTAGGCGAGAGTGTCGAGAGAAAATATGGTAGATTAGAAAGAGAGAGGGATACAAGGAGGGGATTGTACCCTCTACAGTAGAGTTCGGTAACCTACCAAGCCTACCAATTATATAACACAATATATAATTTAACAGGTATGTGTTGCTGAATCCTACTGTAGAGGGTACAACTCCCTCCTTGTATCCCTCTCTCTTCTAATCTCACTCTCTTCTCTCGCGACATTCTCTCCTAGCACCTAAACCTCTCGCCATTCAGGGCTTCTCCCCCAAGCTAGCTCATCTTAACATGGTAACAGAGCAGGTTCAACCTGCTGGACCTTCTTCTCTCGCTTCCGCCGTGCACTCCTACTCTCTCTCTCTCTCTCTCTCTCTCTCTCTCTCTCTCTCTCTCTCTCTCTCTCTCTCTCTCTCTCTCTCTCTCTCTCTCTCTCTCTCTCTCTCTCTCTCTCTCTCTCTCTCGCGCGCGCTGCCATGGCGGCCGCGTCGTGCTGCTGTGGCGGCGTCGTCGTGCCGCCGGCCCCTTCATGCTGCTGTGGCAGTGTCGTCGTGCTGCCGCGGCTGTCTCGACGCACAGCCGTGGCGTCGACGTCAAGCCGTGGCGGCGTCGTCGACGTCAAGCCGTGGCAGCGTGACGGTGCCGTCGTGCTGCCGTGGCGACGTGCTGCCAGCGCGCGGACGGCAGCGGCCAACGCCCCGTCTTAGCGCTGGCCAGCACGCCCGCATGCAGCCAGCGCGCCACACGGGGCGGCACGCTCCTGGGCTCCGCTGCTGAAGCCCCGCCCCCTTCCCCTGGGTCCCCTCTTTCTCGCCGCAGCCGACGGCTGACTCGCCCGGCCGTCCCACCGTCGCGGAACCCGGCCCCGCCGCCGAGTGCTGCGAGCTCCGCCGCCGCCGCAGCTGGTGCCGCTGGCCACGCCGCCGCACGCCGCCGCCGCTGTCGACGCTGCCGCCGTCGCCGCCGTTGCAGCCGCTGTCCTCGCTGTCGACGTCGCCGCCTCACGCGCCGAGGGGCTGACCCTGCTGGAGTAGTCGTCGCTGCTGCTGAGTATGGGGGTGCTAGGCTTAGGGGGTGTGTGGCTTAGTGTGTTGTGTGTGTGGTGGGCTTTCCACTACCAAGCCTAAAGCGTGTGTTAAATTATATTATAGATATATAATTGTAGGCTTGGTAGGTGTTGCTGGATCCTACTATAGAGGGTACAACTCCCTCCTTGTATCCCTCTCTCTTCTAATCTCACTCTCTTCTCTCTTGCCATTCATGGCTTCTCCCCCTAGCTAGCTCATCTTAACATTAGTATCAATCAAGAACACATGACCTTTTACCATGCGCAACAAACCACACCATGCCATGGGAAACAGCAATCCATGGCATAGGTAGCACACCTTGCAGCATACCATACCATGCCATGAGACACATGGCACACCGTGTCAGATCACACCACACCATGTCACATGCAACAAACAACAACACACCGCCCCTCTACCTGCGCCTATCAGCTGGCCTTTGCTCTCAGCCGGATGGCCTGTACACCTCCCTGCCCTTCCCTGTCCGTCCCTCCCTCCATTCGTTCTCATGTGATAGAGCCCAGGGGGGGGCGCGGGAAGGAAGGAAGGAAGGCAGAAGGTAGGCAAGACCGAGGAGACAACCAACCAAAAGTACGGGAAAACGACCCTCCGGCAGCATAGTCAAGCACCCTCTAGCAGAAGAGTCACGGCTAAACACCCCTCTAGCAGCACAGTCACGGGCAGAACCTGTGAACCAGGGGAATGGCACGGGGGAAGAGGGTGGGGTGCGAGAGGTGGGGAAAGAAGGGGGAGGGGACGTGAGCAAACGAAGAGACGAAGCAATGCGGAAAAGATAACTCACTAGAAAGGTGGGAGTGAGAGCAAGGTGCACATGCGGTAGAAAATCCACATGCGGTAGAAAGTGAAGAGGTGTGGAGGTATGGAGGTCTGGAATTATGGAGGTATGGAGGTCTGGAGGTGTGGAGGTATTGAGGTGTGGAGGTGTGGAGTTATGGAGTGTGGAAATATGGAGGTATGGAGGTGTGGAGGTAAGGAGGTGTGGAGGTAAGGAGGTGTGGCGGTAAGGAGGTGTGGAAGTATGGAAGTGTGGAGGTATGGAGTGTGGAGGTATGGAGGTGTAGAGGTGTGGAGGTATGGAGTGTGGAAGTATGGAGGTGTAGAGATGTGAAGGTGTGGAGGTATGGAGGTGTGGAAGTGTGGAGGTATGGAGGTGTGAAAGTGTGAAGGTGTGGAGGTGTGAAGGTGTGGAGGTGTGGAGGCCTGGAGGTGTAGAGGTGTAGAGGTGTGGAGGTGTGGAGGTATGGAGGAGTGGAGGTATAGAGGTGTAGAAGTGTGTGAGGTGTGGAGGTGTGGGGGTTTGGAGGTATGGAGGTGTGGAGGTGTGGAGGTATGGAGGTACGGAGTTGTGGAGGGATGGAGGTGTGGAGGTATGGAAGTGTGGAGGTATGGAGGTGTGGAGGTATGGAAGTGTGGAGGTATGGAGGTGTGGAGGTATGGAGGTGTGGAGGTATTGAGTGCAGAGGTGTGGAACTATGGAGGTGTGGAGCTGTGGAGGTGTGGACCTGTGGAGGTATGACGGTGTCGAGGTGTGGAGGTGTGGAGGTGTGGAGGTGTGGAGGCGTGGAGGTGTGGATGTATGGAGGTGTGGAGGTATGGAGGTAGGGAGGTGTGGAGGTATGGAGGTGAGGAGGTGTGGATGTTTGGAGGTATGAAGGTATGGAGGTGTGGAGGTGTGGATGTGTAGAGGTTAGGAGGTGTGGAGGTATGGGGATGTGGAGGTGTGGAGTTATGGAGGTGTGGAGGTATGGAGGTGTGGAAGTATGGAGGTGTGGAGGTGTAGAGGTGTGGAGGTATAGAGGTCTGAAGGTGTGGAGGTAAGGAGGTGTGGAGGGTATGGAGGTGTGGAGGTATGGAGGTGTGGAGGTATGGAGGTGTGGAGGTGTGGAGGTATGGAGGTGTGGAGGTTTGGAGGTATGGAAGTGTGGAGGTGTGGAAGTGTGGAGGTGTGGAGGTATGGAGGTGTGGAGGTGTGGAGGTATGGAGGTGTGGAGGTATGGAGTTGTGGAGGTGTAGAGGTATATGGAGGTGTGTAGGTGTGGAGGTGTGGAGGCGTGGAGGTGTGGAGATATGGAGGTGTGGAGGTATGGAGGTGTGGAGGTATGGAGGTATGGAGATGTCGAGGTATGGAGGTGTCGAGGTGTCGATTTGTCGAGGTGTGGAGGTATGGAGGTGTGGAGGTATGGAGGTGTGGAGGTATGGAGGTGTGGAGGTTTGGAGGTGTGGAGGTATGGAGGTGTGGAGGTATGGAGATGTGGAGGTATGGAGGTGTGGAGGTGTGGAGGTGTGGAGGTATGGAGGTATGGAGGTGTGGAGGTATGGAGGTGTGGAGGTATGGAGGTGTGGAGGTATGGAGTGTGGAAGTATGGAGGTATGGAGTTCTGGAGATTTGGAGGTGTGGAGGTGTGGAGGTGTGGAGGTATAGAGGTGTAGGTATGGAGGTGTGGAGGTACAGTATGGATGTATGGAGGTGTGGAGGTGTGGAGGTGTGGAGGTATGGAAGTATGGAGGTATGGAGGTGTGGATGTGTGGAGGTGTGGAGGTATGGAGGTGTGGAGGTGTGAAGGTGTGGAGGTGTGGAGGTGTGAAGGTGTGGAGGTGTGGAGGTGTGAAGGTGTGGAGGTGTGGAGGTGTTAAGGTGTGGAGGTGTGGAGGTGGCAACCCCTTTCTACCTCCCGCCCTTTGTCCATCATCCCCCTCCACCGTACCCCTCCCCAATCCACTCCTACTAGTCCCCCTGCACCCCTCCCTCCTTCCGATGACATCATGCTGTCACTCTCACCAAAGTGGCTAGCGCACAGCCAGAATGCTTGCAGCAGAGGCGTCTACAGTGGGGATGAGGGCTGCAGGGCCAAGGCCCAGATGTCCGAGGGAGTAGGTGGAGAGCATGGGCTGGGGGGGGATCAGGGAGGCACGGGAGTCCAAAGGGTGACGGACGGAGCAGGGAGGCATGGGAGTCCCAAGGGTGACGGACGGAGCAGGGAGGCACGGGAGTCCCAAGGGTGACGGACGGAGCAGGGAGGCATGGGAGTCCCAGGTCTCCGTGGTGTTTCCTCCTTGATTCCTGACGTCTCTTGATGCCTGACGTCTCTTGATGGCTGACGTCTCTTGATGGCTGACGTCTCTTGATGGCTGACGTCTCTTGATGCCTGACGTGTCTTGATGCCTGACGTCTCTTGATGCCTGACGTCTCTTGATGCCTGACGTTTCTCGATGGCCGAGCAGCCTCCGCTGATAGACCCACCGCCATCAACTCTCAGAATCAACGGCAGAGGAAACGCGGGACGAGCAGATGGGGAGGGAGGGGGGAGAAGGAAGGCGGCATAAGTACGATCGCAACGCTGCCAAGGACTCCAGAGAAGGACTATGCTAAAGCCGTTGAATTCTAGCAGCAAACCTAGAGACTAGAAGCCGAACGGTGAATGGATAAGGGATGAGGTGAAAGAGAAAGGAGTAGCCGCCCTGAAGAGTAACTTGGTTGGAGGGAGAGGAGATGTCTGGCGGTTCGGCAAAAATAGCGGGAAAATCATTCTGTGTGTGTGGGTGTCAGAATTTGTTCAAACCAGCCCAAAATAACATTGAATATGCTCACGATAAGGCATCTATCCATGACACAATCAACAAATCAGAGAGCATTATAGCAGCGATGGCAATATAAACAGAGAATATTTAGGTGCTAAATAATGGAGAGTACATCTCTCCATGTAAATGACAGCTCATGCTTGGTTGTATTGAAGGGCCTAACCTCAAATCAATCATGTTGCTGCAACTCCTCACATCACAATTCATTATTTTCCCTCCCTGATGTCAATTGCAGACTAAGTGAGGGCATCCATCATGCAGCAGCAGCAAAGACAAGCGAGGCTGCACAACGCACACACATGAAAAAAATATAAATTGATGATTATACAGCTAGTCCACGTCAAGTGCATGAAGCCAAGCAGATGCCGTGACTTACAGGCCAGCACAGAAGTCGTCGAAGGCGTTTCCCCGTCGTTCAGTGACAATTACGGCACCAGGCGGGGGAGGGGGGTAACCCTGGGCTGGATAGCCTTGAGGGGGATAGCTTTGAGGGGGGTAGGGGTACCCTCCTGCCTGTGGTCCATAGCTCGGCGGGGGAGGCGGAGGCTGGCCATAATAACCTGGAGGATATACATACTGTAATTCAAAGTTAATCGGCGATTGCTGCATGCAACAGGGGGGAAAACAATCGGCGGCTATCATAACCTGGAAGAAACAGACACGCTACCTTGGTTCGGTGGCGTGCCCACGGGTCCTTGATACATCGCCATGGCAGAATCAGCGGAACGAGCCTACTACTAATCTCGCCTGAATCGTTTGCTTATGTATATCAGTCACCCAACTCGCGTCACGAGACGCGATTCTCCAAAATCGCAGTCGTAGGAACACCTTGATTTCCTGGTGCACTAAAGCTCGACAGCACGGGTGTACATTATCAGCGGGCCAAAGAAATTCCCATGGAAAGCAGATTATCATTGGTGTGTGCTTGCGTGGAGCCGTCAGGAGGAACGCTGACAGCCAAGTGAACACAATTCCTAGGAAATTCTGATGCATGGCGGCGTTGGGATGGTGAGCCGGGTTGAAGAGAAATCAGCACTTTTCGGAAATTGTACGCGGTAAAGGCTGCCTTTGTGCATCCAGTCGCAAACAACCGTCTACATGTGGAATATTTCATTTCAGAAACAGCCGCCAGGGACTTTTGGCCAACCTCCTCGCGTTTGCATTGGCCCGCTCCTAGCACCCAGTGAAGCCTGGCGAAATATAGCAGAGCAGCCATCCTCACACCATCTGATCAGCAGCCAGAATTGCTCCTTTTATAACAGGAGACTGAATGCCAGTGGCGGCCAGTGGCAAAACCTCAGTTAGCATCGAACAGCAGCACGCACTCCTCGTTTATGGCATAGTAGTGGTAGGAAATAACCAGGTGCCTCAGTGGCACGAGCAATGCCACGGACTGGTCTCGCGGCTTTCAGTTGGTAGTTTTATTGAAACCGCGTGCTCTCGACGGGCTAGAGCATTTCATCGCCTTTATAGACGGAGTTTGTGTGGCGGCCTTGTAGCTGACTCCGTTAGTGTCGTGGTTTCCTGAACCCGCGAATGCTCCCAGCTCAACATTGGCCGCTCGTATCCTTGTAGCGAACTCCCGAGTCTATCAGTCACAAGTCTGCCGGCTCTCATCGCCTGCTATTCTCGCATCAGCCGAGGTTTCCTCTCCTCCTCTTGCCTCCCTGCCTCGTGCCGACCAGAAACGCTGTTCTCCGACAGAAACGGATAGAAATCTCCATAGTCGCGTGCTGGCGTTGTAGCAGACTCTTACCATCGACTTATTGTCGCCTGATCCGGGGAATGCTCTGACCAGCTTATAATTGTAGCTGAATCTTACCGCTTGTATCAGTAACGAATCTGTCCCAGCCGAATCCACGTCTCCCTGTCCGCTTCCGCCTTCCCGTTCGCTTCCGCCTGTCCTCCCCCTGACATGGTGTCGGACGCGGCTAAGCGCAAGGCGGCGGCCAAAAAGGCCGCGCAGCTCAACCGCAGCGCGCAGAAGGTTTCAGCCACTCCCGCAGACCCTTCCGCCACCCCCGCAGCCCCCTCCGCCGCCTCCGCCGTTGCAGCCGCGGAGGTAGCACCTTCCGCGGGTGGCGGGGCAAGCACAGGTCCTGGGGTAGATGGCGCGGCAGCATCCGCTGACGCGGAAGGGACGCCTGGTGTAAGCGCTTAGTGGCAGGGGAGAAGTGTGGTTGCAGCGTCAGGTCAGGTGTTCTTAGTCGAGGGTTCAGGGTTTAAAGCGAAGGTTCAGGACAGCAGAAGGATGGGTCTGGAGTAATCTCCCAAAGAGATCATGCCGTCTCGCCTGCCCTTCATGTGTCTCCTCCTGCCATCGTTGCACGCTGCCATGCCTCCTCCTGCTCCCTTTGTGCCCATAGGCCTCTTATCCCCCTCTCCCCCCCCCCCCCCCCTGCCCGCTTTTCCTCCCCTTGGTCCCCCTTCCCCTATTCCCTCGTGTTCCCCCAGCTGTCCGTGACACGAGTGGTCTTTCCGCCCTCCCTGACGCCCAAGCAACGCGCCGCATTGCACGGTGAGAGCTGTACGGTGAGGGTGTGGAGGGTGTTACTTGGTGAGCGTTACATGGTGGGAGCTGCATGTTCTGCTGGCTATGTGAGGCGTGCTGGCTATGTGAGGCGTGCTAGCTATGTGAGACATGCTGGCTATGTGAGGCATGCTGGCTATGTGAGGCATGAGGCATGCTGGCTATGTGAGGCATGCTGCTGGCTATGTGAGGCATGCTGGCTATGTGAGGCATGCTGGCTATGTGAGGCATGCTGCTATGTGAGGCATGCTGCTATGTGAGGCATGCTGGTGTGGGAGCTGACTGCGTGAGAGCTGCTCGGATCCATTGCTGGCTCTGATTGCAAGGAGAGCTCTCCTGTTGAATGCTGCCGCCGCTCACATCGTTCCATCCTCGTGCAATCCAATCAGATCTTGCGGAGTCTAATGGGTGGCGTCACGAGAGCCGGGACATGCCGGACGGCTCGCTTCGGCAGCTAGTGCTTTGGCGGGAAGGGGGAGGAGGGGGAGGGGGGGCAGAGGGGGCGGAGGGGGAAGGCAGGACAGTGCACTTGGGGGCGGAAGATGGGCAGCAGCAGCAGCAGCCAATGGGAGTGCAACAGCTGGCAGCAGCTTTAAAGGAGCACCTGGGATGGAATGTGTCTGTTGATGCACTTGGGGGGGGTGCAAATGGGGGAGGCGGTGGTGGTGAGGGTAAGGGGGTGGGGGGCAGAGGAGGGGGGAAAGATGGAGGAGAGCGAGGGAAGGGGAGCATGGGGTATGGGGCGGTGGGGGTGGGCAGGGCGCGAGGGGGCGTGGCAGCAGATGTGAGTGACTGCAGCGACGTGAATGATTTTGTGAAGAGGATGCGACCGCTGCTGGATATGGAGAAGGTGAGACATGGGGAATGTGTGAGACCTGGAGAAGGTGAGACCCGGAGAAGGTGAGACCTGGAGCCAAGTGCCTTGTCACCTACAGTGCTCTGAAACCCACTGTTCCCCACCCCCCTCTCCTGTCCCACCCATTCGCAGGATGCCGAGGTGGCGCTAACGACAGAAGCTGCCACAACCAACTCCCTGGCATCAGCTCAGGCCAAGGGCCGAGTGCTCTGCCACCTGCGCTGCACAGAAGCCTCTGCTGGTGTCACGGGCAATCGTTACAGTTCCCCTCTCTCCTTCCACTCCCTACCTCCCCCTTGTAGGATGCAGAGGTGGCACTAGCAACAGAAGCCGCCTCCACACGTTCGCTGGCATCAGCTCAGGCCAAGGGCCGGGTGCTCTGCCACCTACGGTGCACGGAAGCCAATGCCGGGCTCATGGGCAAGACCCTCCTCACGCTCGTCTCCAACAAAGCTGGGAAGGCCAGCAGCAAAGGCGGGGGAGGAGCAGACGGAGCGGCATCTTCAGGGTCGGGCTCGCGTGCTGCTGGTCCGGTGCTCCCGCCCCACAAGTTCACCCCGCACGACGTGGTGGCGATACGAGCTAATAAGGGAGATGGGGCACAGCCGGCGATAGCCCAGGGCGTGGTGTACCGGGTGAGGGAGGATGCAGTGGTGGTGGCGGTGGAGGAGGTGCCGGATGGGGAGGGGCTGGACGCCCCCGTGCGCATGGAGAAGCTGGCGAATGATGTGACGTACAAGCGCATGAGAGACACACTGGGGGCGCTCAGCAGAGTGGGAGATATAGGCACAGTCAAAGCCCCAGGGGCGGCCCTCATCCCGGTAAGAAGGAGAAAGTGAGGATAGGAGAGCTGGTCACTGGTCCACTGGTCCACTGGTCCACTGGTCCACTGGTCCACTGGTGCAATGGTCCACTGGCCCACTGGTCCACTGGTGCAATGGTGCACTGGTCCACTGGTCCACTGGTGCACTGACCCACTGGTCCACTGGTCCACTGGTGCACTGGCCCACTGGTCCACTGGTCCACTGGTGCACTGGTGCACTGGCCCACTGGTCCACTGGTGCACTGGTGCACTGGCCCACTGGTCCACTGGTGCAATGGTGCAATGGTCCACTGGTCCACTGGTGCAATGGTGCACTGGTCCACTGGTCCACTGGTCCACTGGTGCACTGGTCCACTGGTCCACTGGTCCACTGGTGCAATGGTCCACTGGTCCACTGGTCCACTGGCCCACTGGTGCACTGGTCCACTGGTGCACTGGTGCACTGGCCCACTGGTCCACTGGTCCACTGGTGCAATGGTGCAATGGTCCACTGGTCCACTGGTGCAATGGTGCACTGGTCCACTGGTCCATTGGTCCACTGGTGCACTGGTCCACTGGTCCACTGGTCCACTGGTCCACTGGTCCACTGGTGCAATGGTCCACTGGTCCACTGGTCCACTGGTCACTGGTCCACTGGTCACTGGTGCACTGGCCCACTGGTCCACTGGTCCACTGGTGCACTGGTGCAATGGTCCACTGGTCCACTGGTGCAATGGTGCAATGGTCCACTGGTCCACTGGTCCACTGGCCCACTGGTGCACTGGTCCACTGGTGCAATGGTCCACTGGTCCACTGGTCCACTGGTCCACTGGCCCACTGGTGCACTGGTCCACTGGTCCACTGGTGCACTGGTCCACTGGTTCACTGGTCCACTGGTCCACTGGTCCACTGGTCCACTGTGCACTGGTGCACTGGTCCACTGGTCCACTGGTCCACTGGTCCACTGGTCCACTGGTGCTATGGTCCACTGGTCCACTGGTCCACTGGTGCACTGGTCCACTGGTCCACTGGTGCACTGGTCCACTGGTCCACTGGTCCACTGGTCCACTGGTGCAATGGTCCACTGGTCCACTGGTCCACTGGTCCACTGGCCCACTGGTCCACTGGTCCACTGGCCCACTGGTCCACTGGTCCACTGGTGCACTGGTGCACTGGCCCACTGGTCCACTGGTCCACTGGTGCAATGGTGCAATGGTCCACTGGTCCACTGGTCCACTGGCCCACTGGTGCACTGGTCCACTGGTGCAATGGTCCACTGGTCCACTGGTCCACTGGTCCACTGGCCCACTGGTGCACTGGTCCACTGGTCCACTGGTGCACTGGTCCACTGGTTCACTGGTCCACTGGTCCACTGGTCCACTGGTGCACTGGTGCACTGGTCCACTGGTCCACTGGTCCACTGGTGCTATGGTCCACTGGTCCACTGGTCCACTGGTGCACTGGTCCACTGGTCCACTGGTGCACTGGTCCACTGGTCCACTGGTCCTCTGGTCCACTGGTCCACTGGTCCACTGTGCACTGGTGCACTGGTCCACTGGTCCACTGGTCCACTGGTCCACTGGTCCACTGGTGCTATGGTCCACTGGTCCACTGGTCCACTGGTGCACTGGTCCACTGGTCCACTGGTGCACTGGTCCACTGGTCCACTGGTCCACTGGTCCACTGGTGCAATGGTCCACTGGTCCACTGGTCCACTGGTCCACTGGCCCACTGGTCCACTGGTCCACTGGCCCACTGGTCCACTGGTCCACTGGTGCACTGGTGCACTGGCCCACTGGTCCACTGGTCCACTGGTGCAATGGTGCAATGGTCCACTGGTCCACTGGTCCACTGGCCCACTGGTGCACTGGTCCACTGGTGCAATGGTCCACTGGTCCACTGGTCCACTGGTCCACTGGCCCACTGGTGCACTGGTCCACTGGTCCACTGGTGCACTGGTCCACTGGTTCACTGGTCCACTGGTCCACTGGTCCACTGGTGCACTGGTGCACTGGTCCACTGGTCCACTGGTCCACTGGTGCTATGGTCCACTGGTCCACTGGTCCACTGGTGCACTGGTCCACTGGTCCACTGGTGCACTGGTCCACTGGTCCACTGGTCCTCTGGTCCACTGGTCCCTTTGTCAGACAGTGTCCATCGTTCCCTCCTCCCTCTCCTCTCCTCTGGTCTCCTCTTCTCTCCTCTCCTCTCCTCTCCTCTCCTCTTCTCTCCTCTCTCCTCCCATCAGAATTTCTTTGGCCAGTCCACCCCTCGACTCGCTAAGGCTCCACCGCCCTCCACCCCTGTCAACCGCTCTCTGGACGACTCCCAGAAGGCAGCCGTGAGCAAGATCCGCTTCCTCTCTCTCGCTCCTTCCCAATCCACTTCCCCCACCAGATTCTCTTCGGCCAATCAGCCCCTCGCCTCGCCAAGGCCCCACCGCCCTTCACTCCTGTCAACCGCTCTCTGGACGACTCCCAGAAGGCAGCCGTGAGCAAGAGCCTGTCCTCACACCACGTGGCGCTCATTCATGGACCGCCTGGCACGGGCAAGACGACGACGGTTGTTGAGGTGAGACTGTTACCTAAGAAGGTGAGGTTGTATGATAGGCTGCTCTTTGCTGATTCCTTTTGTGAAAGATCCTCTCCTCACACCACGTTTCGCTCCTGGCATGGACAAGATGACGTGAGGAGTCTATTTTTGAGGCGCCTCAAAAATAGACTCCTCACGCACGTGTCGCTCCTGGCATGGACAAGATGACCCCGGTTCTTAAGGTGGGGCGGCAGTGTTGCTGAGGTGAGGTTGTAGCAGCGGAAGTAATGCAGCTGCTGTGGGGAGGTGATGTTGCTGCTGGGCTTTGTTAGGTCAGCTCGAGATGCGCAGGGCGTTAGTGTGTGTTTCAACGTGTCCCTTTACCCGTCCCTCTCAATCCTTCCTTCCACGTCTCCAGACCGTGCAGCAGCAAGAGGTGGATAGGGGCAGCATGGTGCTGGTGTGTGGTTTGCCTTGTGCCGTTATCCACTCCTCTCTGTCCTCGCTTCCCTGGCTATTCAAACACCCCCTGTCTGCAGATCGTGCTGCAGGAGGTGAAGAGGGGCAGCAAGGTGCTGGTGTGTGCGGCGTCCAACATTGCCGTTGACAACCTCGTTGAGCGACTCGTGCCGCACAAGCCGGTGAGCAGCACCCAGGCAGCTCCAGTCACTCTGCTTGCCTCTGAACGAGATCCCAGTAACGGGCACATGGAGATGTGAGCAGCAAGGTGCTGGTGTGTGCAGCGCCCAACATTGCCGTGGACAACCTCGTGCCGCACAAGCAGGTCAGCTGGCAGCGTCCGTCTCTTCTCACCAAACATGCCAGCAAGCCCTGTTTCCCTTCGTGTCGCTCACCTCGTGCCCCTCCGCCTTTGGAGCGGTGAGTGGTGGAAGACACCAGCTGTTTGCTTTGCTTCCTTGTGCCCACCTGCCCCCCTGCCACTGCTTCCGCTGCCCCCTGGCGTTTCCCCCTGTGGCCTGCCTGCATGCATGGCAGGTGCGCGCAGTGCGAGTGGGGCACCCAGCGCGACTGCTGCCGTCCATCCTTGACTCGTCCCTTGATGCACTGGTAAGCCACCAGGTGCATGCATGCATCATTATTCAGGCGCCTCTCGGGTCATGCAGGCATGCAAGTGTGTGGTTGCACATGCAGTGTCGTGCTCTTGAGGAGCACCTTCAGGCTACTCCAGATAGCACCTTTAGGCTACTCCAGATAGCACCTTCAGGCTACTCCAGATAGCACCTTCAGGCTACTCCAGATAGCACCTTCAGGCTACTCCAGATAGCACCTTCAGGCAGCTCCAGAAAGCTCCAGGCTACTCTTCAGGCAGCTCCAGATAGCTCCACGCAGCTCCAGACATAAGTGGGCTCGGCCAAATTTGCGTACAGCGTTTGCACACTAGCATTTGCGTACTCACTGGGCCGCCGGACCACTCACTGGGCCGCCGGTCCACTCACTGGACCGCCGGACCACTCACTGGACCGCCAGACCACTCACTGCACCGCCGGACCACTCACTGGACCGCCGGACCACTCACTGGACCGCCAGACCACTCACTGCACCGCCGGACCACTCACTGGACCGCCGGACCACTCACTGGACTGCCGGTCCACTCACTGGACCGCCGGACCACTCACTGGACCGCCGGACCACTCACTGGACCACCGGACCACTCACTGGACCACCGGACCACTCACTGGACCGCCGGACCCCTCATTGGACCGCCGGACCACTCACTGGACCGTCGGACCACTCACTGGAAAACGCCCCCGTCGTCCGAAGGCAGCCCCATCTTCCGAAGGCGCCCCCGGTCCTGACATGGCAGGCAAGTTCCTGACATGGCAACCAAGTTTATGGTGCTGGGCACTCAGCTACAGGCAGCCCCTGGCAGCCCCAGACAGCAGCGCATTAGCCCTCTCTTTCTTCATTTCCCTCCAGCCTCCTCTCTTGCCTCTCCGCCCTCCTCCAACAGGTCCAGCTGTCCGACAGTAGCGCAAGCGCAACGGGATTCAGCAGCTGCCTTGGTTCCCCTCCCCCTCCTCCCCTGCTCCCTTCTGTTTCCTCAACCACTACTCTCCACTACTGCCTTGGTTTACCACCCTCGACTCTTGTCTCACTCTCTCCCTTCCCTTCCTCCTCTCGCTTGTCTCTCGCTGCCACCCAACTCTCCCCTTTCCCCACTCTCAGGTGCAGCAGTCGGACAGCAGCGCCCTGGCCAAGGACGTGCGCAAGGAGATGCAGCAGCTTTCCGGGAAGCTGCTCAAGACGAAGATGAGGCGCGAGAGGGGCGATATTCAGAGGGAGTTGAGGCGCCTTGGCAAGGAGGAGAGGCAGCGGCAGCAGCGGGCGGTGGAGGATGTGTTGAAGGATTCGAACGTGATCCTTACCACGCTAACTGGGTGCATGTCACGCAACCTCGAGGTAAGTTGACATCATGGTGCGAGTTTCTGTGGTGGCTGGCGAAGGAGGAGAGGCAGACACAGCAGCAGGGAGCTCGTGAGGTTCAGCCTCGTGGTCATACGCGAAGCAGCACAAGCCTTTTTATCACTCTTCGTTGCCGTTTCCTCCCCCGACCCCTCCTCCATCCCACCCTTCCCTCTCCACTCCTCCCGTCCATCCCCCCACGTTCGACCTGGTGGTAGACAAGGCGGCGCAAGCCCTAGAGGTCTCCTGCTGGGCGGCGCTCCTCAAAGCCCCACTTCCCCTCATCCACCCCCTCTCCCCCTCTCCCCCCCAGCTCCTGACGTCCGACCTGGTGGTCATAGGCGAGGCAGGTGTCCTGCTGGGCAGCCCTGCTCAATGCCCTCTTCCGCTCTTCCCCTCTCCCCCTCCCCGCCCCCCCAGCCCCTCACATTCGACCTGGTGGTGATAGACGAGGCAGCACAAGCCCTGGAGCTCTCCCCCCCACCCCACCCCTCCCCTCCCCCTCCCTCCTCGCAGCCCCTGACATTCGACCTGGTGGTCATAGACGAGGCAGCACAAGCCCTAGAAGTCTCCTGCTGGGCGGCGCTGCTCAAGGCCCCGCGCTGCGTGCTGTCAGGCGACCACCTGCAGCTGCCGCCCACCATCCAGTGCGAGGAAGCGCAGAAGCGCGGCCTCGGAGTGACCCTCTTCGAGCGCCTGCACCGCCTGTACGGGGATGAGATCACCTCCATGCTCACCGTGCAGTACCGCATGCATGAGGATATCATGGCGTGGGCGTCCGATGAGCTGTACAGGTCGCTGCTGTCCGCGCATGCTTCCGTGGCCAGGCACGGGCTCCCGGACCTGCCGGGCGTGGTTTCCGGGCCTGTCACGGAGGCTCGGCTGGTGCTGGTGGATACGACGGGGTGTGACGAGGTGGAGGAGCAGCGGGAGGAGGAAGGGGAGAGTTTGAGGAATGAGGGGGAGGCGCGGGTGGTGGTGGCGCATGTGAGGAGGTTGCTGGAAGCTGGGGTGGATGCCGGGGACATAGGGATTATCACGCCGTACAGTGCACAGGTGGGGTATGGTAGGGATGGTTACATCACACACAGACTTAACAGTTTGTTGCGTTTCGAGTACATTTCTCTCCATAGATTCAGTATCTCACGATTGAGCTGCAGATTTCCATTCATGCAGCAGTTCAGAATCTCTTCCTCCTTGGGACCCTTCACATCACTCTCCCCGGCTCTCACTACCCCAGGTGGGGCTACTCAAGTCCTTCAGGGAGGATTCACGGCAGCTGGTCCGCGTAGAGATCAGCACAGTTGATGGGTTTCAGGGGAGGGAGAAGGAGGCCATTATCATATCCATGGTCCGCTCAAATGACACTGGAGAGGTGAGACGCTCTGGGCATTCCTCCCCTACTGCAGCCCCTTAATATGTGCCACTTACCATACCGTTGCCTTAGAACAAATGGCATTGTTTTCTCTCCTGCCATCCCCTTTTCACTTCTCCCCAATGACCACCCCGTTCCCCCACCTGCCTCCTGCTCAGGTTGGGTTCTTGGCGGATGAGCGGCGAATGAATGTTGCTGTCACAAGAGCTCGCCGGCAATGCTGCATTGTGTGCAACTGCGATACGGTGAACAATAACCCCTTCTTGCAAAGAATGGTTACGTACTTTGAAGAGCATGGGGAGTTGCTAAGTGCAATGGAGTACCTCTAGAATGGGTTGAGATTTCTTCTTTTAGTAAAGGTTATACTGTAGTGGGAATATTGTGCACACCTCTTTCATCAAATTCCAAGGTTTTGGCCGAATTCGGCCCTTGAAATTGGTTGGCTCTTTCGTGATCAGCTCATCTTCAGCTGACGCCTTTACAGGCAACGTATCTGCTAATGGGTTGAATCCGTCCTGGCGGGTCGCGCGCTGAAATCCATAGACATGACCTCTCAGGAACTTCTAGGCGGTCTCCCTCCTAGTCTTGGGAATGTCGTGTCCAGCTCCCGGTTGGTTACATGGCGATCCTTGAGTGTTATAGCATTCAGCTTGCAGCTAGTTCATGTGCTCGTCTGACGAGCTCTCACCTGGTGCAGGTAGCTTGCTTACTGCTGCTGCTGTTCCGTTATATCGTTGCAACATCTCAGCATGTTGATCAATCCGACATCAATGGCTCCTGCTGCAGACTATTCACGTGTCGTCGACTCGGACAAAGAGCATGAGGCAGGTTCCAGTCCGGCCAGAAAGAGTCCATGTCAAGAGTTCGATCAAGAGATTTCGTCCGCGACAAAATGGCATTGGGCATCAGTACTTTGGCGGCTCCTTTGTGCAGTCTCTTTCTTGCTCCTCGCTTTGTCAGGATTTCTGCTGTCTAGAAGCATCGCTGCAGGAGGAAGTGAACCAAAGCTGAAAGGGGTTGCTTCACTGACCCTAGCAAACACAACAGTTCTCAGTCAAACAGACAGCAGGTAATTCGATCTTATGATACATACTGGCTTCATCATTTTCGGATCCTCACTCTTCACATTTTCAGGTATTCAACTTACTCATTACCAGAGCCAAACGACCCTCACAATTTTGAAGACTTCCCTGCGGGGCTGTGTTGGAGCTCGTCCATCCATGGCGGTTGGAGCATATTATCGAACGAAACTGGAGCATCTGAACAAGACGCTTCGAAAATTGACATTCGTCCTGGTGGCGTCATGATTTATGGAGATGGATGCAAACTATGCCATATTGGTCAGCCTTGCTCTTTCTACATTGCGGTGCAATCACCAGCCCGTTGGCTCCCTGCTTCCGCATCGTCCTCCCTTCAATGGGACATGATGGTCACTCTGAAAGGGCCTTCCCTGATTCATGTGCATCTGACAACGCTGAAGGCTGATTCTCCAGGACAGTCTGTGTTCCTTGCCTCTTATACACCATGGGACGATGGCGATTACAGGTATGTGAATGTCTCCCTTTTCCAAGTCTCTTTGACCAGCTCGTTGCCTATTTATTGAGCGCATGCCATTCTGATTTTGTGTTCCCGTTGTGTGATTACAGCATGGAATTTCGAGTTGATGGCTTCAATCTTAACTACACAAATAACTGGAACCGCTTGGGACAGCACGTTTTTGCAAGAGTACCTGTTTTGGTGCTTCCAGGAAGCCAATCACATGATTCGCTGGAGCAACCTGAAACCAATATGGATTTGCCAGCAACCACGAGCCCATGTTCGCATGGGATTTATGGTCGATGGCTTGCGGACAGTGAGCCCACGAGCCAAGAAGCTGACTCGACTGACTCCACGCCAAGAAATGCTGACACAGAAGGCACCAAACCCGCTTACGTACAAAATGTGACAGCTGCGAAATACAGGTTAGTGAAAGGAAAGGATATGCAAAACGAAATTCCCACTTATTGAATGTCGTTTCTGATTTAAACAACAGCCTATCCTGAACGCTCTTGCTTGCGTGCAGGTGGACATTCTTCTCCTGCGCCCGTGCTGCTTCCTTGAATGACATGCTTTGGACATTGTGGAAGGAGGCGGGAGTATGGGAGGTGAATGTGATTGGAGACTCGCACATGAGAGGGTTGATCGTGCACCTCTGGTCCATGCATACAGGCATGAGCCATAATATGACTCTGGTGAGGCATGGTGACATCTCCTACACGCTCAATGTGACTGCACCAGAAGCAGCAGGAGATGCTCCAGCTGGTGGCAACGAGGTGAAGGAAGGAGTTATTCGTGTGAAGTACAACTGGCTGGATGGCATATATGACAACAACGTGGCAGGATGCACGTAAGTGTGCTGACAAGTAGCCTTGTACTGCTTCTTAACGCATTTCATAGGGAACTGCACATTTCTTTTCCTTCCTCAATGTCTCATTCTCTTCCTGTGTCCATCTTGCAGTCGCAGAGGCAGATATTCCAACCACACAACCACATATCCCACACCATCACCAACAGCAGACGTCACAGTCGTAGGCACAGGGCACTGGACGTTTGAGTTCTGCTCTGATGGTGCTGTCGCCTACCCCCACTATCTCCCTCACTTCCTCTCCTCCCTCCACCTCCTCCGTCCCAAGAAGCCTGCTGTTTTCTTCGGTCTGCCTTCCTTCTGGGTGGCAGATCGCAGGTGGATCAGAAGGACAAATGCTATGCTGGCATATGGCAATGGGATTGCACAGCCCCTAGCTCGCCACATGGGCCTGTCTTACTTTGACACGTGGCAGGTTACTGCGCCTCAGTATAGGGCCACATGCTCCTCAACTGATCCCCATTACTCATGCCCAGACAGGAATGGAGGCATGAGGGGGGAAGTAGGGGAGGCTGTGGTGAAGGCCTTTGTGCACTTTCTTGCACTTCAGCTTAGGTACGGAACACAATGATGAGCATCAACTGCTCTACTACAGAACGTCTGTTGGTTTCCTGAATTTAAATGCTTGGCTTACGGTTCCAGTAAGGTAGAGGAGATTCCCACATATTCGAATGTCCAGGTGCCCCAAAGATCAGTTCACGTACAATTCGAGTCTGCACTGAAAGTTTACTTTCCAAACATTGCACAAGCTGGCGCAAGAGGAGTGTTCACTGCAAGTGACAATTCTCTGGCGTTTCATTATTGAGGTTGCTAACCAAATTGGTGGATACAGGAGATGATGCAGGCCACTCAAGTGCTGCAAAGCTTACAAGCTACATCGAACTATCAAATATTCCACGTCAATCAACAAAAACTGGTTGCACAGTCTTCCTTGCTTCCTCCCATCTTGTTGCACGCCGCCAGTGATTGCCCGCCTGCCAGTAACACCATGCCATGCCATACCATGCCACACCATTGCACAAGGCACACCACACCATGGCATACCACAGCATGCCATATTGCATCACTCCATACCAGAAAATGACATGCCACATCATGGCATACCACACTACGCCATACCATTCCCCATGGTATGCTACAGCATGGTATACCACACCATGGAGGTTCATGGATACACGCTGGAGAGAGGTGGGGTGTGGAGCTGGCTGAAACGGTGACGGGCCATGGCATACGATGTGGAGGCATGTCACAGCATGGCATACCACATGGAATGTGGGAATGTGGCATGGTATGCCATGCTGTAGTACACCAGTCCAAATGCCACCACCACTTCCCACCACCACCACCACTTCTCACCAGCACCATCACCACCTCTCACCACCACCACCATCACTTCTCGCTACCACCACGACCACTTCTCACCACCACCACCACTTCTCACCACCACCACCACCACTTCTCACCACCACCACCACCATTTCTCACCACCACCACCACCACTTCTCACCACCACCACCACCACTTCTCACCACCACCACCACCACTTCTCACCACCACCACCACCACATCTCGCCACCACCACCACCACCACTTCTCACCACCACCACCACCACTTCTCACCACCACCACCACCACTTCTCACCACCACCACCACCACTTCTCACCACCACCACCACCACCACGACTTCTCACCACCACCACCACGACTTCTCACCACCACCACCACGACATCTCGCCACCACCACCACCACTTCTCACCATCACCACCACCACATCTCGCCACCACCACCACAACATCTCACCACCACCACCACCACATCTCGCCGCCACCACCACCACTTCTCACCACCACCACCACCACTTCTCACCACCACCACCACCACCACCACCACCACTTCTCACCACCACCACCACCACTTCTCACCACCACCACCACCACTTCTCACCACCAGCATCACCACATCTCGCCACCACCACCACCACTTCTCACCACCACCACCACCACTTCTCACCACCACCACCACCACTTCGCACCACCACCACCACCACCACCACTTCTCACCACCACCACCACCACTTCTCACCACCAGCACCACCACTTCTCACCACCAGCACCACCACTTCTCACCACCACCATCACCACTTCTCACCACCACCATCACCACTTCTCACCACCACCATCACCACTTCTCACCACCACCATCACCACTTCTCACCACCACCGCCACCGCCAACGCCAGCACCAGCACCACCGCCACCACCACCACCACCACCACCAGCACCACCAGCACCACCACCACCACCACCAGCACCACCAGCACCGCCACCGCCAACGCCAGCACCACCACCACCGCCACCACCACCACCAGCACCACCACCACCGCCACCACCACCACCAGCACCACCACCACCGCCACCACCACCACCAGCACCACCACCACCGCCACCGCCAACGCCAGCAGCAGCACTCAGAGTCGCCCCCTTTTCAGGCACCCCCGGCAGCACTGATTGCCACATGGGGCGGAGTGGGTCAGAGGAGGACTGCGCGGTCAGCCCAAGACCTGGGTGCCCCTCACCGGCGTAGCAAGAGTTGGCGCGAACCAGAGCCATTCGGCCGCAATGGTCTGACGGTGCCCATTATGCCTTAAACGCCGGGTATTGGGCCCAAGCACAGAGATTTGAGGCGCCGCAAACCCCATGACCCCACCCGCCCCACACGGCTCACAGCACTGCCAGTGGCGCCCTCAAGAGATTGAACCCCATGCAACCCTGCCTCCCCGCCTCCTCACACCCTCACCTCCTTACCTCCTTACCTCCAGCCCCAGAGAGCAAGCCAATGATGACGCTGAAGGGAGGGGAGGGAGGGGTGGGGGGGGTGAGGGTGGAACCGATTCACTCAGCTAAGGACATGGTGCTGCTGCAGGGGGGGAAGGGGGGGGGCGATTTTGAGGTGCAACTCACCATCCAGCCAAGAACCTCACGCTGCTTGGGAAGGGGGAGAGGAGGGGGGAGGGGAGGGGGGGATGAGACAACAAGGAGCATACCATACTATACCATAGCTTACCGTACCATACCTTACCATACCTCAAACCAGACCTCACTCTCACTGTCCCTGACTGTCCTGCCCTCTAAGTACCTAGCCCGTGCTGCCCCCCTGTCTGCTCCCACTGCTACGCTGCTGCTGCTGCTGCTGCTGCTGCTGCTGCTGCTGCTGCTGCTGCTGTGGCCCATCTGCTGCTTCAGTCCCCACAATCAGCCAAGTGACCTATCGGGGAGGGATAGGGAGGGGTTGGGAGGGGGAGTGGGGAGGGGGCAAGTGAGTGTGGGGGTGCATGGCCGAAACGAGAGCGAACTCGAGGTGAAGCGTGGGAGCGAGTGAGGGAGTGTGCTGAGGGCAGTGTGGGCTGAGCCACTCACCTTGGCGCTGCTGCTTGGAGGAGCGGGCAGGCAGAGCAGACAGCAGCAGCAGCTGCTTCGCCTCCCTCCCCCTGTGCCTCCCTGCAGACCCCCCTCTGCCCCTCCTCCCTCTGCTCTGCTAGTGGGGGGGGGGGGGAGGGGAGGGGGGGGTGACGGAGGGGCGGGCAAAGCAAAGTGAGTGAGCAGAAGAGAGACCATCAAACAGGAGATGCAGGGATGAGGGGAAGCAGGCTGCTGCGGCTCACCCAAGAGGCCATACCTTAGTCTGAACCTTCACCTACCAAAGGCAGAACAAGGGCTGCAATCGTACCAAGTAGTGCACCTGGGAGGCTGGGAATACCTGCTACCAGGGGACCTGAACCTCGCACCTGGGGAAGCCTCTTGTGTGAGCCTCAGTGCAGCAGGCTGATTGGGTGGAAGCAGCATGAGGCGGAAAGCGGAGTGCATGCATGGGGGGGGAGTGGATGCATGGGGGGGGGCAGTGATGGAGACAAGGCAACCAGGCGAGCAAAACAACAAGAGGAGCAGATTGGCAGGGTACTTATCTTTCGACAGGGTTGGGGCTGGCAGCACGCGGGTGCAGCAAGCACTGCTCCCCTCCCCCCGCCTCTCTGCTGCTCCCCCTGCTGCTCCTCCCCCAGGTGCTGCCTGCTGAACGTGCAAAGCTGGGGGGGGGGGGAGGAGGAGGGTGAAAGGGGGTGAAGGGGGGAGAGGCGAAGCAAAGTTAGTGAGCAACCAAGGCAGTTGAGCAAGGGGGTGATGTGCAACAGTGCAAGCAACGAGGAGTGCGAGCATGCAGGGAGGGGGAAGCGGCTGCTGTGGCTCATCAAAGCGACCATACCTTAGTCTCACTGCTTACCCACCAAGCCTGAACCACGGGCGGAGCTTACCCACCATGGCTGAACCACGGGCTGAAATTTTACCTGAGAGGGTGGGATACCTGGTACCTGGTACCTCAAGTCTGAAAGACACCTAGGGGGGGGAGGGCCGCTTAGGTGAGCCACGGGGCAGGTGGAGCAGTGAGAGCAGCGGATGGCAGCGAGCAATAGGAATGAACGAGAAGACTTTGGCGGAACAGAGGGACCAACGGCAGGGCCGGGCACTCATCTGCTTTGAGACGATCGGCTGCCTGACTGCAGCTCCCCCCCTGCTGCTTGCGCCCTGCTCGTCCCTGCTGCCTTGCGCTGCTGCCCTCAGCCATGCCTCCAAGGAAGCACTGGGTGGGAGGGGGTGTGGGGGTTGGGGGGGGGTGGGTGGGGGAGGGTGGGAGGGGGGTGAAGGGGAGTTAGGGAGGCGGAGTTGGAGTGGCGGAAAACAGGCAGGGAAGTGTGGCGAGCGATGGAGGCGAGATGCAGAAGCTGCTGTGGCGCACCCAAGAGGCCGTACCTCGGTCTGAACCAACCACAGGCCGAACCAGGGGTGGAAGGGTTTACCCTACACCTGGGAGGGTGGGGAACCTGGCAACCTGGGGGGGGGGATACCAAAGTCCGAACCTGATACCGGGGGGTGGCTCTTGGGCGAGTCACAGAGCAGCAAGTGCGGTAAGGGCAGCGAGTGGTGGAGTGCGCATGGAGTGGAGTGATGGCAGTGAGACGCGCACAGGCGAACGAAAGGCGACGAGAGCAGACTGGGCGGGGTCAGGGCAGGATACTCATCTTCTGACTCGCGGCGGGCAGAGAGTTGGAGAAGGGCTGCTGCTGCAGCTCCCGCCTCTGCGCTCGGTGACCCCCTTGGCGCTGCTCCTTGCCACCTGGTGGGAGGAGGGAGAGAGAGGAAGGGAGGGGGGAGAATGAGTGAGCAGAGGCGGGAGAAGACGAGCAGCCGTAGTCTGACACCATGCCAAAGGGGCTGAACCAGAGGCTGAGTGCTCACCTGAGGGCCGAGGCTTAAGAGTCATGCACCTGGTACCAGGGGACCTTCTTTTGAGGCGCCTCAAAACTGAGTACCACGCCACGCCAAGGGCTATGCACCTGGTACCGAGGGACCTTCTTACCTCAAGTCCGGGGGGGGGAGATTCGGAGCTCGTGGGTGCGCCACGGTGCAGCTGGAGCGAAAAAAAGAAGACGAGTTACGGCAGGGTAATTATCTTCTGAGTCGGGGCCGGCAGTGAGGCGGAGAAGGGGGCTGCTGCTGCTGCGGCGTCCTCTGCACTCGGTGACCCCATTGGCTCTGCTCCTCTCCACCTGCTGGAAGGGCGGGTGGGAGGAGCAAGAAGAGGGGTGCGAAGCGAGAGGAGTGGATAAGTGAAGGAGCAGGAGATGAGGAAAGGGCAAGAGCGCCATGGACTGACAGACATGGCAAGAGAGCGTCGCGGTGCGTCATGCAGCATGACAGCATGAATCGTCATGCAGCATGACAGCATGAATCGTCATGCAGCATGACAGCATGAATCGTCATGCACCATGACAGCATGAATCGTCATGCAGCATGACAGCATGAATCGTCATGCAGCATGACAGCATGAATCGTCATGCACCATGACAGCATGAATCGTCATGCACCATGACAGCATGAATCGTCATGCACCATGACAGCATGAATCGTCATGCACCATGACAGCATGAATCGTCATGCACCATGACAGCATGAATCGTCATGCACCATGACAGCATGAATCGTCATGCACCATGACAGCATGAATCGTCATGCACCATGACAGCATGAATCGTCATGCACCATGACAGCATGAATCGTCATGCAGCATGACAGCATGAATCGTCATGCAGCATGACAGCATGAATCGTCATGCAGCATGACAGCATGAATCGTCATGCACCATGACAGCATGAATCGTCATGCACCATGACAGCATGAATCGTCATGCAGCATGACAGCATGAATCGTCATGCAGCATGACAGCATGAATCGTCATGCACCATGACAGCATGAATCGTCATGCAGCATGACAGCATGAATCGTCATGCAGCATGACAGCATGAATCGTCATGCAGCATGACAGCATGAATCGTCATGCACCATGACAGCATGAATCGTCATGCACCATGACAGCATGAATCGTCATGCACCATGACAGCATGAATCGTCATGCAGCATGACAGCATGAATCGTCATGCACCATGACAGCATGAATCGTCATGCAGCATGACAGCATGAATCGTCATGCACCATGACAGCATGAATCGTCATGCACCATGACAGCATGAATCGTCATGCACCATGACAGCATGAATCGTCATGCAGCATGACAGCATGAATCGTCATGCACCATGACAGCATGAATCGTCATGCACCATGACAGCATGAATCGTCATGCACCATGACAGCATGAATCGTCATGCACCATGACAGCATGAATCGTCATGCACCATGACAGCATGAATCGTCATGCACCATGACAGCATGAATCGTCATGCACCATGACAGCATGAATCGTCATGCACCATGACAGCATGAATCGTCATGCACCATGACAGCATGAATCGTCATGCACCATGACAGCATGAATCGTCATGCACCATGACAGCATGAATCGTCATGCACCATGACAGCATGAATCGTCATGCACCATGACAGCATGAATCGTCATGCACCATGACAGCATGAATCGTCATGCACCATGACAGCATGAATCGTCATGCACCATGACAGCATGAATCGTCATGCACCATGACAGCATGAATCGTCATGCACCATGACAGCATGAATCGTCATGCACCATGACAGCATGAATCGTCATGCACCATGACAGCATGAATCGTCATGCAGCATGACAGCATGAATCGTCATGCACCATGACAGCATGAATCGTCATGCACCATGACAGCATGAATCGTCATGCACCATGACAGCATGAATCGTCATGCAGCATGACAGCATGAATCGTCATGCAGCATGACAGCATGAATCGTCATGCACCATGACAGCATGAATCGTCATGCAGCATGACAGCATGAATCGTCATGCAGCATGACAGCATGAATCGTCATGCACCATGACAGCATGAATCGTCATGCACCATGACAGCATGAATCGTCATGCAGCATGACAGCATGAATCGTCATGCACCATGACAGCATGAATCGTCATGCACCATGACAGCATGAATCGTCATGCACCATGACAGCATGAATCGTCATGCAGCATGACAGCATGAATCGTCATGCAGCATGACAGCATGAATCGTCATGCACCATGACAGCATGAATCGTCATGCAGCATGACAGCATGAATCGTCATGCAGCATGACAGCATGAATCGTCATGCACCATGACAGCATGAATCGTCATGCAGCATGACAGCATGAATCGTCATGCAGCATGACAGCATGAATCGTCATGCACCATGACAGCATGAATCGTCATGCACCATGACAGCATGAATCGTCATGCACCATGACAGCATGAATCGTCATGCACCATGACAGCATGAATCGTCATGCACCATGACAGCATGAATCGTCATGCACCATGACAGCATGAATCGTCATGCACCATGACAGCATGAATCGTCATGCAGCATGACAGCATGAATCGTCATGCACCATGACAGCATGAATCGTCATGCACCATGACAGCATGAATCGTCATGCACCATGACAGCATGAATCGTCATGCACCATGACAGCATGAATCGTCATGCAGCATGACAGCATGAATCGTCATGCACCATGACAGCATGAATCGTCATGCAGCATGACAGCATGAATCGTCATGCAGCATGACAGCATGAATCGTCATGCACCATGACAGCATGAATCGTCATGCACCATGACAGCATGAATCGTCATGCACCATGACAGCATGAATCGTCATGCACCATGACAGCATGAATCGTCATGCACCATGACAGCATGAATCGTCATGCACCATGACAGCATGAATCGTCATGCACCATGACAGCATGAATCGTCATGCAGCAGGACAGCATGAATCGTCATGCAGCAGGACAGCATGAATCGTCTGACGGCAGACCGGCCAGCGACTCACCCAAGGGACCATACCATACCTGAGGCTTGCACCTACCTGCAGATACCTGGCACCTGGGGGAGGGTCCCTGGATGAGCCACGTGGCAGCCGAGCCAGCAAACGAAAACGAAAGTCGAGTGAGCAAGTGTGGGGTGTGGATGGGTGCAGAGTGGCATTCCATTGGAGCTGAGACCAGGAGCGAGGTGTGCGGGGTACTTATCCTCAGTGGACGGCTGGTGGGTCGTGCAGAGCAGGCTCAAGGGCGATGCGCTGCTGCCGCTCCTCCCCTCTGTTCCTCTGCCGCCTGCTGTCGCCTCTGCTGCACTCCTGACGCGCGCATGGCACACACTCCCCCCCCGCTGCACCTGAGGGACCGAGGGTTGGGGAAAGGGGAGGGGGGATGAGTGGGGTGAGTGGGGTGAGTGGGGTGAGTGGGGTGAGTGGGTGGGATATGGAGGGTGAAAAACGACTGGCATGTAGGCCAGAACGTGATAAAAGCGTGCCGCGAGTGACAGCAAGTCGGCGGCTCACCCAAGGGACCATACCATACCTGAGGCTTGCACCTACTCGCAGATACCTGACACCTGTCACCTGGGGGAGGGTCCTTGGATGAGCCACGTGGCGAGCTGAGCCAGCAGAAAGAACGAGCCAGCAAGTGTCTGACGTGGATGGGTAAGGATTGGCAACGGAATGGAGTGGCACTGAGACAGGGAGTGAGGGGTACTTATCGTCAGTGGACGGTTGGTGGGGCCGTGCTGAGCTGGCAGGATGGTGAGGCCCACGCGTGCTGCACGTGCTGCTCCTCCCCTCCGCCCCTCTGCTGCCCCCTGCCGCTGGCTGCCTCGAGCAATCACGGCACCGCAACTCCCCCCAGCAGCACCTGAAGGAGCGGGGTTGGGGGATGGGGAGGGGTGGTGGGAGGGGGGCTCAACGACTGCGAGGCGTGAGAGGCAACTCGAATCGCGGAACGAAATCGATGCACGGGTGCAATGGTTGGCGAGGGATGGCAGAGCGACCGGCGGCTCATCCGAGGGACCATACCATGCCTGAGGCTTGCACGCACCTGATACCTGGCACCTGGGGGAGGGTCCCTGGATGAGCCACGTGGCAGCTGGTGGAAGGAGCAGTGAGGGCGGGAATGGGTGCGGATGGCATTGAAGTGGCGCTGTGACAAGCAGTGAGGAGTGAGGGGTACTTATCCTCAGTGGACGGATGGCGGGAGCATGCTGAGCTGGCAAAAGGGCGAAGCCTGCGCGTGCTGCACGTGCTGCTCCGCCCTCTGCGGCCCTCTGCTGCCTGCTTCCTGAAGCGAGCACGGCACCGCAACTCCCAGCAACAGCACCTGAAGGACCGGAGTTGGGGAGTGGGGTGGGTGGGAAGGGAAATGAGTGGGATGGGTGGGGAGGGTGGGATGCGTGCAAAACGACTGCTATGTGCGAGAAAACTCGGATTGCGGAAAGCTCGATGAACGCGCCATGTGCAATGAATAATGGGTGAAGGCAGCACGCCCGCGGCTCACCCGACGGACCATACCATACCTGACACCTGGCACCTGACACCGGGGGGAGGGACCCTGGATGAGCCACGTGGCAGCCGGTGGAAGGAGCAGTGAGGGCGGGAAATGGGTGCAGTGGGATGGTGTGGTGATGGCGCCGAGGCAAGGCGCCCCGATACTGATACTCATCTCAGGCGAGCAGCAGGCTAGTGGGGCAGAGACAGCCACCGCTCCTCCCACCAGCGATGTAACGCCGGCACTCCCTCCCCGCTGCCGCCACTCCGCTCGGAAAGCGCACGGCGCGAGATGCTTCCGCGCTGGCTCCGAGGAGAGCTGTGCGCGGGAGTTGGGGGGTGGGGAAGGGGGGAGGGGGGGGAGGGGGAGGGGGAGGGGAGGAGTGACGAGTGCTTCCAGAAGCAAAAGAAGTGCGGAAACTGGCGAGAGGAAGGACACGTGCCTCACCGTCAGACCCATACTCCCTCCCTGAGCGTGAAACCGCTGACCGGAGGCAGCAGGTAGAGAGGGCGTTGAGTGGCGGCAGCAGGGAGCGAGGGCAGGAGGCTCACGGCGCCATAGCAGTGCCTCCCGTGCAGCGAGGTGCGCACATGAGGGGGGGGGAAGAGGCGGGGGGAGAAAACGCACAAGAGGGATGAATTAGTACGGGTCGCACCTTGAAAAACGACACGCGGAAAAGCGAAAGCGGACTCGCTAGGCGGGCCTATTTAAGACGCCTACTCGCCCCCCCTCCTCCCATCGACCAGCGTCTCACCTCGCAGAAATTGCTTCTCGTGTTGACTCGAGGAGCAGCGCGTTGACTCGAGGAGCAGCGCGTTGACCGTGACTCCGTGCCTCACATACGGAGAGGTGCGAACGCGAGGGGGCAGGGATAGGAGGGGGAAAAGAGGACACACAAGGGGGAAGCGTTAGTACGCGAATAGTCTTGGAAAACGACACGGCGGAAAAAAGGCGGACTCTCTAGGCGGGCCTACTCGCCCCCCCACCTCCCTTGATATAGCAACTCACCTAGCATAGCTCGGCTTAGAATCTTCGGCTTTAAATCTTGGCGAACAGCTCAGCTTGAGATCTTGGCTTGACACTTCGCCTTGAATTAATGCCTTGTGAAACAACGCACGAAGAGACAATTTCCTGCACATAACGAAACAAAAGCATTAGTGGTTTTCGAAAATGCGAGAAATAAAGCGAACGACAACCAAAATCGACGGTCGTCAATTCTTGCAAGACAATACTCACAAATTGCAGTTCGCGGCAATTTCGGAGCTTCGCCTTCACGCCGCGGTTAGGATCTTTTGGCGTGCCGATTAATACGTCCTGCAAAGCAAAAAAAATAGGACATTACACAAACATTCGAGAGAGTGAAAAATGAAAGACAACATCGATAGTCGTAAGATGCTTAATTGACACTTGTTACTTACGCGAAGCTCGTGCGGTAAGAACATTCTTCACAGCTCCTTCAAGTATTGGAATTGAAGTCGCGACGATAACTGCAGAGGCGACGAAAACGAGCAGCTTCACACTGCTACGCGCGCGGCGCTCCCGAGGTTCGAAATCGCGGAGTCTAGGAGACGAAATCTAGCGTAGCGTAACTGCAGATGTAGGAGCGAAGAGACCATTTCAGCGGGACGACGTCCGAAACCAGGAGTGAAGACGGAGGCAACGCGGAGAATGACGACGATGAGCGAACGCGAGGGGAAAATGAAGCGAGGGAGAGGGATGGGCGCAAGAAGAGCGACGAGGGAAGTGGGTGGGATTGGGCTGGCGACGAGCGGCGATGGCAAAATGGGATTACGATTGCGAGCCGAGCGACTACGAAATCAAAGCTGGGCTGGGTGGGGGTCTCGCACGCCTGGTTGGGGTCGCATGTGTCCGTTGAGAGCCGTTGGGAGGATTTTTTCGAGCGCGAAACTAAGGGAATTTGAAAAAATCTGAGCCAGATCAGCAAGAGCGGGATATCGAAGGACACATGGCAGGTGGAGAAGAGTCTACAAAAGGGTATGTGCCACATGGCCGGTAAATAAATGCCCGCGAAATGCTCCAAGCTACAAGGATGGTGGAGAGAAGCCCGCGAAAGGTTTGGGGTGACGTGGATTTCGAAACCACCGCAAACATTGACATGTGGGCGTCGGAATCTGCCCAATAGCGAGCGCCGTCGACGGGATTGGAGTGCGATGCGGCCAAGGGGAAGAATTCTCCTACAACAGAAACGAAACGCTATTGATGGAATCTATTCAAGGAACTATGATGGTGGTTCTTATGTGTAAGAGCTGCTCTCTGCCTTGGTGCTGGTGGTGGTACGAAACCCTAGCTCAGTGGGGAAAGAACAGAGGGGGGAGGGAGGGGGGCATGGGGGGGGTGGTGGGTAGAAGGGGGGGTGCTGCGGCGGGGGTGACGGGGGCCTCGAGGGGGAAAGCGCCTGGAGTCGGGCGCGCTTAGTAAAGCAGTCTACCTGGAATATGATGTTGATAACCGGGTTATGTCCCGCTGTAACAAGCCAAAATTTCCTTGTGCCTCACTGAACCGAGCAATCTCGGCAGACTGAAACGACCCTGAGAGGTTTGAGACACGCCCTCATCTCGGCTGCTGCACCAATCACGCTCAGTTTTGCTCTGCGGAATTCCCGAATTTCAGGCTGTACACCGCTGTATCAAGTTTTACCTAAGGGAAACACGATTCCTCCTAAAAACCTCGAGTGTCAACATACTTATAGACTTGCACATTGTAGGACAGGGGAATGTATCGCTACGAGGTCTCACTTCCTATCGAGTACATCACCCTGACTTTCGGAACGCACCCATCGCTGGGGTCGGCATTCCTGCTGCAGCCAACTGACCAGCAACCAAGCAAGAGGAACAGCAGAGCAGCCAGACACCAAGCCTGACAGCCTGCCAATTTCAGGCGGGAATTCGCGCAGTGTTGTTCCTGATTCTTTTCCTTATCAGCAGCAATGGCGGATAGGCTTAGCATCAAGGAAAACCCTCGTTAGCAGTTTTTCAGCGTCGTCTCATTGCGTTTCTATAACGCGAGATGTAGATAGCTGCTACTATTGTTATTTAGGTGTGACTTGGCTACTTGCGTGTATCGCGTTTCTTAGCTCTTCCGCTTCAACCGTCTTCAGCTCCCTTTTATCTCTAACCGTTTCGCAACTTTAATCTCCCTTAATTCTATTAACGGCTAGCCGTTCTTCCATCGCCCTGACCGTCAGGCTGGCCGTTATACGAACGGTCCGTCATTATGGCTGCCAAGTTAACTGCCGGCGGGAAACGCTCATTTTCCGGCGATAGCGTGGAATTCACGGCGGCCGGCAGCCCGCAGCAGAAGCCGGCCATTCCGGTTCTTTCCGCGGCTCTAGCGCCGGGAAACGCGGAGAGCCCCGCTCGTAGAGCCGCGAGAGCAAGGTCCGCTGAAACACCTGAAAAGACACCTGATAGGACGCCTGGAGCGGACACTGGAAGACGAACGAGCAGACGAAGAGGAGAGAAGCGAACGACGCACGGGAGACGGGGAGAGACGGATGGCGAGGAGGGGAAGGGGGAGGCGGAAAAAGGGGGGGACTGGGCGGAAGGGGCGAGCGATGACGAGGAGGAGGAGGAGGAGGAGGAGGAGGAGGAGGAGGAGGGGTTGGGGAGTCCTGAGGCGGTGATGGGTGTGCGGTGCTTCACGTGGAAGGTGATGGTGTTCAAAGACGGGCGGAAGGGCCATCATGGGCATTCGCATGCACAGTCGCATGGACGTTCGCATGGGCACGCACGTCACAACAACAGTCAGTCCAACTCCCGCTCGCACTCGCTCTCCCCGTTCCGTCGTCACAGTCACTCTGAGAGCCGCACAGACGGCGAGAAAGGATTAGATGCCGGGAGAGAAAAGCAAAGAGGAGCAGCTGAGGGTGCGTCAGGAGGAGCAGCAGCAGCAGCAGCAGCAGCTGCAGCTGCAGCAACGGCGGCGGCGGCAGGTGATGGAAGCAGTGAGGAGGGGGCGTCTGAAAACAGCAACGCGTCGTGGATACGGCTCATACACCCGCATGCGGATGGTCCCACTCCCAGCCATCACTCGCAAGAGCTTCAGCCGTCTCACCACCTGAATGGCGTTGCGGGAGGAGCTGCCACGCCTGGCTCGTGCCAGCAGCCCCAGCAGCCCCAGCAGCCCCAGCAGCCCCAGCAGCCCCAGAAGCCCCAGCAGCCCCAGCAGCCCCAGCAGCCCCAGAAGCCTCAGCAATCACCTGGTGACATGGCAGGCCGTGCAGAGGGGGGCGTTGTGAGGCACGTGGAAGAAGCAGCGGCTGGTCGGGCACTTAGTGGCGATGCAGAGGCTGCTGTGGGCGGTGACAGACGGAGAGATGGGGCAAGAGGACAGGAGAGAAGGGAGGAGGGAACGGAGGGGAGCGGAGGCGAGAGAGGAGAGGAAGGCGAAGGGACGAGGCAAGAGGAGAGAGGGCGGGAGAGAGCGCTGGAGGGTGCGCAACCAAGACGAGAGGGCGAGGCAGGGGTGAGTGACCTGGCTAAGGGCGGAGAGCTGGGACGAGCGCGGTCGTGCTCCCCTCTGGGGCGCGGGCGAAAGAGCGAGACTGATGAGAGCAAGAGCCCGGGACGGACGAGAGAGATTGACAAGTGGGTGGAGAGCTGCCTGCAGGCCGCCTTGGACCCCCTCACTGCTGCTAACGCTCCAGGAACGACAGGGGGGGGGGCAGCAGCAGCAGCAGCGGCGGCAGAAGGGAATGGAGGCAGACCGAGAATGGCTGCTGCGTTGCACCTCTATGGTCTGCCGGCTACTGGCAATGAGGAGGATGGAGACGCAGTTGGGGATGGCAGCGAGGATGATTACAATGACCCTGACGAGTACTTCTCTGTGGCTGGTGAGTGCTCCCCCTCCCCCTTCTTCCTACCCTCCTCCCCCTTACCCTGACATGTGCCCTGCCATGCTCCCTCCTCAATCACCAACTCAACACATGTCTCCCTCTTCCCCACCTCCCCCCCACCACCCCCGCCCCCTCCTCTTCCCCCTCCTCTTCCCCCTCCTCTTCCCCCTCCCCTTCCCCCTCTCTTCCTTCCATCAGAGTCCCTCTCCCGCAGCAGCACCCTCCACTCGCAGCCAGCCCGCTCGCCTCGCCCCATTCCTCCTCCTCGCTCTCCCACCCCTCTCACTCCCACTCGCACCCCCTCCCGCCCTCGCACCCCTCGCACTCCTTCCCACCCTCGCACCCCGTCTCGTCCCCACACTCCCTCCTGCTCGCAGCCCCACTTGCAGCCCCACTTGCAGCCCCACTTGCAGTTCCATCCTCAACGCCCACAGGGCGATCAAATCACACGTGCTGCTGAGACGGCTGCTTCACCTGCTGTTGTGCCTGCGGCAGTGCCGGCTGCTGCGAGTGCTGCTGTTGCAGTGTCAGGAACGGGCTGTGAACCAATAACCATCATTAACACAGCTGATCCCCAGGCTACTGACACCAGTTCTGCTACTGACACAGACATTGCTGCTGATGTTGCCGTTAGTGCGATTGGCACGAACAGTGCTATTGATACAGCCCCTAATTCTGACCCTGGCACCATTACTGCCACGGCCTATGCCACTGGCATGGCCAATGGTACCGCAGCAGGTACTGATACTCAGCACTCAGGAGGTGTTGGCACTGGTAACGCATCTGCCCTTGTGTCAAGTGCTGGTGACCCCTCGCGAGCTGCGCTGCCGTTAACGGCTAATCCCACACCGTTAGCTGACACCTCGCCAGCAGCACTCAGCACCGCGCCACCATCCGGCACCCCGCCTCCTCTCGACCCCACAGCAGCAGCATCCAGTCCAACAGCCACTGTGGACCCCCAACCATCGCCCACCCACACAGCAGCCGCAGCACTTGCAGCAGCCGGAGCCATGAGTCCCACAGCAGCCATGGACCCGTCAGCTGCAGCAGACCCCTCACCACCCGCTGCAGCCCCCGACTCCTGCCGCCAGCAGCCCACCCAAGACGCACAAAAGCCGCTAGACCGCCCCTCTCCCGCAGCCCGCTCCGCTCTTCCGCGCCCCACCACCCCGCGCTCGCTGCCCTACCGCACGCGCAGCTCCGACTTTGGCTCCGCCAAACAGAGGGTGTCCAAGCTGCAGCTGCTCTCCTCTTCCCTGCTCTCCCCTTCCCCCGCCGACGCTGCTGCTGCTGACCCGCCTGCTCCCTCCCCTGCTGCTTCGCTTGGGGGTGCTGGTGGCGTTGCTGGTGGGGCGAGGAGTGGAGGGGGAGGCGGTGGGCCGAGGCCAGGGACGTTGAAGAAGTGGAAATCGCTGCAGTCCAATACAGGGACTCTGGCCAGCCTGCTGCAAGGTTATGATCCGAACGGCCCCTTCTCTTGTTGTTACATCCGTGCCTTGCAATGCTCTTTCTCCACTTACATACATACCAACAAAATGCACCATGCCATTGCAATGCAGCCCGCAGCCCCATTCCCACGCCTCCTGCACCAAATCCCTCTCCTTCCGCTCTCTCTTGCTGCTCTCTCACTCCCAGCCGTCCTCACTCCTCCTGTATCCTCCCTATGCCCCTTCCTCGAACCCCCCCCCCCTCCCCCCCAAATCAGCAATGGCGGGCACAGACTCCGACCCTCCCTCTGCCTCAGCGGACCGAGGCCGCTCCAGTGGCAGCATGAGGGGGCTAGGCGCCGGGGCTGGGGGTGCAGCGGCAGGGGGCACACTCTTGGACCGCCCTGCTGGTGCTGGTGGGGGCGGGGGCGGATCACTCCTGGAGCGCACGTCCGGTGCGTCTGGCAGCGGTGGCGCGCTGCTGTCCAAGCTCTTCCGCACCTCGTCCGCCATCACGCCCAGCGAGTGTCAGTCAACCCCCCCCAACCCCCCCCCCCTCCCCTGCGAGTGTGAGTCCCCCTCCCTCACCCCCTCCCCGCGCCCCCACCCCTCCTCCGCGGGTCCCCCTCGCCCCAGCAAATGTGAGAGTCAACCACCGCTGTCAATGCGAGTGAAGTGAAGCCCAGCAGCTTCTCGTGCCCCCCGATGCCAAAACACAAAGTCACTGCCATGCCATGCCATGCCATGCCATGCCCCAACTCTGCCTCCTCGTGATATGTCCTTGTATGAAGTAGGTGGCATGGTTTAGGCATGGCAGGTGAGAGAGAGAAACAGCAAACAACAACAAAAACAGGCAGCATCAAACGCCTAGCTCTCTAGACCACGGCGACCCTAAGGGTCGCCCAGGTCGGGCTCGAGGACCTGGAGCTGGTCGCCCACTTGGAGGGGCTCCGCGGTAGACGGTAGACGGTAGGCGGTAGGCGGTAGGCGGTAGGCGGTAGGCGGTAGGCGGTAGGCGGTAGGCGGTAGGCGGCGGTAGGCGGTAGGCGGATAGCTGTGAAGCGCCTGACTTGCTCCTGTCTCACTCCCTCGCCCCCTACCCCCCTCCCCTACCAACCACTCCCCTACCCCCAGCGATGAAGCGCCTGCTCACGTGGCCCAGGGCCAACTCGCAGCTCTTCCGCTGCTCTTTTCTCTGCCTTACTTCCCCTCTCTCCTCCCAACCCCTTCCTTCCAACCCCTCCCCTACCCCCAGCGGTGAAGCGTCTGCTCATGTGGCCCAAGGCCGGCTCGCAGCTCTTCCGCTGCTCGCCCTCCGCCCGTGCTGCCACCAACTGCTGGTCGCCTGCTGACCCCATGTCGTTGCTTGTGCGGGGTCCCACGTATATGAGGTGAGAACGCACTCCTTCCCTGCTAGTGCGAGCGACGTCCCACGTGCAGGAGAGGGGGAAAGGGAACAGGAGAGGTGAAGCGATGGAGCAAGGTATCCCCTGCATACCCCGCCTTCAGGAGCTCGTCTTCCGCACGTTCACAAAGACCCCCCTCGTTCCTGCTGCTGCATCCCCTGGTTCTCCTAGTGACGGAACCAAGTTGCCGCGCCAGTCACCCCCTCTGTATGAGCCGTGGGGCACACCCGTCGTCCACACGTCCAGAAAGACCTCTCCTCTTCCTTGCCTCCCTATCCCCTGCTTCTCCCAGTGACGGGGCCAAGGTTCCGCCCTCGTCGCCTCCCCTGTACGAGCCGTGGGGTGCAGACGTCTTCCACACGTCCAGGAAGATCCGCCACATCGCCGACCACGTGGACCTCCCAGCCACTCTCGTGCCGCCACTGGGCAGTGAGCCACTCGTACAGAGCAGCAACGGGCTGCCACCTGTCCTCATCATCAACATCCAGGTCAGCAGGGGGATATGATTCGATGCAAGCCAGCTCTTGAAAAACCCTATGTGTTACTCCATCTCCCTTCCTCCTCTACTTGCACTCCCCTGTCCTCCCTGTCCTCCAGCTTCCCCGTCCGCCCCTCCCCTCCTTGCTATCCTTGCACCAGAGGCCGTGGCACGGCCACTATGCGTGCCCTGCTCTTTGCCTTTCCTCGTGCGGGTTAGTGGGTCAGCGGGTTATCAAGGCAGCCAGACTCTGGACTGGACTCTGGACTCTGGGCTCTAGACTTTGGACTCTGGACTCCGGACTCTGGACTCTGGACTCCGGACTCTGGACTCTGGGCTCTGGACTGCGGACTCTGGACTCTGGACTCTGAACTCTGGACTCCGGACTCTGGACTCCGGACTCTGGACTCCGGACTCTGGACTCTGGACTCCGGACTCTGGACTAGACTCTAGACTCTAGACTCTTGACTCTGGACTCTGGACTCTGGACTCTGAACTCTGGACTCTGGGCACTGGACTCCGGACTCTGGACTCTGGACTCTGCTCTCTGGACTCCAGACTCTGGACTCTGGACTCTGGACTGTGGACTGGACTCTGGACTCTGGACTCTGGACTCTGGACTGGACTCTGGACTCTGCACTGGACTCTGGACTCTGCTCTGGACTCTGCTCTCTGGACTCTGCTCCCTGGACTGTAGGGTCTGGAGTCCAGAGTCCAGAGTCCGGAGCCCAGAGACATGAGAAATGAACTGAGAACTAAACAAGGACTCAATAGACAGGAGGAGCTTATATAGGCTCAGGAGCAAGGTTCAGGGGCTCTTTCCTCTTTCCCGCCACCAGCAAGCAGATGAGAAATGAGCTGAGAACTGAAGGGGCTCTGTTCCTCCCCCCCCCACCCGCACACGCATTTCCGTCCCTTGGTTCCCCCTCGAGTGGAGTCATTTTTTATAATTATAAAAAATAGTTCCCCCTCGAACCTCCCCTTCCTCCCTTTCCTGATTTCTCAGGAGTGTTGGAAGGATCCTAGTACCTTCCTCTGCTCGCTGGCTATTAACCCACTTGTCTGTAGCCTGGAGACTCTGGGCTCTGGACTCCGGACTCTGGACTCTGGACTCCGGACTCTGGACTCTGGACTCTGGACTCTGGACTCCGGACTCTGGACTCTGGACTCTGGACTCTGGACTCTGGACTCCGGACTCTGGACTCCGGACTCTGGACTCCGGACTCTGGACTCCGGACTCTGAACTCTGGACTCTGGACTGGACTCTGGACTCTGGACTCTGGACTCTGGACTCTGGACTCTGGACTCCGGACTCTGGACTCTGGACTCTGGACTCTGGACTCTGTGAAGGAACTAGCTTGGAAGAGAAAAGATTGAATTGAGTAGGGAGCCAAGAAGCTCTTTTGTACAAAACAAGGAGCAAGGAAGAGTTGGAAGGGAAGCTCTCCTATTGGCCATAAAGTGGACCAATGGGAGAGGTTGCTTGTAGGGCAAGCAACCACAAAGTGTGGTGCTCTCCGATTGGCCACAATGTGGACCAATGAGAGAGATTGCTTGGAAGGCAAGCAACCACAACCCCCAATAATTAGAATGACTACACCTCCTAATCTAGGCATGCATGTTGTATAGATATATATTTTACAACACTCTGGACTCTGGACTCTGGACTCCGGACTCTGGACTCTGGACTCCGGACTCTGGACTCTGGACTCTGGACTGGACTCTGGACTCTGGACTCTGGACTCTGGACTCTGGACTGGACTCTGGACTCTGGACTCCGGACTCTGGACTCTGGACTCTGGACTCTGGACTCTGGACTCTGGACTCTGGACTCTGGACTCTGGACTCTGGAGTCTCTATGCCTATCCCCTGTATCCCTTTCCCCCATATCCCCTATATCCCTATCCCCTCTATCCCTATCCCCTCTATCCCTAAGTTGGAAAAAACGCTCACTTTTGATTGCGTATTGCGTTTAATGCATAGAAAATACGTACGCTGCGTATTGCGTTTAAATGCATGTTGTATAGATATATATTTTACAACACTCTGGACTCTGGACTCCGGACTCTGGACTCTGGACTCTGGACTCCGGACTCTGGACTCTGGACTCTGGACTGGACTCTGGACTCTGGACTCTGGACTCTGGACTGGACTCTGGACTCTGGACTCCGGACTCTGGACTCTGGACTCTGGACTCTGGACTCTGGACTCTGGACTCTGGACTCTGGACTCTGGACTCTGGAGTCTCTATGCCTATCCCCTGTATCCCTTTCCCCCATATCCCCTATATCCCTATCCCCTCTATCCCTATCCCCTCTATCCCTAAGTTGGAAAAAACGCTCACTTTTGATTGCGTATTGCGTTTAAATGCATAGAAAATACGTACGCTGCGTTTTTGGTCTAGATACGCCGAAATACGCACGGGCTGACCGGGAAAAAAAAACCCAATAATTTGCAACATTTAGCGACTTGGCGAAAAAGATTCTCGCCTTCACACATCGCATGGACCCAACTTCGAGTTCAAATTTCGAACCCTAACCCCGCCAACCCCCCCTTCGAACCTCTGTCCACCCCTCTCCACCTCGTCACTTCCCAATCCCTCCCAACTTCTCCTTGAGACGAGTTGGCCTCAAACAAAGTCAGCTCTCCTAGCATAAATTACTGCCATTTCAACATTCGATACTCATTCTCGCAGTTCCCTTTCTACCGTAGCTTGCGCGCCACCATGATTTCCAGCCCTACAGCATCACCCTCTCCCCCATCTGCTGAGGCAACCCGTACTTCCACCTGCCCGGAACAAAATTCCCCTGCCCGGGACACCGTATTCTGTGCGTACCCGACCCCCTCCTCCTAAGCGTATTGCGTTTATACGCTCTCGTATAAACGCTTTCGTATAAAACGTGATACGCGTATATTCCAACTTAGCTCTATCCCTATCCCCTCTATCCCTCTCTCCGCTCTCCCTATCCCTGCTATCCCTATCCCCTCTATCCCTATCCCCTCTATCCAAATCCCAAGTGGGAAATACGGAGTCGGAAACGCCTAGTGGGAAGTACGGAATGGGAAATACCGAGTGCCCGGTGCTACAGCCCAGTGCAACAGCCCACAGCCCGGTGCCACGGCGGTCAGCGGGCTCGCCGGCTAGCGGGTCAGCGATTTCCGGGGTGTGCGGGTCAGCTGGCCATTAGGTCAGCTGGTCATTGGCTTAGTAGGTTAGTGGGCGTGGAAGGGGCTTTGCTCCCTCTTTGTGCCTCGTGCCTCACTACTCACTTCCTCTACTCCCCCCCCACCCCCCCCCCCCTCTCCAGCTGCCCCTTCAACCGCCCCCGTCCCTGCTCTCCCTGCACCAGCGGGCGTGGGACGGGCCGGGGCTGAGTGTGGTGCTGTACTGCCGGCTAGGGGCCCACTGGCGCGGCAGTGCAGCGCCCCCCGCGCACATGCAGCCAGTGCTGCTGCCACGTGGGGTTAAAAGAGACGAGGGGCCGCAGGCAGGGGAGCAAGAGGTGGGGAGACAGGGGGGGGGAGGAGGAGGGGAAGGGCGGGAAGGGGGAGCGGCGGACGGAGCGGACGGTTCCCGTTTAGTAGTCCCTCGAGCGGCGACGGAGGAGCCAGTGAGAGGCGCAGAGCAGAAGCAAGGAGCAGCAGGCAGGCGAGTAGAGGGCGGTGAGGCAGCATGCAACGAGGCCGCAGGGCCGGAGGCAGAGCAACGGAGCCCGCAGGTTGAGGGCGCCAGCATGAGCAGCAGCAGCAGGCGCACGCCGCGCAGCAGCAGTGGCCGGCGCCGGGGCAGCTGGTCAAGTGCCTCCTCCAATGGGGGCGCGGGGGATGACCTTCTGGGGGAGGGCCATGCGGGGAAGGTTCGTGTGGGGAAGGAGCACGGGGGGAAGGTGGAACGGGGGTCCCGAAGGTGGGGAGCAGAGGGGGACGGGGAGGGTGAGGTGAAGAAGCTGGTTTGGGATCGGCCGAAGCTGATGGTGAGGCTCGGGAATGAGGGGGAGGTGGCGCTGAGCGCGGGTGGCAAGAAGCTGGTGGAGGGGGTGAGTGGCAGGGCGGTGGTGACTCGCCCCTTCCACACCGTGCTGCAGCCCTCCTCCCAGTCTTACCTGGAGCTGGACATAGACGCGCACGCCTTCCCCCCCGCCCACCAGAGGGCGCTGCTCTCCCTGCGCCCGCACCTGCCTGACGCCATTCTTGACCTCGCCGTCCTACTGCAGGTGAGGAGTCTTGCAGGGTTTATGTATATGGCTTGCTGTTGGTGAGTTGGAGCGCTGCTCTCCCTGCTCTCTCTGCTGTCAGGTGAGGAGTCTTGCAGGGTTTACGGTGTGTGGCTTGCTGCCGATGAGGGGCTACTTTGCTCTCCCTGCTTCCGCACGTGCCCGACGCCATTCTTGACCTCGCCATCCTGCTGCAGGTGAGATTGGCTCGAGGCTTGCTGGTAGTGTTTTGGAGTTGGTGTGGAATGCGCCCTCCCCCTTCACGTCCGCCAGAGGATGCTGCTCTCCCCACGCCCGACGCCATCCGTCCTCGACTAAGCCATCATGCTGCAAGTGTCAGGTTCGGAGTCACTCTCTCTGACGTGTCAGGTGTGGAGTCACTCTCTCTCACGTGTCAGGTGTGGAGTCACTCTCTCTGACGTGTCAGGTGTGGAATCACTCTCTCTGACGTGTCAGGTGTGGAATCACTCTCTCTGACGTGTCAGGTGTGGAGTCATGCAGCACTATGGCTTGCTGTCAGGTGTGGATTCTTCTCTCCTTGTGCCCGCCATTGCCCTCACCTTGGCGATTGTTTAACCACCCAACCGCCCCACGGCCGAACCGCCCAACGGCCCAACGGCCCAACCGCCCCACGGCCCAACGGCCCAACAACCCATCGGCCCAACGGCCCAACCGCCCCACAGCCCAACAGCCCAACGGCCCAACGGTGCAACTGCCTGGCGACAGGTGAGCCCTGTACAAGGTTCAGTCGTCCTGCTGCTGCTGAAAGGTCAGTCTGTGAGGCTTGCTCTTATGTCAGTCTGTGAGGCTTGCTCTTAGTGATTAAGTGTTTTGCTTTCCCTCCCACCGTTCAACCAGAGCACTCCTTCCTACCTTGGCGCACATCGCTAGGGTTCTTTCTTTCAGCTTCAGCCAAGAAAAACACTTACGTTTCTTTTAATAGATTCATGTGAGCTGTTTACCCTCCTTTTCATGCCCCCAGGGTGAATCGCCCCAGGAATTGCCGGAGCCTGTGCTGGCATGTGTGAGGCTGCACCATCTGGAGCTCTCCCACTTCGGATGCCTCAACTGACACCCAAACCATGACCCAACCTCTGACTGCACACATGGGTACGAATCATATGATGATATGTTCGGGAAGCCAGTGTATTCTCATATTTATTTTCGAGTAAGGTTTCTCGCCATGTTGAGGCACTCACAGCAACACAGGGTTATGTCCCACAAGGTAGTGAAGGTCATCCAGTTGATATTATAAACTGGATGGTGAACTGTTGCTTTGTGGTTCGGAAGGATGCCTGCTGGGGGCGCTCACCTTACAACGAGGTTCGGCCCAGCTGCCATTCCGCACGTGTGAATCTGGTGACATGCGAGCAAAGCCTCCCTTCATGCTGCGCCGTGCGACGCCTGCGATCTCGGACGATATTTTCTGGATCGCATCCTCACCCAAACCAGCGCATCCTCGATCCATATGAGCTGGAATCCGGCCAGAAGGGCAGGAAAGCGGCTAAAGCTGACGTGTAGCAGCCGATCTGACGGTGCGCCAGCGACGATTTCTGCTCGGGACGGGAAAAGGACTGCTGCCACCTTGACCGACTCGACCCAGGCATGCGGTCGAAGTGGGAGGAAGGGAATTCGGAATTGGGCCACGTAACGGAAACACGAGAGGGAATGCGGCGACGGAATTCGGAGTTGCTGGTTTTTGGTTTTCATCATTTCTCAAATCTCTCTTCCAAGTCTCTCAGATCTCGCCAACCTTGCTCTGGCTTCCTCGGAGAAACGAGAGCATTAGCGACAGGAGTCTAGAGTCAGCCTAGCCCTGGGACCGTAAGTCTGGAGTCAACTGACAGGTCGGTAGCATCATCTCGTGGTTTACTGATCTCATTCCAATTTGCAAACGCCTTATCAGCTAGTTTTTTTGTCGGTTCAGGTTGTTTAGAGGTGTCTTAATCACATAGCGGCGCACGCGCAAATGGCCGTAGCTCTCGCGACTTGCTGCGCCGCCGCCGGCTTGCGCGTCGCTCCGCCGCTGACGGCGCGGCGGGGAAGCTCCCCCGTCAGCTGGTCTGACAGCGCCGGCTGGGCGCAACCCTCTCTGGCAATCCCTACCACGTTAGCGGCGCCGCGAGTCACGGGGTTCAAAGCCGAGGCGCAGGCGCAGCAGGTGGGCGAGCGCGTGGGCGGCGCGCGCGCGCCACGCGACGAGAACGTGGCGGGCGACTTCTACGTGGACCACACGTGCATCAACTGCGACGTGTGCCGCTGGATGGCGCCGGAGGTGTTCGCCAAGATCGGGCCGCAGTCGGCCGTGTTCGCACAGCCCGGCGACGAGGGGACCGCAGTGAAGGCGCTGCAGGTGTGTGTTTTAAGAGTTCTCAAATATCGGATACAGTGAGATAGACGGTTCAGCTATCGAGAAAGACATGCTGTTGCGCATAAGAGGATCGGGATTGTACAAGAGGAGGAACCCATAGGGGAGGTGGGATTGTAACGCTCGCCGCATTTGCGAGAGGAAAGAGAGACGCCAAGGGAAAGAGAGACCAAGGGAAAGAGAGACGCCAAGGGAAAGGAGAGACGTGAGGATCAGGTGTACGAAGGAGAAGGCGTAATATCTAAATAACCAGGAGACGTGAACAACTGACGATGAGACGTGAACAACTGACGATGAGACGTGAACAACTGACAACGTCTTCTCCCCCTTCGTCCCCCCTCCTCCCCCAAACCCCCCCACTCCCCCCAGGCGCTGCTGTCGTGCCCCACGTCGTCCATCCACTCGCGCGAGTCATATTCGCTCGCCGCCCACTTTGCGATCCCTTCCCCGCCCCCCTCTCCCCCTTTCCCCCTCTCCCCCTTTCCCCCTCTCTGAAACTCCCCTCCCCCCCCTTTCCCCTCCCCCCTCTTTCCCCTCCCCCCCATTTCCCCTCCCCCCAGGCGCTGCTGTCGTACCCCACGGCGTCCACCCTCTCGCGCGACTCGCTGTTCTCCGCGTGAGCAATTTCCGCCATGCCGCTGCTCTCCTCTCCCCCCTCTCCCCACCCCCCCAGGCGCTGCTGTCGTGCCCCACGGCGTCCATCCACTCGCGCGAGTCGCTATCGCTCGTGCCGCGGGCGCGCGACGCCTTCCCGCTGCCCATCCACGCGTCGCTGCCCGCCGTGTTCCACTGCGGCTACCACTCGCGCAAGTCCTTCGGCGCCACCTCGTACCTCATCCAGGTGGGTGGGTGCGCCACTAGGGGAATCCCTTGACAGGTCTTGTGCTCTCGCCCCGTGTCAAGCCTCCCTGCCCGCCGTGTTCCACTGCGGCTACCACTCGCGCACGTCGTTCGGCGCCACCTCCTACCTCATCCAGGTGGACTGCGCTGCTCGTGCAAATCCCCTTGGCGCGACTTTCGCACGCCCCATTCCGCGAATTCTTTTAGGCTCCCAATCAACCTCATTCCGCCCCTCCCCCATTCCCCTCTCCCCCCTTGCTCCTCTCCCCCCTTGCTCCTCTCCCCCCTTGCTCCTCTCCCCCTTGCTCCTCTCCCCCCTTGCTCCTCTCCCCCCTTGCTCCTCTCCCCCCTTGCTCCTCTCCCCCCTTGCTCCTCTCCCCCCTTGCTCCTCTCCCCCCTTGCTCCTCTCCCCCCTTGCTCCTCTCCCCCCTTGCTCCTCTCCCCCCTTGCTCCTCTCCCCCATACCGCCCGCGGTATTTCATGCTGTCGCTCATTCCCCATCCCCCCCATCCCCCCCATCCCCCCTTCCTTGCTCTCTTTTCTGACCTCGTCCAGCGCGCCTCAGGAAACGTGATGGTGGACTGTCCGCGCTACTCGGAGCATCTGGCGGAGAAGCTCGCGCGCATGGGCGGCGTGCGCTACATCGCGCTCACGCACCGCGACGACGTGGCGGACCACGCGCGCTGGGCGGCGCGCTTCAAGGCGGAGCGTGTGCTGCATGCGCTGGAGGTGCAGCCCGACACTGCTGACGTGGAGATGATTCTGGACGGCACGGGGCCGTGGTGCCTGGGGTCGGACTTAAAGATCATTTTCACCCCTGGTCACACGGAGGTGAGAGCACGAGAGCACGAGGAGTAACGCTCTCTCGAGGGGGAGTGGTGGACGGCACGGGGCCGTCGCGCCTGAGGTCAAATCTGAAACCAGGGGGGGTCAGACCCAGGGGCTCGAGACCCAGGGGGCAGCGGGGTGCGACCCCGGGGGGGTGAGACCTTGACACCAAGCCAAGTGGTAAATTCGCATGCGGGAGGGCGTGAGCCGGCCTTGCATGTCTCCCTGCAAGCCGCTTCCTTCGTCTCCCCCCGCCCCTCAACAGCTTCCCCCTTTCCCTCTCCTGCCGCCTACTCCCCCCCCCACCTCCCCCCCTCTCCCCCAGGGCTCGGTGAGTGTACTATACAAGGCGGACGGGGGCGCGCTGTTCTCTGGGGATCATCTGGCGTATGCTCCCAACACGGAAAGCCTTTCCATCATGAGACGAGTCAACTGGTACTCGGGTGAGTCAACCCAAGTCAAATGAGCTGCAAAAAACGCGCAACACCCCTGCCTCCTGCTTCCACTGCATTGCTCATCCGTGATGCCTGCTGCATCCGCGTTGCTTGCTTCATCCGCGTTGCCTGCTTCATTCGCTCAATCCCTGCGCATGCATGTGCCAGGTGCCAGGTGCCATGTGCCAGGTGCCATGTGCCATGTTCTATTACCCATGCGCTCTGCCACCACCATGCCCCCGCCGTGCCCCCACCCATGCAGTGCCGGTGCAGGTGCAGAGCACCAAGAAGCTGGTGGGCCTGCCGTTCCTCTGGCTGCTGCCAGGTGAGATGAAGGAGAGGCATGGCATCGCATGCTCCCGACTCGCTCTCCCACTGCCCCTCTCCCACTGCCCCTCTCCCACTGCCCCTCTCCCACTGCCCCTCTCCCACTGCCCCTCTCCCACTGCCCCTCTCCCACTGCCCCTCTCCCACTGCCCCTCTCCCACTGCCCCTCTCCCACTGCCCCTCTCCCACTGCCCCTCTCCCACTGCCCCTCTCCCACTGCCCCTCTCCCACTGCCCCTCTCCCACTGCCCCTCTCCCACTGCCCCTCTCCCACTGCCCCTCTCCCACTGCCCCTCTCCCACTGCCCCTCTCCCACTGCCCCTCTCCCACTGCCCCTCTCCCACTGCCCCTCTCCCACTGCCCCTCTCCCACTGCCCCTCTCCCACTGCCCCTCTCCCACTGCCCCTCTCCCACTGCCCCTCTCCCACTGCCCCTCTCCCACTGCCCCTCTCCCACTGCCCCTCTCCCACTGCCCCTCTCCCACTGCCCCTCTCCCACTGCCCCTCTCCCACTGCCCCTCTCCCACTGCCCCTCTCCCACTGCCCCTCTCCCACTGCCCCTCTCCCACTGCCCCTCTCCCACTGCCCCTCTCCCACTGCCCCTCTCCCACTGCCCCTCTCCCACTGCCCCTCTCCCCCTGCCCCTCTCCCCCTGCCCCTCTCCCCCTGCCCCTCTCCCCCTGCCCCTCTCCCCCCGCCCTTTTTCCTTATCTTCCTCCCCCCTTCAAGCCCACCATTCACCCCCTCTCCCCCCGTGCGTGCAGGCCACGGGCGGCGGTTCCACTTTGAGAATGAGGAGCAGAGGGATGCCATGCTGCAGCAGGTGGTGGCGGGGGAGGAGGCGCTGCTGCGGGGCTGAGTGCATGTGACCGGATATTCTTACATGTGCATGCTCTCTTGTGCATAAGAGAGCATTTGCAGGCGGTAGATGGCAATAGATGCCATGCTGCAGCAGGTGGTGGCGGGGGAGGAGGCGCTGGTGGCTGACTCAACGAGTCCTGAGTGCGCGCTAGCTGCGTAGCGCAAAGCATGTCAGGCTTGCCAGGGAGGGGAAGGGGACGGTGATCCTGTAGCGGGTGGTGGCAGGAAGGAGGCTCTGCTGGGGGGCTGAGTGCAGTGCTTGTGGAAGGATGTGACCGCGAGCAAGCAAGGGTGGCACTTGCAGGTGTTAGATGGATGTGTCATGTGGGGGAGCAGAGGGGATGTGATTCTGCTGCAGGTGCTGGCGGAGGAGGCTCTGCTGAGGGGCAGATAGTGCTTGGATGCGAACAGTATAGGGCGGTGGTCGTGTTGTGACCTTCACTGGGTGCGAGTGGGGGTGGGGTTGGAGAAACCGTTGCTGCTGCGCTGAGGGGCTGCCTTTCACATCGAGCAGTGCCTGGGGTCGTGCAGGGGTCCATCCATGGTATGCGAACCAGCAGCGGTTACTGTGTTACGTGAGGTGCTAGCTAGATTAGGCTGCTTATAGGCAGCACGGTTTTTGTAGGGAATTCTGTACCACATGGTTTCACAGTAACGAATGGCAACCCACTTGGGATACATCTAGTGCAGCAGTGGCAACTCTAACCTTAGTGACAATGTCAAGTGTAAATCTGGAGGCTGGATTGCATGCACCCCCTCATGGTATGGGTGACATGTGATCATTGTAGATGGTAGTAGAGGACTCTGTTGTGGGAATTGCACTGATGTAGTCGTACTCAACTTGCAACAAATGTAAAGTATTCATGCCAAGACACTCAACGCAGTATGTGTGTGGGGCTTATTGCAACACCACCAGAAGGAACTAGGGCGGCTGTCAAAAATGGGATTCTGGAAGATCTGATCTCAAGGCTTTGCCTCACGCCGCAGCCTATAAAGAGGCAAAGCCACGCCGGATGAGATGAAGCACTCAGCTTCAGACGCGAGCGTTCACGATGCAGAAGAGGCATCGGCGATGGCAGCAGCGGCATCAGGCCAGAAGGCGTCCATCGTGCCGCAGCAGAGCATCCGTGATGGCACCAAATTAGACGAAGGCAATCAGAAGCAACGGCGTTCAGACGAAGGCGTCCATGAGGCAGCAGCAGCAGAGCAGCGAGACTCTGCAGCATGAACGCACAGAGAGCATGAGAGCACACGTGTCAGTCAGTCATTAGACCGCCGCCGAATCGCGAAGCATCCAGGAATTTACAGAATGAAAGTAGGCAGATCGAGAGGAAACAGGCAGGGAGCCGGAGCAGCTTACAGCGCGACGCAGCAGTTGTCATAGACGCTGGCGTCCTTGTTCGTTACGATCACTCCGTAGCATGGCGGCGGCGAGTCGCAGTGGTAGTAATGACCGCAGCTGGGGCTGCTGGTGCTGCTGCTAAGGGGATTCGTGAACCCTTCTGTTGGCGACGCGCAGTCGGGAGGGGACAAGTGACCGTCGCGACTGAAATGGTAACCTGCAGAATTGAAAGCGGCTGTTAGTAGAACTTCCGGTGAACAGGTCGAAAAATGAAGTTCGATTCTTGAAAGATGTTCTGAAAACGAGAAATCTTGCAGGACACGACAGAGGAAGATGCCGAACCACGTGCCACACCTTGATTGGGCGGCGCTGTGACAGGAGGCCCTTGATACGCCATATCAGGACGCACGCTCGCAATAGCTAGGGCCTCGTTCGGAATTCAGCGCGAGATTTTAGGCGATTGATCAGTCCACCCACCACTGTCGCCACTGCTGTTTGTCTGACGTCACGGCTTGCAGATCAAGTTTCGTCGCTGAGCTGTGAAACATGGGCTACTCAGCCGAGTGCTAGAAGTAGAGCGCGCCTACGCGACAACGTGCTAGTACGATGGTGAATATGGGATGAGCAGGCAGGAGATAGGCGTAAGTACAAGTACGGCGGTGGAAGAGCTTAGGTCTCCAGGGGCTATTCGTGTGAGATGGATAAGATCAGCGTTGCGAGGATTGCTGGTGAGGTGAAATTGGTTGAGATGCGAGTCATGCGACGGGTCACGCATCAGGACACAGTGGATGGGCTGCAATGCGGTGAATTGCGAAGACTCGAGTGGACGGCTGGATGAAGTGGCGTGCGCCGACGGACGGAGTGGATTCGACTGGTCGTCGCACTTTCAGAGCGTGCGACCTCAAATTTAGATGGAAGACATTTCTGGGTGCGACTCGTAACCGAGTGCACTGATTAGTCCGCCAGAGCGCGCCAGCGCAGCAATTCCACGAAAAGATTCCCCTTGAATTTGCGAGATTCCGCATTCGCTTGATCTCTTTGACCTATCGCGAAGCAGTTTCCTTGCAAGCGTGTAACATAAGCCTGATCGGTTGGCCGTATTCTGGAACCCGGATGGTGTCGGGCAATTTCCCAGGGCTGGCTCGGAATTGGCTTAAAGCCAACCAATCTTTTTAATCACACCAAACCTCCTGGAATAGAGGTGTGAATCACCAGAATAGGAAAGGCTGGAATACGGAATGAGGAAAGGGCACCTAGCTGCTGACTCGGGCGAAATCGTGCCAAACCCTGGTCGAGGTGTATTCCAGCTTTTTTGCAAGAATAGCTGGGAATTGTGAAGAGTGGGGCAATCCAAACGCAATAACTAATGCCCTTATTTCGGAAACGGAAAACGTCGAATACCCACTACCAACCTGTGTCTGACCGCCAAGAAAACAAATTCAGGGTCGTTTTTCGATATCAAGCCAGATGCAGGGCCCCAGATGCACAATTTGAAGTCCTGTTTCCCCCCTCCCTTTTGTTTTTCGTGACCAAGATCGTGGCGGGCAAGTTAGGTTATTCGCCAGCTCAGACGCGTCAGTTACATCCGGCAATTTCGCACATCAACCAGCCCAACTTCTCGCACTACCTAACCTGGCGAGTCAACGCACGGAATACGGAAAGCTCGCAGTGGAGTCCGCATTCCGCATTCCGCATTCTGGAATCACGGCTTACCGATCAGGGCAAACATCGCAGGCGCACGAGTGGCAAGGCGACAGTTTCGGGCTGGGTGCCCTAGTGAGGGCGGTCGAATGTGGACGGGTCAGCTGTTGGTAGCACCGCGACCCAATGCATTTGACTGGATCTCCTCGCTGGATCCAGACCAGATTGGCCATCGGGTATTGACTGGTTCCAGATGCAATGAACTACAGTAACAGCTGGGCGGAGGAGAAACTGCACTTCAATGGTCACTGCTTATATTCCTAGTACCGTAAGAGTTAACTGAACTTGTTAATACAATTGAATTTTAGCTCCATGCACCACACCATCCAGTAAAAGAGCAAACTTCACTAGAGTCTATGGCACAGGCTTCCATGTTAGCTTCAGCTTTATCCATCCATGAGGGGCATCCAAGAGTTGGAACTCACTCTCGATATGACCCTCCATCATTACTCTCGTCAGACTCACCCCCAACCGACCCATGTTATCCTGCCATGGGGACCACAAAGTCAAGAAGAGAGGTTGATGAAGTTGTGGGCAACGTTTGGACAGCTCACTATACCCAGTATCAACCCCGATCATCAATACGGCCAGCAAGCGGTTTCGAGCACGCTTTCCAGCATCGCCAACCCAGCCAGACCCTTCGCCGAAACAGGTCCCCTCGCCAGCTGCAGTAGCGGCGACACCTGAGCACCGAGATACGGGGTTTTATCAAAAGGGGCGCGTTTTTCACCCAACCGCTTCGATGTTTCCATCCCCCGAGGTTCGGCATCTGGGGGCCGGCAGGCGCTGGCGGACCCCCCCCGACTGTTCCGCCCTAAGGGTCCCAGTCCCAAACACGAGGACCTGGGCCTTGGGACTGCGGGGCAAACCCGCAGGACCTGAGACCCTTCGGAAGGTTATTCCCAGCATCGCCAACCCAGCCAGACCCCGCGTGCACTCTGAGAGGCTCTTACCTTCTTGCCGAGCAGGTCGCAGTCGTAGAGCGCTAGCACGAGCATGTCGTGCTTGCCGACCTCCACAAGGGTCATGGTAGACACCCACTCGCACCCCTTTCCCCATACGGCTTCTGAGAGGCTCTTACCTTCTTGCCGAGCAGGTCGTGGTCGTAGAGCGCGAGCACGAGCATGTCGTGTTTGCCGTCCTCCACGAGGAACTCAAAGCTCTCGTTCCACTCCGGCTCCAGCGTCTTCTTCACCACCCTCGACTTGCGCCTCTGCCCACCCAGCTGCAGCTGCAGGACAGCAGAGGGGTTGGGAGGAGAGAGAGAGAGGGAGAGGGAGAGGGAGAGAAGCAATCATGTGAAAAGGCAACGAGGAGAGTGACTTGAGGGTCTTGTTCACCACCCTCGACTTGCGCTTCTTCCCGCTCTCAGTTGCAGCTGCAGGTGCACAGAGGAGCAGGGAGAGGGGGAAGCGGTGATGTCACGTCAGAGGGCAGTCGAAGAGCGTGGGTGACTGAGAGGAACTGGAGGTGCAAGGAGCAGACTCATGCACGGCAGATTCATGCACGGCAGATTCATTGAGTAGCCCGCATCAAGCTCACAACACATCACCTCACCTCCAGCACGGCAAAAGGGTCACTGAGCCCCACACCACCAGCCGCCAGCTCCCTCCCCACACACCAGCACCACCTGCTGCACCCCCCCTCTCCATAGCCCTCACAACACAGTAGCTTGCTCACCTCCAGCACGGCAAACGGGTCACTGAGCCCATTCATGTCGCACGCCACCAGCTCCCGCCCCGACACCAGCACCACCTGCAGCACGCCCCTCATGTACTTCTGATCGCTCTCATCCCCCGCCAACCCCCCCTGCTCGCCGCCCAGAGCCATGGACGGCACGTCCCCCTCGCCGCCCTCGCCGTCCTCCTGCTGCTGCGCCTTGATGGGGCTCAGGAACCCCACCCCTGACTGCCGGGTCTTCCGTGCCTCCGCCGCGTTGGCTGCTGCCGCTGCCTCCTGCAGCGTCTTGGGCGCCGGCGGGGTGAAGTAGGCCGGGGCCAGCAGCACCCCGTTTTCGTCCACCGGGCGGTACAGCAGCTCCAGGTGGATCTGGGGGAGGGAGGGGGATTGGGGTTGGGCATTTACAATGTGGGCTTAAGGGCCACCGGGGCCAGCAGCACTGCGTCCTCTTCCACTGGGTGGTATTTCACCCCATGTGTGACTGCCAGGTCTTCCTGGCCTCCGCTGTGTTCACTGCTACTGTTGCCTCCTGCAGGGTCTTGGGGCCCAGCGGGGTGAAGTAGGCCGGGGCCAGCAGCGCCCCGTTCTCGTCCACTGGGCGGTACAGCAGCTCCAGGTGGATCCGAGAGGGGGGAGGCGAGAGGGGGAATGTGAGTGAAGGCGAGGAGGAGAGGCCGTTGAGCGGCTCAAGGGCATCCGGGGCAGGCAGCAGCAGCACTCCACTCCACTCTGCTACGACTCTCTTCCCACCAAAGAACATGGCATGGCATGCCAAGGCGGCATGCGGGTCCAGTGTCACACATACCGAGCCTCTGGGACGGGTGTCGGCCTTGGGGTCGTCGGCGTCTTTGACGAGCGGCACCCAGCGGTCCGCCAGCTTGAGCACCGGCAGGTCCACCAGCGATATGGCTGCCTCACCCACCGGCTGCGATGCCGTCAGCTCCTGGTCGTCCCACACCTGCAGGCACACGGGGGAAGGAGAGGGAATGCAGGAGGGGGAAGGAGAGGGAATGCAGGAGGGGGAAGGAGAGGGAATGCAGGAGGGGGAAGGAGAGGGAATGCAGGAGGGGGAAGGAGAGGGAATGCAGGAGGGGGAAGGAGAGGGAATGCAGGAGGGGGAAGGAGAGGGAATGCAGGAGGGGGAAGGAGAGGGAATGCAGGAGGGGGAAGGAGAGGGAATGCAGGAGGGGGAAGGAGAGGGAATGCAGGAGGGGGAAGGAGAGGGAATGCAGGAGGGGGAAGGAGAGGGAATGCAGGAGGGGGAAGGAGAGGGAATGCAGGAGGGGGAAGGAGAGGGAATGCAGGAGGGGGAAGGAGAGGGAATGCAGGAGGGGGAAGGAGAGGGAATGCAGGAGGGGGAAGGAGAGGGAATGCAGGAGGGTGAAGGAGAGGGAATGCAGGAGGGGGAAGGAGAGGGAATGCAGGAGGGTGAAGGAGAGGGAATGCAGGAGGGGGAAGGAGAGGGAATGCAGGAGGGGGAAGGAGAGGGAATGCAGGAGGGGGAAGGAGAGGGAATGCAGGAGGGGGAAGGAGAGGGAATGCAGGAGGGGGAAGGAGAGGGAATGCAGGAGGGTGAAGGAGAGGGAATGCAGGAGGGGGAAGGAGAGGGAATGCAGGAGGGGGAAGGAGAGGGAATGCAGGAGGGGGAAGGAGAGGGAATGCAGGAGGGTGAAGGAGAGGGAATGCAGGAGGGGGAAGGAGAGGGAATGCAGGAGGGGGAAGGAGAGGGAATGCAGGAGGGGGAAGGAGAGGGAATGCAGGAGGGGGAAGGAGAGGGAATGCAGGAGGGGGAAGGAGAGGGAATGCAGGAGGGGGAAGGAGAGGGAATGCAGGAGGGGGAAGGAGAGGGAATGCAGGAGGGGGAAGGAGAGGGAATGCAGGAGGGGGAAGGAGAGGGAATGCAGGAGGGGGAAGGAGAGGGAATGCAGGAGGGGGAAGGAGAGGGAATGCAGGAGGGGGAAGGAGAGGGAATGCAGGAGGGGGAAGGAGAGGGAATGCAGGAGGGGGAAGGAGAGGGAATGCAGGAGGGGGAAGGAGAGGGAATGCAGGAGGGGGAAGGAGAGGGAATGCAGGAGGGGGAAGGAGAGGGAATGCAGGAGGGTGAAGGAGAGGGAATGCAGGAGGGGGAAGGAGAGGGAATGCAGGAGGGGGAAGGAGAGGGAATGCAGGAGGGGGAAGGAGAGGGAATGCAGGAGGGGGAAGGAGAGGGAATGCAGGAGGGGGAAGGAGAGGGAATGCAGGAGGGGGAAGGAGAGGGAATGCAGGAGGGGGAAGGAGAGGGAATGCAGGAGGGGGAAGGAGAGGGAATGCAGGAGGGGGAAGGAGAGGGAATGCAGGAGGGGGAAGGAGAGGGAATGCAGGAGGGGGAAGGAGAGGGAATGCAGGAGGGGGAAGGAGAGGGAATGCAGGAGGGGGAAGGAGAGGGAATGCAGGAGGGGGAAGGAGAGGGAATGCAGGAGGGGGAAGGAGAGGGAATGCAGGAGGGGAAGGAGAGGGAATGCAGGAGGGGGAAGGAGAGGGAATGCAGGAGGGGGAAGGAGAGGGAATGCAGGAGGGGGAAGGAGAGGGAATGCAGGAGGGTGAAGGAGAGGGAATGCAGGAGGGGGAAGGAGAGGGAATGCAGGAGGGGGAAGGAGAGGGAATGCAGGAGGGTGAAGGAGAGGGAATGCAGGAGGGGGAAGGAGAGGGAATGCAGGAGGGTGAAGGAGAGGGAATGCAGGAGGGGGAAGGAGAGGGAATGCAGGAGGGGGAAGGAGAGGGAATGCAGGAGGGGGAAGGAGAGGGAATGCAGGAGGGGGAAGGAGAGGGAATGCAGGAGGGGGAAGGAGAGGGAATGCAGGAGGGGGAAGGAGAGGGAATGCAGGAGGGGGAAGGAGAGGGAATGCAGGAGGGTGAAGGAGAGGGAATGCAGGAGGGGGAAGGAGAGGGAATGCAGGAGGGGGAAGGAGAGGGAATGCAGGAGGGGGAAGGAGAGGGAATGCAGGAGGGTGAAGGAGAGGGAATGCAGGAGGGGGAAGGAGAGGGAATGCAGGAGGGGGAAGGAGAGGGAATGCAGGAGGGTGAAGGAGAGGGAATGCAGGAGGGGGAAGGAGAGGGAATGCAGGAGGGTGAAGGAGAGGGAATGCAGGAGGGGGAAGGAGAGGGAATGCAGGAGGGGGAAGGAGAGGGAATGCAGGAGGGGGAAGGAGAGGGAATGCAGGAGGGGGAAGGAGAGGGAATGCAGGAGGGGGAAGGAGAGGGAATGCAGGAGGGGGAAGGAGAGGGAATGCAGGAGGGGGAAGGAGAGGGAATGCAGGAGGGGGAAGGAGAGGGAATGCAGGAGGGGGAAGGAGAGGGAATGCAGGAGGGGGAAGGAGAGGGAATGCAGGAGGGGGAAGGAGAGGGAATGCAGGAGGGGGAAGGAGAGGGAATGCAGGAGGGGGAAGGAGAGGGAATGCAGGAGGGTGAAGGAGAGGGAATGCAGGAGGGGGAAGGAGAGGGAATGCAGGAGGGGAAGGAGAGGGAATGCAGGAGGGGGAAGGAGAGGGAATGCAGGAGGGTGAAGGAGAGGGAATGCAGGAGGGGGAAGGAGAGGGAATGCAGGAGGGTGAAGGAGAGGGAATGCAGGAGGGGGAAGGAGAGGGAATGCAGGAGGGGAAGGAGGGAATGCAGGAGGGGGAAGGAGAGGGAATGCAGGAGGGGGAAGGAGAGGGAATGCAGGAGGGGGAAGGAGAGGGAATGCAGGAGGGGGAAGGAGAAAGGGGTGGGAACGAGCAGAGAGATGGAAGTCTGCCAGCGATATCGCCACCTCCCCCGCTGGCTGCGACGGGCCGTCAGCTCCTGGTCGTCCCACAGCTGGAGGCGGTGAAATGGTGGGGGAGAGAGGAAGGGCGCGCAGGGTGGGAGCTCTGAATCTGAGCTGCCTGGTAACCTCTTAAAACCAGCTGCAGTGCTGCCATCTCCTAGTCATTCCGCACCTGCAAATGCTCCAGAAGTCGGGAGGAGGAGAACAGGCTTCCCCCGGTTTCACCATTTTCCACTTCCCCCTCCCTTCTTGAATATCCCCATCCTCCCCTAAACCCCGAGCCCTCAACCCTGAACCCCAATGCTTTATCAGAACCCGCTCTTAGCCCTCACCTTGATGACGAGTCTCTGTGTCTCGTGGTCCTCCACCTTGAACTCAAACGAGTGGTTCCACAGCGGGTTCACCGAGTTGGGCTGGCGGGAAAGAGATGGGAAGGGGACAGGAAATAAGAGATGAACCTCAGGGTCAGCAGCTGGGCCATGGGGCAAGCAGCTGGGCCATGGGGCAAGCAGCTCAAAGTCTGTCAACGGGACGACTCACGATGGTTCTGCTGCGGCGCGTGCGCGAGGGGATGGGGCGCACGAAGAGCGTGGCGTAGGGGTCGATGGTCCCTAGCAGCGCCAGGTTGCGCAGATCCCGCCCCTCCACCAGCTTCACCTCTAGCACGCCCACTGTGCGCATCTGCAGGTAGCTGCAGGGAGGGAAGAGACATAGGACAAGAGGTTGTGGGGGGGAGAGGTACGGAAGGGGCTTCAGATGCCTCACAGTGCCCTCCACCAGCTTCACCTCCAGCACGCCCACCGTGCGCATCTGCAGGTAGCTGGGGACGGGGGAGGGGGGAGAGAAAAAGGAGACATGGGTTGAGACGTCACACACGGCCCCCCTCCAGCTTCACCTCCAGCACGCCCACCGTGCGCATCTGCAGGTAGCTGGGGGGGGGCGAGTGGAGGGGGAGAGAGCAGGGATAGCGAGGAATGAAGAGGAAGGAGATCGGGAGGTCTGAGGCGTCAGGTACTACCCCCCATCAGCTTCACCTCTAACACGCGCACTGTGCACATCAGTAGGTAGGTGGAGACGGGGGAGGGCGCAGAGCAGGGAGAAAGAGGAGCGGACATGACAAACGGCCGCCCACCAGCTTCGCCTCCAGCATACCCACCGTGCGCAGCGCATCTGCAGGTAGCTGGAGGGCGGGAGGGAGGGAGGGAGGGGTGAGAGAAAGATGGGGGCCTAAGGTATTCCCGCTCGCAACACAATGGTTTAGGGCTTTGCGCGAAAGGGTTGTGTCAAAACCGCTGCACGCAGCACAATTTCACAATAGCGTTGTTTAAAAAACGCTGCACGCAGCACAACGATTTCACAATAGCATTGTGTCAAAACTGCTGCACGCAGCACAACGATTTCACAATAGCGTTGTGTGTCGAAACCGCTGCACGTAGCACACCAATTTCGGCTTTACGCGAAAGGGAGCAGGAGGGCCAGGGGGGAGGGAGGGGGAGAGAAATATGGAGGCTGGGTATTCCCATTGAGGAGGAATGGCAGGCAGGGGAAGAACATGCGAGAGGTAGATGGGTGAAGTGAAGGGCGAGAGGGGAATGGAAGGAGGAGGCGACTAAGGTGGCGGGTGTAGTGATCATTAGCTTACTCATAGTTGCCGGGCACAATGGGGATGACGTGGCGCACAGGCCACACCAGCGAATCCGTGATGGCTGTGCGAATCAGATCCTGGTGGGGCGCACGGGGCGGTGCATGCCAGACAAAAGATAAGAAAGAAAAAAAACAAAGCAGCCAAAGATGCAAGGAGCCACGAAACAGATTCAGGTGGTGACACTGACAGAGCCGCCTGCCAGCTATAACCCCGTTAAAACAAACAACCCTGGTGCTGAATGGGATTGGAGAGGAGAACAAAACGTCTTACCTTCCCCCTCCCAGCCATGCCAAAATGCCATCATACCAATGCACAGCGCCCCATGACCTCACATGGCGCCCCGTGACCTCACAAGGCGGCCCTCACTGCTTTTTGAGTCGACTCAAGAGCAGAGGGGCCCCACACAGCGGCCCTCATCATGCATGCCATGCCACTCCAGGCCATCCCATCCCATGTCCCATCATCCCATCATCCCATCATCCCACGTGGCCGACTCACGTCCAGGGCATCTCCCAGGCCAGGCACGGCTGTCATGTCCCCCCCCGCCACCTTGAGAGTGAAATTGATCTCGGGCTGCCGTGGTGGCGGTGGAGGGGGGGGGGGGGAGGGCAGGGGGGGGAGGAGAAGAGAGGGGAGGATGGACAAGGCAGCACACAATGACATCAGTTTGGCAGCTTGGGCAGCGTGGAATGGTGAATGAGGTGGATGAGGGGGGATCTCCGTGTGGCTGCTGCAAGCATGAGCACAGGCAGGAACGATGCAATGCCATGGCATGCTGGTAGCTAGTGAGAGGCAACACGCTGGAATTAGGTAGCACAGGTGTGCAGGGGCAGGGGCCAAGGTACCTTGGTGGTGAGAGCAAAGACGACGGAGCCAAAGCAGGGGATGCTGGTGATGAGCGGTGTGAGGGCCACTCGAAACACTCCCCAGATCTGAAGGTTCTTCACCTGGTGGGCACGAGGGAGTGGAAGAGCAGGGAGGGTCAAAGAAAGCAGAACAATGAACATGGATTCCATGTGCTTTTGCATAGCTTGACACTCCCCAGATCTGAAGGTTCTTCACCTGGTGGGCCCGAGGGAACGGAAGCAGAACAATGAACATGGAGTCCATGTGCTTTCGCATGGATTGACCTGCTATTGGGAGCTTAGACGTGCCGCGAGGAGAGGAGCCTGGTGAAAGCAGTGCTCCATAAGAGCGCACTTTCCACTACACGGACCCGCCTCTGCCTGTCTGATGCGCTGCTCTTGGCCACGTGCAGGTGGGTGGGTGGCCTGCCTGCCTGTCCAAAACCCCCTTCGCGCCACCCACCCACCTGCACTTGCAGCGCCACCCCCACGAGCGTCTTGATGGAGAGGATGATGGAGGGGTCGCCCACCTGCCCTGGTCAGTCTCCTTCCTCCCCTTACCCATCCGCTAACCTGCCCTCGCCAACCCACCCACCTGCACTTGCAGCGCCACCCCCACGAGCGTCTTGATGGAGAGGATGATGGAGGGGTCGCCCACCCAGTTGAAGTCCACGTGCAGCACCACCTCGTCCGCCTTCGTCTCCACCACGTCGATTCCTGGGGACAGGGGGGAGGGGGGAGGGAGAAGGATGAGCGGACAAGCATGGGCAGGCATGGGCATGAGAGGTCGAAGTCCACCACGTAGATGCCTGGGGAGAAGCGTGGCCGAGGCTGAACTTGGTGGGCTTGAGCGCGGGGATCATGGTCATGCGATAGGGCACACCACACGTGCTGCTCCTACAGGCACAAGACATCCCAGATCCTGCGCGTACGTACCTTTCAGCTGCGGGGAGAAGTGCCCCGGCCCCCAGGTTGAACTTGGTGAGCTTAAGGGAGGAGATCATGGCGGGGCGGTAGGTCACACCAGCCGCACTGCACCCGCATGCACAACAGAGCCCATAAGCTGCGCGTACGTACCTCCGAGCTGCGGGGCGAAGTGGCCGAGGTTGAACTTGGTGAGCTTGAGCGAGGAGATCATGGCGGGGCGGTAGCTGTCCAGAATGGGCTCCACCTGCACCATCACCGCGCCTGAGATGGCCTGCAGGGCGGGGCAAGTGCCACACACACACGGGTGGATGGCACGCAGCAGTCAGTCAGACGACAGCCATATGCTCCAAAACATCAGAGAACAGCGCATCTCACTAAGCTGGCAAGCATGAGTCTTAGTGAGGGGAAATTGCTGCACCACAGAGAAAGCACTCACACGACACTCACACGACAGCACTCATGCAACTCACCTCATGCGACTCACCTCATGCGACTCACCTCATACGACTCACCTCATACGACTCACCTCATGCGACTCACCTCATGCGACTCACCTCATGCAACTCACCTCATGCGACTCACCTCATGCGACTCACCTCATGCGACTCACCTCTTTGAGCTTGGGCCAGACTTCCCTGAGAAAGTAGTTGATCCACTCGACCTGCACATGGGCGCGGCAGAAAAGGAGCCATAATGACGAGGAGGTGAGAGAGGACGAAACCAAGACGACATGCAAAGCTGGTGACAGGCGCTATGGTGTGCTATGAACGAAATTGCAATGATACAGCAGAGGTAACGAGGACCGCCGGATTCCGGCTGGGTTGTTGACGAGAGCAATCCAGCCATTGGAGGACATTGGCACATGAGATGCCTCTCCATGCATTCGTACCCGCTCGAACTCCGGGAACTGCACCCAGGAGGGGTAGAGCTCCTTGGGTATGAGCTTTCGCAGGTCCTCCTTGTTCACGCACGACAGCATCGCCAGGTCCACCATCTGCTCCATAACGCGTATGGAACCGACATAGGCAGCGGAATGGAAAAGACAGATTAGCACGAACAAGGTGGGATGGGGAGGCTTGGCGAAGAGATTGACGAGAAGGTAACCAGGAATGGGGCGGGGGGGGAGGGAGGAGAGAGGGGGGGGGGGGGGGGGATGAGAAGAATTCACCTTACGAACGCGCTGCGCCTGTCGCCTTTTCTGAATGTATTTGATCCCCGCTAGAACGACGATCCCCGTCACGAACCCGAAGATGATGCTGGGATAAAACCCCATGGCGCCTCGCCGCTCTCCCTGATCGGCTCACGCAGTCACCAAGTCGACACGCAGTACGGTAGAGGATTATGGTCAATACTAACACCGGAAAGGTGTATTTTGAGTCGACTCAAAATACAAGAGGATAAAGGTCAATACTAAGTACTAACACCGGAAAGGCTTACTAATTCGAGCTTTCGACACTCGCAGGATGCTAGTTCATCAGTCGGCAGGTCAGAAGCCACGGGGCTGACAGGTCGAGCTATTACTGGCTTGAGACTATTCAGTCTGGCGATGGCGTGGCAAGGCGTTTCTTACTGGAAGACTCGTAACGAGCGGCCCGCTTATTGGTAGAGGTATTGTGGTTAATGGCCGGCTTAGCCGATCACCGCGGGCTTCGAAAATTACGTCACGTCGCTAGACTAATGACCTCGTCCTTAGAATATTACAGACACGCCATTAGCACGGCTTTAGTACGGCGGGGGAAAGAGCACGGTCGATAACGGAAGCGAATACTAAGCGACTAAAATTCTCGTTACTATGCTGCAGTTAGCTCCTACTCGAAAAGCAATCCAGCTAACCTAGAGAGTACCGAAATCGCGGGGAGCTAACATTGCATCGTCCACCAGGTCAGCTCTGAAGCCGAGCTCTCATGCGAGCGGCGTGGCGCTCTCCGTGCATCGAGGCTGCACTCCGACGCTGCCTATGCGGAAAAGCGGAAACCCGCTGACGCAGGAGGCGGCAAACGCAGCAACAGCGCGGATCGGACGGTACAGTATCAAGAACAGGCAAGACCAGTGATCGACCAGTGATGAGCAGAAAATGGCTGGAAGTTGAAGCTTCCCGCTGCTAGGGGCGCAGCGGGATTGACGAGACGACTTGGTTTGGGTCTGACCCTGCTTCGCCGCGATCGGTCCTGATAAGGCGAAAAAACGAACCTTCAAGTTTGAAATATGTACAGTTTACATTAATATTCATCTTTTATAGAGTTTACTACAGAAAAGCTGCTCAATCCCGTGTAACATGTCGGTTTCGCCTGGTCGCGAAATTTCGCACAACACCGCGCCCTTCAACCGCTGCTCTTTCACTGCTGCATTTACTGAAAACTCCTAGCTCCCGACTCCTGACTCAGCTCCCGACTCCTGACTCCTTGACTCCTGGCTATGGCTCAGCTCGTTCGTTTCCTCCGCGCATTGCGGGAATGCTGAACCAAGATTCGCTCATGTCGTATCTTATCTGGCCGAAATTACCTGCTCGATCTGAAATTAATCTCTCTTAGCAGCGTCGAACGACCGCCGTGTCCGCTTCCCCTCACAAGCGGACACCAGCATGCGATGACGACTCGTCGCATCGACTAGACAAAACACAAAAGCGTCAAGAACCGCACTTCACCCTTTTATTCCACTTTTCACCGTGCTTTTGCGTGACACACTGAGCTCCCCTCAGCCATGCATTCGCCTATCTTCAGCCTTAGCAGCCTTCCGACCCCCACGGCCGTGCTCTTCCTGATCGTCGGCTTCCAGCTCGGATGGATCTCCACGTCACTCCTCCTGCCAGCGTGGCAGCAACAGTACCAGCAGCAGGAACCGTGCTTGTCACCGGACGACCCCGGATGTCAGAGGGGAAGCGCCATTTCAATCCTATCCTTCTCCTCCTCTAGTGTATCTGGCGCTACGACCAGCGAGCCTGGGACTGGTAGTGAAGAGCCTTGTAACGCGACATTGCTGTTGCTGAAGCAGCAGCAGGAGGCCATTCTTTTGAATCTGCAGCAGCAGCAGGCTGGGATCCGCAGGTTACAGGAGCGGGTAGCTGCGCGAAACAGCACCATTCTGAGCGAAATTGGTGCGTGTCACCGCGGATTAGCTACATTATACACCTTAATTTCCGCGCAGCACCCATGTGACGCGCTCCTTGTGCCTCAGCTGACATTGCTCTCTCTTGGTTGGCCCATCACCCTGGTATCCTCCAGCGGAGCCTGCCTGCGCGAATGACACCATGCCACGTGTCGGCACAATCCACTGGAACCCGAAGCCCCAGAGGTATGGGTGCAAGTGTGGCTGGTTGGCTCACAACGGACTGTTCCTCTTGTCCCCCACTTACTATCCCCGTTCTGGCCACTCCCTTGCTCCTCGCTCTCCTCCTCCCTCTTCACCACGCCCTCTTCCCCTCCTCTCCCCCCCCCCCTTCCCCTCTCCTCTCCCCCCCCCTTCCCCCTCTCCTCTCCCCCCCCCTTCCCCCTCTCCTCTCCCCCCCCCCTTCCCCCTCTCCTCTCCCCCCCCCCTTCCCCTTCTCCTCTCCCCCCCCCTTCCCCCTCTCCTCTCCCCCCCCCCCCCCCCCCCCCCCTTCCCCCTCTCCTCTCCCCCCCCCTTCCCCCTCTCCTCTCCCCCCCTCCTTCCCCCTCTCCTCTCCCCCCCCCCTTCCCCCTCTCCTCTCCCCCCCCCCCCCTTCCCCCTCTCCTCTCCCCCCCCCCTTCCCCCTCTCCTCTCCCCCCCCCCTTCCCCCTCTCCTCTCCCCCCCCCCTTCCCCCTCTCCTCTCCCCCCCCCTTCCCCCTCTCCTCTCCCCCCCCACTTCCCCCTCTCCTCTCCCCCCCCCCCCCCTTCCCCCTCTCCTCTCCCCCCCCCCCCCTCTTCCCCTCTCCTCTCCCTCCCCCCCCCCCTTCTCGCTCTCCTCTCCCCCCCCCCCCCTTCCCCCTCTCCTCTCCCCCCCCCCCCCTTCCCCTCCTCCTCTCCCCCTCCTCTCCCCCTCCTCCCTCCCTCCTCCCGCCCCTCCCCTCTTTCTTACCCCCCCGCTCCTCACCAGGTTCCTGATAGCGCTGTGTTCGGGCGGGCAGCTGAGCAACCGCCTGGCGTGTCTGCGGCAGAACATGCTGGACGCGGCCCTCATGAACCGCACGCTCGTCATCCCCACGCAGCTCATCGACTACGACTACGACGCCCTGCTCGGTGCGTGCGCGGTGGCGATGTAACTGTGTGATTGTGTGCCTGTGTGGCCTGGTAGCATGCTGGACGCGGCTCTCGTGAACCGCACGCTCTTCATCCCCACTCGGCGCATAGACTACGACTATGAGGCGCTGCTTGGTGCGTGCACACTGGTGCAGCTGTATGGTGTGTGATGGTGCAGCTGTATGGTGTGTGATGGTGCAGCTGTATGGCACTCGTTGTCAGGTGCGCCGGAGCCTGCTGGCTGCAGCTCCCATCAACCGCATGCTGTCATCCCCACGCGGCTCATTGACTACGACTACGAGGCCCTGCTAAGTACGTGCGCGCTGGTGTAGCTGTGTGGTGTGTGTGTGATTGCGGTTGTATGGCACTCGTTCTCAGGTGCAGCAGAACATGCTGGACGCGGCCTTGATCAACCACACGCTCGTCATCCCCGCGCAGCTGATCGACTACAACTACGAGGCCCTGCTCGGTGCGGGGACGCCCGTGAACTGGACGCCTGTGAACTGGACGCCTGTGAACTGGACGCCTGTGAACTGGACGCCTGTGAAATGGACGCCTGTGAACTGGACGCCTGTGAAATGGACGCCTGTGAACTGGACGCCTGTGAACTGGACGCCTGTGAACTGGACGCCTGTGAACTGGACGCCTGTGAACTGGACGCCCGTGAACTGGACGCCTGTGAACTGGACGCCTGTGAACTGGACGCCTGTGAACTGGACGCCCGTGAACTGGACGCCTGTGAACTGGACGCCTGTGAACTGGACGCCTGTGAACTGGACGCCTGTGAACTGGACGCCTGTGAACTGGACGCCTGTGAACTGGACGCCTGTGAACTGGACGCCTGTGAACTGGACGCCCGTGAACTGGACGCCCGTGAACTGGACGCCTGTGAACTGGACGCCTGTGAACTGGACGCCTGTGAACTGGACGCCTGTGAACTGGACGCCTGTGAACTGGACGCCTGTGAACTGGACGCCTGTGAACTGGACGCCTGTGAACTGGACGCCTGTGAACTGGACGCCTGTGAACTGGACGCCCGTGAACTGGACGCCTGTGAACTGGACGCCTGTGAACTGGACGCCTGTGAACTGGACGCCTGTGAACTGGACGCCTGTGAACTGGACGCCTGTGAACTGGATGTCTGTGCAAATGCATTACTTTGAGTCACCTCCCCGTTTGGTGGGCACATGCCTGTTGTGGCTCCCTTTGCAGCTAGAGCAAGCAGTGGCTGGGGAAGAGAAGTGCAACACTTGTCATGCCTGCCTTCCCCCCCGCCTGAGCAGATCTGGGAGCGTTTGACGAGTGCGTGGGTCCGGGCCGCATCATCACCTTCTCATCCTACAACGCCTTAGTCCATGGCTGTGTGTGCGTGGGCCGCTACATCTGCCACTTTTTCAGGATTCTCAAAATGACCCCTCACCCCGCCTGACTTGTATTATCCTGTCTTCCCCCCGCCCGAGCAGACCTGGGAGCATTTGACGAGTGCGTGGGTCCCGGCCGCGTCATCACCTTCTCAGCCTACAACGCGTCCGTCCGCGGCCGCGTGCGCGTGGGCCGCTACATCTGCCACGTGCACGCGTACCAGACGGAGCAGACCTGTGACGCCCTCCGCCTCTCCTACGAAACCCGCCTGCACGCGTCTTTTGCGAAGCACGAGGTCGCGCGCAAGCGCACCCCCGGCCCGTGGTTCAAGTATCCGACGGCGGAATTCATCCGCAAGTTCCACGGGGATCACCACGTGATAGCGTTTGCTAATATGTTTGGGGTGGGGGGCCGGGAGTTTAGGTTCCATGGGCGTGCGCCGCTGGTGGTGAGGCGGGAGTGCCGGGGGCTGCTGCAGCCGAGCCGAGCTATTCAGGAGGCGGCGGTGGGGTTCATCAACACGTTCCTGGGCTCGCGCTTCATCGCCATCCATCTGCGCAGGTACACCTCACACCTCACAACTCCGCCTGTCCCCACTGCGACAGTCCCACTGTGTGTGTCTTTACACATGTGTTGGCCCTACGTTCTCAGCTCCCATCCTCCCTTGCTTCCTCAGGCACTGGCTGCAGCCTGCAGCCTCTCTTGTTCTCCCTCTCCCACATATTTTGCACGCCACCATTCATATTACCCGCTTCCAAATCTCTCCCGCACCCTCCTTCAGGTGCGCTTTCTTCCACCACTCCACTCACGGGGACGGACGGCAGTCGCAGGGCGGTGCCACGCTACCACTGTCCACCTCATAGAAGCTCGCAAGCTGCCTGCACTTCCTCACCCCTCCCTCTCCCCCCTCCCCCTCCTCTTCCTCCCCCCCAGGGGCGATTTCTTCCACCACTGCATGGGGATGGCAGTCGGCGCGCGGTGCCGTGCTACCACCCCATCCAGCAGCTCACGCACTGCCTGCACTTACCTCACCCCTACCCCCCCCCCCCCCCCCCCCCCCCCCCTTCCTCTCCCCCAGGGGCAACTTCGTTCACCACTACATTCACGGCGATGGCAGTCGGCGCGCAGTGCCATGCTGCCATCCCATCCAGCAGCTTGCTTACTGCCTGCACTCCCTTCCCTCCTCTCAACCCCCCATTCTTCGCCTCTCTCTGTCTCCGTCTCGCTCCGCCCCCCAGGGGCGACTTCTTCCACCACTGCATCCACGGCGATGGCAGTCGGCGTGCGGTGCCGTGCTACCACCCCATCCAGCAGCTCGCTCACTGCCTGCACTTGCGCCTGCAGGCGCTGCCGGGCGCTGTCATGGTGTTCGTGGCGAGCAACGCCGGGGAGGAGGAGATGCGCGTGCTGTCAGAGACACTCACCACGCTCGTGAGAGGGGGAGGTTGAGACGAAGGGAAACTGTCACTAGTGGCACTCGTGAGCCGATTCCCCCATTCCCCCACCTCCTTTGTTTTCCTAGCCCTGCCCCTGGCTCGCATTCCCAGCATCCTCGTTGCCCTGTTTCGCTGCTCCTGTTGCCTCCAGGGTTCCCCTCACTCGTTCGTGTCATTGCCGCCGAGCCTCAAGGGCCAGGCTTGGGCCGAGCCTCTGCTGAGCCTGGGGCTGGAGAGCAACAGGGAGGTGGTGTCGTTCCTGGATAAGACCATCTGTGCGCTCGCCCTCAAGTTCTACGGCACATCAGGGTCCACGTACTCCCATGATATCATGCGGTAAGAAATTATGCGCACTGCATGGCTTGGCTACCCTGATGGTATGAAATTAGATGCACTGCATTCTTTTTGGTCCGTGTGTTTTCCTGCCTTGGTGTGGATTACGTGCTCATTCTTCCTCCGTTTTTTTTCTCGGTGGCAGGTTGCGGGAATGGTGGCGTGATGACCACTGTGAGATGTACATTTGCCCTGAGACCTTGCCATCTCAGATTTCTCACATACACCCTAACCTCGCTAGCAGATTGCTGTCTCCAGCTCAGGAAGTGGCTGGACAAAATGCAACTCTTAGTGCGAACGTGTCGAGCGATAAGAATCCTGCATCATTGTAGGCTACGTACTCCAACGTATTGCATTCTTGTAAGTCTTAGTCATTCTTGATAGATGGTAATGCCATAGGAAGCGCCTCATACTGCAATTGTTCTTCACCATGAGCAGATACACGGACCTGTATCGCGTATATCAGGGGCCTTCGAGAATATCCCGTCCCACCACCCCGAACCATTGATAGGGCCAGCAGCAGCAGCACTCAATGCTGGTCACCCGAGGCAAATTTGGTCCTACGCCTTGATACCCCTGCTGCTTCAGCTTCGCCCTGCTGCTACCTGCGTGTGAGTGGTTCAAAATCGACGCATCACATCACATCCGCTATTCCATCCTAGGAGTCCGCGAAGTGACCTCCGCGTGGCTCTGACGGGCGTTCATGTAACTTTCTCAAGTCGGCGTACCGGCAGTCACGTTTGGGAGTGCCTCACCAATTCCGCCTGACCTCCTCACGCACGTTTGGGAGGGCCTGACCAATTCCGCGGCCTTCGTTTTCGTTCTTACGACTCGTCATTTTGCGAGCCCAGCTCACATGAAAACTGTCATGTGTAACGCGTAGTCCAGTGTGCTCGCAGCCGTTGCCAGTAACCGTCACATTTCCTTCAGTTTAGATACTAGTTCAAAGTACCCACCTTTCCTTACCACAAATGCTCGTTACTCCTCATAGTTGTCAGATGAATGTTTCGTCTTTTGACGACAAACGCTCGATGCGTCTCCTGACGACGGCAAATGATCGTTACGTCCGCTGACCGCCAATGGTCGCGTCGTCGTCCGGCGAGTACGAGTACGAGCCGTGGGCCGAGGAGCGTCGCGAGCGCATCCGGCGTCGCGAGGCCATCCTCAATGCCGTGCCGACCACCCCCTCCGGCGCACCCTCCGCTAAAACTCCTCCCAGCGCATCCGTAGCCGCGGGTAAAGCTGGTAGTGCCGTTAGTGGCGGACTAACAAGCGGACTAACAAGTGGTACAGGCGGGGAGGAGGGGTTGAGTTCGCCGTCTAAGAGCAGGGAGGGGACGGAGGCAAGGGGGGGGAACGAGAGATCCGTGGCTCGGGTGGTTGCTCGACCCATGACGTTCCTACGTAGCGTGGTGAGCGGGGTGATTGCGATGCAGGCCGTGAGATTGTATAGGGATGTGATTGGATGGGGGGATGATCGTATGGGGATGTGATTGGATCATGAGGCTCTGTGGTGCGTTTGGAAAGGGGTTGTGAACGTGTGGTGCGACAATGGGGGCTGTGAACGTGTGGTGCGACAATGGGGGCTGTGAACGTGTGGTGCGACTATGGGGGTTGTGAACGTGTGGTGCGACAATGGGGGTTGTGAACGTGTGGTGCGACAATGGGGGCTGTGCTGCCTGCTGCAACAACGTGCCCACGCCACGCCTTTCCCTCCCAATTCCCCTTTTCCTCCCATGCCGGCCCCACCGCCATGGCAGGCGCGCTTCTACTGCACCATCTTCCTGCTGTTCGCGGTGCTCACGGCGTGCCAGGTGTACTTCATGTGGACCGAAGAGCTGGGCGCGCTCGAGGTGTCGTCCACAGGGCTCTCCTCGCTGCTCAACGCGGTCAGTCAGTCAGTCAGTTAGTCAGTCAGTCAGTCAGTCAGTCAGTCATGCGCGTCTTGCCTCGCCACGGCAGGGCTGCGCTGCTCTAAGGAGTCTATTTTTGAGGTGCCTCAAAAATAGACTCCTTGCGCTTCTTGCCTCGCCACGGCAGGGCTGCGCTGCTCTAAGGATCCACTACTGCGCAACTCAATGCAAGTAGGCGTCTTTCCCCCGCGTCTTTCCTCGCTCCTCCTCATCTCCCATGTGCCACTCCCGCCTCTCTCTTTCTCCACCTCTCTCTAACCCTCGCACTCCCTCCTCTCCCCCCCCCTCTCTCCCGCACTCCCTCCTCTCTCCCCTCTCTCTCCCGCATTCCCTCATCGATCCCTCCCTGTGACCACCAGAGCAAGCCAGCGAAGCTCACTCGCCGCATCATGCTCTCAACCATGGCTCGAGACGTCATGAACCTGCAAGGTGGGCTTTAAGGCGTCAGGAACCTGTAAGGTGGGCTTTAAGGCGTAATGAACCTGTAAGGTGGGCTTTAAGGTGGCATGAACCTGCAAGGCGGGCTTTAAGGTGTCATGAACCTGCAAGGTGGGCTTTAAGGTAACATGAACCTGCAAGGTGGGCTTTAAGGTGCCATGAACCCGCGAGGTGGGCTTTAAGGTGACATGAAACTGCAAGGTGGGCTTTAAGGTGCCATGAACCTGCAAGGTGGGCTTTAAGGTGCCATGAACCTGCAAGGTGGGCTTTAAGGTGCCATGAACCTGCAAGGTGGGCTTTAAGGTGCCATGAACCTGCAAGGTGGGCTTTAAGGTTCCATGAACCTGCAAGGTGGGCACTTGCACTTGTGCCTGTGTGCACCTTATACTGATTAGTGGCCACCACTTCTCCCCTTCACTCCATTCCCGCCTCTTGAGTCGACTCAAAAGTCACCTGATTAGTGGCCACCACTTCTCCCCTTCACTCCATTCCCGCCTCTTGAGTCGACTCAAAAGTCACCTGATTAGTGGCCACCACTTCTCCCCTTCACTCCATTCCCGCCTCTTGAGTCGACTCAAAAGTCACCTGATTAGTGGCCACCACTTCTCCCCTTCACTCCATTCCCCCCTCTTGAGTCGACTCAAAAGTCACCTGATTAGTGGCCACCACTTCTCCCCTTCACTCCATTCCCACCTCTTGAGTCGACTCAAAAATCACCTGATAAGTGGCCACCACTTCTCCCCTTCACTCCATTCCCGCCTCCCCGCTCTCCCTCCACTCGCTCCCCTCTGCACCCACCAGCGTCCCTCACCACCAGCGTGGCGCAGCTACAGGCGCAGCAGGCAGCGCTGGCAAACCAAACCGCCACAGCCCTGCAGGGCGTGAAAGGGGCCACTTCTCCTCCTTTCAACGCCTCTGTCCACTTCTCTACCACTTCCCCCTCCCAGCCTCCCTCACTACCAGCATGGCACAGCTGCAGGAGCAGCAGGCGCTACTGGCAAACCAAACCGCCGAAGCCCTGCAGGGCGTGGAGCGGCGGCTGACAGGTGGCAGCAAGCGACTGGTGGACTTCACTCGAGCCATGGGCGAGAAGCAGCGTGGGGAGGTGCAGGCGCTGCAGGGGCGGGTGGAGGAGATGGGACGGGCGATGGCGCGGCAGGGCGAGCTGCTGAGGGAGCAGACGGACGCCATCGCCACACTCAAGGTGGGAGGGCGGGCTCTGCTGTGGTATGGTGGCCTTGAGGCAGTGCATAGGATGAGGCAAGGCGAGCTGCTGAGGGAGCAGATGGACGCCATCGCCGCCCGCAAGGTGGGTGTTGAGTCACATTGTAACTCAAATGTCATCTCTTGAATCTCTTGTTGAATCGCTCAAAAGTCAAGGTGGCGTTACACTGTCACACGGAATGGAACTCTCCAGAAGTGGTGCCAAGTGGTGCCAAGTGGTGCCAAGTGGTGCCAAGTGGTGCCAAGTGGTGCCAAGTGGTGCTCACTGGGAAACAGACGGACGCCATTGCCACCCTAAAAGTAGGGGGCACTTTGCGACTTCTCGCAACTGTCTCACAAGGTGGGGCCAGTTTGCCTGTCACTCCGCACTTCCATGTGCCATCAATGTGGGGGTTGGGGGCGGTTTCTCTGCGTTTGCTGACAAGTGAGTGCGCACCATCCTGATCCAGGTTTACTTTCCCCCTTACCTGCTCCATGTGCTTCCCCGCACCCCCCCATGTGCCCCCCCTCCCCCCCATGTGCTCCCCCTCCCCCCCATGTACTTCCCCCTCCCCCCCATGTACTTCCCCCTCCCCCCCATGTGCCCCCCTCCCCCCCATGTACTTCCCCCTCCCCCCCATGTGCTCCCCCTCCCCCCCATGTACTTCCCCCTCCCCACCATGTGCCCCCCCTCCCCCCATGTACTTCCCCCTCCCCCCCATGTGCTTCCCCACACCCCCATGTGCTTCCCCACACCCCCAATGTGCTTCCCCTCCCCCCCATTTCTTCCCCCCACAGGCGGACCTGGAGATGCGCAAGGCAGCGTCCAACCCCCCCACCAGCTACACGCTGTTCTACATCACAGACGACCACCCTGACCTCTGGCAGGCAGCAGCGCACCTTCCCTCCCATCATGACCCCTTCCCCTTCCCCTGCCTTGCCCCATTTCTCCCCCCAACCAGGCGGACTTAGAGATGCGCAAGGCAGCATCGACCCCCCCCACCAACTACACCCTTTACTACATCACGGACGACCATCCCGACCTCTGGCAGCAGCGCACCTTCCGCCGCTACGCCTCCTATGGCTTCGTCAAGTTCAGGTGAATCGCCAGGTGATAATTGCTGTCCGTGGGTGTGTCAACTTCAGGCGAATCGCCAGGTGATTGATTACCAGGTGAAGGCACGGGCCCCTCCTGCTATCTTGAATGTTACCACCTTACCTACCTCTTTCTTTCCCCTCTCCATCCCCCTGCCCTCTCTTCCCAGTGCCTACTGTGTCTCCCCGCTGCTCATCGCCATCCTGGATCTGTCAGCAGCGCTGGCAGTGCACGAGGTCCATCGGCTGCCATCAATGGTAACTCCTTACCACATACACACCCCCCCCCTCTCCCTCCCTCCCTCCCTCCCTCCCTCCCAGTGCCTGCGATGTGTCCCCGTCCCTCATCGCCATCCTGGGCCTGTCAGCGCTCGCCATCCACGAGGCCCACCGGCTATCCTTGTCTGTACCTCCCACCCATCCCGATCGCCCTCCCCCCATCACCGCAGCGCCTACCGTGTCTCCCCATCCCTCATTGCCATCCTGGGCCTATCAGCCCTAGCAATGCACGACAACCACCGGCTGTCGTTCTGCGAGTGGCACGGCATGGACGGGTCCGTCATCCCAGGCCGGCTGGAGATGCTCTACGTGGGCGAGCACCACAACTTCCTGGTATGCCTGTCGCACAACTGATAGCACATGCTGCTCAGTGTGCTTTGCTCGCCCACGTGAGACTGCCTACACTTGTGGAATCTGCTTTGTTTTGCTAGGGTCCACTCCACATGGCATTGATATCCATTCGCCCCTTCACCCATTCCCCTGCTCCTTCCCCCACCCTCCCTTGCATGTGCCCATTCCCTGTCCCTGCCCCTCCCCCCGTACTCACCTAGTACGAGACAGTGGTGCTCAACTGTTTGTTGGATTCACCTGTGCAATCACCTGGGGGCTACCTGAAGGCGCGCATCAACTCTGAGGTCCTCTACCCCTACAGAGAGGCCAAGAGCGAGGTACAGACAGGCAGGAGGGAATTGCAGGCAAGGTATGGTCAAGGGCAGGTACGGTCAAGAGCAGGTACGGTCAAGAGCAGGTACGGCCAAGAGTCGGTACGTCCCTACTCTATATCGCTTCTTGCGCTGTGAATGGTGAGTGCGGATGGTGGCGTGTTCCTTTGGCCTTGCACCTTTCGACTCCTTGTTTTGCGCATGGCTGTTTCAGGCTGAGCGTGCTTTTGAGTCGACTATAACACATGGCTGTCTAAGGCTGAGCGTCGGACGCCCCCTGGCAAGATGAGGCACCACTTCCTTCCGACCAACGCCCTTGATTCCGACCAACGCCCTTGATCCCCCACCACCACCTCCCCTTATCTCCTCCCCTTTCCCCCCTTCCACCCCATTGCCGCACCAGCCCTTGACAGACCCTGCTCCTCCCTTCCGCCATCATCTGCTCTTCTGCGGCCCGCCCATGTACGGCACCATGGAGCCGCGGGTCATCCTTGAGTGGCTGGACTACCACCGCGTGTACGCGGGGGCGGACCACTTTGTCTTCTACGACTCGGGCGCCGTGGACGTGGCTGTGAGGAAGGCTCTAGAAGGGTATCTCAGTGCTGGCGCGCTGGAGATTACTGACTTCAGGGAGGCGCAGCAGTGGGACGCGTGGCTGTGGGCCCAGGTGAGAGACCCACCCCCCCAAACAACACTTCGTCTTCTACGACTCGGGTGCTGTGGATGTGGGCATGCGCAAAGCCCTAGAAGGGTACCTCAGTGCTGGCGTGCTGTAGATAACGGATTTCTGGGAGGCGCAGCAGTGGGACGCGTGGCTGTGGGCGCAGGTGAGAGACCCTTTGCTGTTTTCCCCACACCCTGGACACCGCTTTGCCTTCTACGATGAGGGCGCTGTGGACGTGGGTGTGTGCAAGGCTCTAGGAGGGTACCTGAGTGCTTGTGTGCTGGAGGTTACTGACTTGTTTTGAGGCGCCTCCAAACTAGGAGGGTACCTGAGTGCTGGTGTGCTGGAGGTTACTGACTTCAGGGAGGCGCAGCAGTGGGACGCGTGGCTGTGGGCACTGTGCACAGCTGTGGTGAGAGAGGGCCCTCTGGTAACTGTTAGCCCTCTGCACAGCCGTGGTGGGCACTGTGCTCATCACAGCCGCATTCCAGTCCCCCCCTTTGCCTCACATCCTCCCTGTACCCTCACATGCACCCCGGTCGCTAGCCCTGCATAAATCGCCCATGCCGCACGGCATGCTCTTTCTCTCCCATTTACACCCCCTCCCCGCTCTGTACCTCAGTCCGTAGCCATCCAGGACTGCATGTACCGGTCGCGCCGCACAGCAGAGTGGGTGTTCATGCAGGACTTTGACGAGTTCCTCGAGGTGCTTTCCATCCTGCCCACTCCCTTACCCCCTCCTTACATGCCATCCTGCCCACTCCCTTACCCCCTCCTTACATGCCATCCTGCCCACTCCCTTACCCCCTCCTTACATGCCATCCTGCCCACTCCCTTACCCCCTCCTTACATGTCATCCTGCCCACTCCCCTGCCCCAATCCCCCTCTTCCCGCACCTCAGTCCCTAGCCATCCAGGACTGCATGTACCGGTCGCGCCGCGTGGCAGAGTGGGTTTTCATGCAGGACTTCGACGAGTTCCTCGAGGTGCTGCCGCCGCTCACCGTGCCGGCGCTGCTCGCCAAGTACCAGGGGCGGCCCTGGATCTCGTACGGCTGCGCCGTCTTCAACTCCTCCTACTGCGTCGACTCGCCCACCAACGCCGCTGCTGGGCTCGCCACCCACGACCGGCGGAGGAACGGAGACCTCAGGGGGGGTGGGGGTGCAGCAGGTGGTGGTGGGGGGGCGCGGAGAGTGCACATGGAGGGGCTGCTTATAGAGAGGATGCATTTCCGGTGGCCGCACATCTACTGCATGGACACGCAGAAGTACCGGCCCGAGCACTGCCTGGACCAGGAGGGGCACCGGAAGTACATCCTCAACCCGCGGCGCGTGCAGGCGGCTCAGATCCACATAGTGGTCAAGGGGGAGGGGATGGGGGAGGGCGTGGATATGGACACGGATGACATGCGGCTGGCACACTACCGGGGGCTGGCCACCAAGGGTGCGAGGATGTGTGAGCTGGGCGTGCCCAGAGACTGGTGGATGCAGTACGATAGGGTGGGGAGGATTGCTGCTGCTGTGTGGAACTGCCCTCTTGTGGCGAGCAACCGACAGGTGAGAGAGGGGATGGGTGGAGGAAGCAGGAGACTTCGTTTTTTTATCCTGGACTAAGCATGCATGCTTCTTCCTTGATTGATCCGGTATTCAGTTGTGCTGCCTCTCTGACTCAAGACTCCATGTCTTCCTTTCACCGTGCAGGCATGCACACCCAGTGGCATCGCCAACACTCTTGCAGCCACTGGCGACTCGACAAGCTCCCAGTGACACGAATGCAGGCATGTATGATTGAAGTCTTGAAATGCCATATCACACCGGTACTCAACTCAAACGATGCCTTCACTAATAGATCTTGTTATTGTCTAGCAACAAATCTATATAGCGCTGTAGTTTCCTCGAACTTTGGCACTTGATATTCAGGTGATGTGCAGAGCGCGTATACGCGTGATTGAAGTGGTTGAGCGGAGGGCGTGTCTCAAAATCAGAAGTGTTTTTTCGGATTGGCTCAATGTTTGGTGCAGTAAGGTGCAATGGGGCAATCGTGCGTTACACGGAAACATGTCTGGTATGAGCTCCACGGGGCGTCAGATTACTTATCTAAACACACACCTCCTCCCCCGCCTTCCCCTCCCCTCCCCTTCCCTTCCCCCTGTCCGCCCTTCTTCCCCCACTCTCCCCACAGAGCTAGGGTTTCGTGCTGCAGAGAGAGCACCACCAGCACCACAACACCGAAGCACCAGCACCAAAACTCAGCAGTTCAGCAACCTGACGAGGTCCTCCACTATTTTCAGTTAGTTTCGCTTCGTCTGACCGCAGATTGTTCGTGGGCTGCACCGCATTCCCCGGCGACGGCTTTCGTGGAAATATTTTCTTTCGGTGCTGATTTGTCAACATTTGCGGTTGTTTTGAAGTCCACCTCACCCCACACTAGTTCGCGGTTGTTTTGAAGTCCACCTCACCCCACACTAGTTCGCGGTTGTTTTGAAGTCCACCTCACCCCACACTAGTTCACGGGCTATTCTCCACCATCCACATAGCGCGAACCATTTCGCGGGCATTTGTCCACCAGCCATGTGGCAATCCCCTGCGTGGCCTCTTATCCACCAGCCAAGTGTCATTTCCTTGCTGATCTGGCTCAGATTTTTCAAATTCGCATAGTTTCGCGCTCTGAAAGAATCCTCCCAACGGCTCCCAACGGGCACATGCGACTCCCCAACCGGGCATGGGAAACCCCCAGTCAGCTCCCAGCCTTGGTTCCGCCAGGCGAGTGGCTCGCAATCCCAATCCCATTTTGCCATCGCAGCTCGTCGCCAGCCCAGTTTCACCCGCTTCCCTGCTCGCTCTTCTCGCGCCCCATCCTTCTCCCTCGCTTCATTTTACCCCAGCGTTCCCTCATCGTCCTCATTCTTGGCGTTGCCTCTCCATTTTCGCTTCTCGTTTCGGACACTCCGCTCTCCACTCCCCGCGTCGTCACTGCGCTCTGCGTGGCCTCGTCGCTCCTCCATCGCACCCACCCTACGCTAGTTCACGTCGCCTAGACCAGGAATCCACGATTCAGTAAACGCGGAGCGGGTTAACGTGCGCGTGGCGAGAAGATGTTCAAATTCCTCGTCGTTGTCGTCGTGGCTGCCTGCAAGTGAAGCAAGGCTCGAAGGAAGTGCGAACGATGTGCCTTCTACGTGCGTGTAAGTCTCTAGTTTTAAGATTGCTGATCCAGAATTTCACTACCTTGAATTTCGAATCTAATGTTTCGTGTTGTGCTGTGCAGGAAATTCGAGTCTGCGTGAAATCGTCGAATGCAGACAAAGAAGATAAAATATGGAAGCGAAGATGTTGAGTCGCGCTTGAAGCAAGGTTTGGAGCTGCGAACGATGCTCCTTCCATGTAAGTATCAAGCGTTCACTTTCGTTCAAGCTTTCATTACCTTCAATTCTGAGTCCGATGCTTCGTTTCGTGCTGTGCAGGAAATCCGAGCTGGCACGAAATCGAGGATGCAACCTGAGCTGCGCGCCAAGATATTCGAGCCTCGTTTTGGAAACGAAGATGCGGAATCGCAGCGACTAATTTCTCCTCTTCCACGAATCGCATATGTAAGTGACAATGTCCGATGGAAGAGTTGAAGACCATCGCTTATGGTTGGTAGTCGTCGTTTTAATTCCCGGATTTTTTTAATCTCCTAACGTTTCGTTCCATTTTCTGCAGGAAAATTCTGACTCGCGAACCGAGTCACGCGCCAAGATCTCAAGTCAACAAGACAAGCGAAGATTCTAAGCCGAGCTATGCTAGGTCAGTTACTATTTAAGGGAGGTGGGGGGGCGAATAGGCCCGCCTAGAGAGTCCGCCTTTTTTTCCGCCGTGTCGTTTTCCAAGACTGTTCGCGTACTAACGCTTCCCCCTTGTGCATCCGCTTTCCCCCTCCTATCCCTCCCCCCTCGCGTTCGCACCTCTCCGTATGGGAGGCACGGAGTCACGGTCAACGCGCTGCTCCTCGAGTCAACGCCGTGAAGCCTTGATCAACAAAGGCAAGATCACGAAGAGCAACATATCCCGCCAGTTGCTGCGAGGTGAGCCGCTGGTCGATGGGAGGAGGGGGGACGAGTAGGCGTCTTAAATAGGCCCGCCCAGAGAGTCCGCTTTCGCTTTTCCGCGTGTCGTTTTCCAAGGTGCGACCCATACTAATTCGTCCCTCTTGTGCGTTGTCTCCCCCCCCTTTTCCCTCCCCCCTCATGTGCGCACCTCTCTGCACGGGAGGCACTGCTATGGCGCCGTGAGCCTCCTGCCCTCGCTCCCTGCTGCCGCCAGTCAACGCGCCGCCAGTCAAGTCAACGCGCGTCCGATCGACGGTTTGACGATCAAAGAGGGAGTATGGGTCTGACGGTGAGGCACGTGTCCTTCCTCTCGCCAGTTTCCGCTCTTGTCTTGCTTCTCAATGCACTCCTCACTCCTCCCCGGACCCTCCCCCCCCCCCAACTCCCGCTCACACCTCTCCTCAGAGCCAGCGCGGAAGCATCTCGCGACTTGCGCTTTCTCGCCCCGAGCAGCGGCAGCAGGGAGGGAGGGGCGGCGTTACATTGCTGGTGGGAAGAGCGGTGGCCGTCTCTGCCCCACTAGCCTGCTGCTCTCCTGAGATGAGTATCAGTATCGGCGCGCCTTGCCTCGATGCCATCACCACACCATCCCACTGCACCCATTTCCGCCCTCACTGCTCCTTCCACCGGCTGCCACGTGGCTCATCCAGGGACCCTCCCCCAGGTGTCAGGTGCCAGGTGTCAGGTATGGTATGGTCCGTCGGGTGAGCCGCGGGCCTGCCGCCTTCACCCATCATTCATTGCACATGGCGCGTTCATCGAGCTTTCCGCAATCCGAGTTTTCTCGCACATAGCAGTCGTTTTGCACGCATCCCACCCTCCCCACCCATCCCACTCATTTCCCTTCCCACCCACCCCACTCCCCAACTCCGGTCCTTCAGGTGCTGTCGCGGGGAGTTGCGGTGCCGTGCTCGCTTCAGGAAGCAGGCAGCAGAGGGCCGCAGAGGGCGGAGCAGCACGTGCAGCACGCGCAGGCTTCGCCCTTCTGCCAGCTCAGCATGCCCCCGCCATCCGTCCACTGAGGATAAGTACCCCTCACTCCTCACTGCTTGTCACAGCGCCACTTCAATGCCATCCGCACCCATTCCCGCCCTCACTGCTCCTTCCACCAGCTGCCACGTGGCTCATCCAGGGACCCTCCCCCAGGTGCCAGGTATCAGGTGCGTGCAAGCCTCAGGCATGGTATGATCCCTCGGATGAGCCGCCGGTCGCTCTGCCATCCCTCGCCAACCATTGCACCCGTGCATCGGTTTTGTTCCGCAATTCGAGTTGCCTCTCACGCCTGGCAGTCGTTGAGCACCCCTCCCACCCACCCCTCCCCATCCCCCAACCCCGGTCCTTCAGGTGCTGCTGGGGGGAGTTGCGGTGCCGTGATTGCTCGAGGCAGCCAGCGGCAGGGGGCGGCAGAGGGGCGGAGGGGAGGAGCAGCACGTGCAGCACGCGTGGGCCTCACCATCCTGCCAGCTCAGCACGACCCCACCAACCAACCGTCCTCCGAGTTTAAGTACCCCTCACTCCCTGTCTCAGCGCCACTCCATTCCGCTGCCAATCCGCACCCATCCACGTCAGACACTTGCTGGCTCGTTCTTTCCGCTGGCTCAGCTCGCCACGTGGCTCATCCAGGGACCCTCCCCCAGGTGCCAGGTGTCAGGTATCTGCAGGTACGTGCAAGCCTCAGGTATGGTATGGTCCCTTGGGTGAGCCGCCGGCTTGCTGTCACTCGCTGCACGCTTTCATCATGGTTCCCCGCTATCCAACTCACATGACAGTCGTTTCTCACCCCTCATATCCACCCCACTCACCCCACTCATTACCCCCACCCCACCCCATCCCCCATCCCCCATCCCCCCGGTCCGTCAGGTGCTGCTGGGGGGGAGTGTGTGCTGCCATGCCATGCGCGCGTCAGGAGTGCAGCAGAGGCGGCAGCAGGCGGCAGAGGAACAGAGGGGAGGAGCGGCAGCAGCGCATCGCCCTTCAGCCTGCTCTGCACGGCCCACCAGCCGTTCACTGAGGAGAAGTACCCTGCACTCCTCGCTCCTAGTCTCAGCTCCACTGCAGTGCCACTCCGCACCCATCCACGCCCCACACTTGCTGGCTCGGCTTGTCACGTGGCTCATCCAGGGACCCTCCCCCAGGTGCCAGGTATCTGCAGGTAGGTGCAAGCCTCAGTTATGGTATGGTCCCTTGGGTGAGCCGCCGGCCAGTCTGCCATCACTCGCTGCATGCCTTCATCCATCGCACATGCAGCCTCAGCAAGCAGCCATCCTGTCACATGGCCATCCTTCTTCCATCTCTTTCAGTCCATGACGCTCCCGCTCCTTCACTTACCCACTTCTCTCTTCCCCCCCTTCCTCCCTCCTCTCCCGCCCAGCCCCCTTCCACCAGGTGGCAAGGAGCAGCGCCAAGGGGGTCACCGAGCGCAGAGGCGGGAGCAGCAGCAGCAGCAGCAGCCCTTCTCCAAGTCTCTGCCCGCCGCGAGTCAGAAGATGAGTGTCCTGCCCTGACCCCGCCCAGTCTGCTCTCGTCGCCTTTCGTTCGCCTGTGCGCGTCTCACTGCCATCCCTCCACCCCATCTACCACTCGCTGCTCTTTTCCGCACTTGCTGCTCTGTGACTCATCCAAGAGCCACCCCCCGGTAGCAGGTTCGGACTTTGGTATCCCCCCCCCCAGGTTGCCAGGTTCCCCACCCTCCCAGGTGTAAGGTAAAACCTTCTACTCCTGGTTCGGCCTGTGGTTGGTTCAGACCGAGGTACGGCCTCTTGGGTGCGCCACAGCAGCTTCTGCATCTCGCCTCCATCGCTCGCCACACTTCCCTGCCTGTTTTCCGCCACTCCAACTCCGCCTCCCTAACTCCCCTTCACCCCCCCCTCCCACCCTCCCCCACCCTTCCCCCCTCAACCCCCACATCCCAACACCCCCTCCCACCCAGTGCTTCCTTGGAGGCATGGCCGAGGGCAGCAGGGCGAGGCAGCAGGGTGAGGCAGCAGGGACGAGCAGGGCGCAAGCAGCAGGGGGGGAGCGGGCGCAAGCAGCAGGGGGGGAGCTGCAGTCAGCCAGCCCACCGTCTCAAAGCAGATGAGTGCCTGGCCCTGCCGTTGGTCCCTCTGCTCCTCCGCCATCTCCTCGTTCATTCATATTGCTCGCTGCCATCCGCTGCTCTCACTGCTCCACCTGCCCCGTGGCTCACCTAAGCGGCCCTCCCCCCTCTAGGTGTCAGACTTGAGGTACCAGGTACCAGGTATCCCACCCTCTCAGTTAAAAATTCCAGCCCCTGGTTCAGCCTTGGTGGGTAAGTGTCGAGACTAAGGTATGGTCGCTTGGGTGAGCCACAGCAGCCGCTTCCCCCTCCCTGCATGCTCGCACTCCTCTCAGCTCGCACATCAGTCCCTTGGTCACCTGCCTTGCTTGCTCACTAACTTTGCTTCGTCTCTCCCCCGTTCACCCCCCCCCTCCCCTCCCGCTCCCCCCCCCCTCCCCTCAGCTTTGCAGATTCAGCTGGCAACATCTGGGGGAGGAGCAGCAGCGAGGCGTGGCGAGGGAAGCAGCGCTTGCTGCCATGTGCTGCCAGCGCCAACCATCTCGAGAGAAAAGTACCCTGCCCTCACTCTACTCGTCCTCTCGTTTTGCTCACCTGGTTGCCTTGTCTCCATCACTCCACGTCCATGCATCCACTCCCCCCCCCATGCATCCACTCCGCTTTCCGCCTCATGCTGCTTCCACCCAATCCGCCTGCACTGAGGCTCACCCAAGAGGCTTTCCCAGGTTCAGGTTCAGGTCCCCTGGTCTCACTTGCCGCCTCCCCACTCTCCCTCCCCCCCTCCCTATCCCACCCCGGCAGGACACTTGGATGAGTGTGGGGGCTGAAGCAGAGCAGCAGATGAGCCACAACCGCAGCAGCCGCAGCAGCAGCAGCAGCAGCAGCAGCAGCAGCAGCAGCAGCAGCAGCAGCAGCAGCAGTGCAGCAGTGGCAGCTGACAGGGGGGTTTCAGAGGCTAGGTAGTCAGAGGGTAGGACAGTTAGGGACAGTGAGAGTGATGTCTAGTATGAGGTACGGTAAGGTATGCTATGATATGGTATGGTAGTATTGTACCTTCATTCCCCCTCCCCTCCCCCCTCCTCTCCCCCTTCCCCAGCAGCCTAAGCTCCTTGGCTGGATGGTGAGTTGCACCTCAAAATCTCCCCCCCCACCTTTCCCCCTCCCCCCTCCCCCATCCCCCCCTGCAGCAGCACCATGTCCTCAGCTGAGTGAATCGGTTCCACCCTCACCCCCCCCACCCCTCCCTCCCCTCCCTTCAGCGTCATCATTGGCTTGCTCACTGGGGCTGGAGGTAAGGAGGTGAGGAGGTAAGGCTGTGAGGAGGTGAGGAGGCGGGGAGGCAGGGTTGCACGGGGCTCAATCTCTTGAGGGCGCCACTGGCAGTGCTGTGAGCCGTGTGGGGCGGGTGGGGTCATGGGGGTTGCGGCGTCTCAAATCTCTGTGCTTGGGCCCAATACCCGGCGTTTAAGGCATAACGGGCACCGTCAGACCATTGCGGCCGAATGGCTCTGGTTCGCGCCCACTCTTGCTACGCCGGTGAGGGGCACCCAGGTCTTGGGCTGACCGCGCAGTCCTCCTCTGACCCACTCCGCCCCATGTGGCAATCAGTGCTGCGGGTGGTGCCTGAAAAGTGGGCGACTCTGAGTGCTGGTGCTGGCGTTGGCGGTGGCGATGGTGGTGAGAAGTGGTGATGGTGGTGGTGAGAAGTGGTGGTGGTGGTGGTGAGAAGTGGTGGTGGTGGTGGTGAGGATAGTGGTGGTGGTGGTGAGAAACGGTGGTGGTGGTGGTGAGAAGTGGTGGTGGTGGTGGTGAGAAGTGGTGGTGGTGGTGGTGAGAAGTGGTGGTGGTGGTGAGAAACGGTGGTGGTCGTGGTGAGAAGTGGTGGTGCTGGTGGTGAGAAGTGGTGGTGGTGGTGGTTTGAAGTGGTGGTGATGGTGGTGAGATGTGGTGGTGGTTGTGCTGAGAAGTGGTGGTCGTGGTGGTGAGATGTGGTGGTGGTTATGGTGAGAAGTGGTGGTGGTGGTAATGAGAAGTGGTGGTGTTGGTAATGAGAAGTGGTGGTGCTGGTGGTGAGAAGTGGTGGTGGTGGTGGTGAGAAGTGGTGGTGTTGGTAATGAGAAGTGGTGGTGCTGGTGGTGAGAAGTGATGGTGGTGGTGGTGAGAAGTGGTGGTGGTGGTGGTGAGATGTGGTGGTGGTTGTGGTGAGAAGTGGTGGTGGTGGTGGTGAGATGTGGTGGTGGTTGTGGTGAGAAGTGGTGGTGCTGGTGGGGAGAAGTGATGCTGGTGGTGGTGAGAGTGGTGGTGGTGGTAATGAGAAGTGGTGGTGCTGGTGGTGAGAAGTAGTGGTGATGGTGGTGAGAAGTGGTGGTGGTGGTGGTGAGAAGTGGTGGTGGTGGTGGTGAGAAGTGGTGGTGGTGGTGGTGAGAAGTGGTGGTGGTGGTGGTGAGATGTGGTGGTGGTGGTGAGAAGTGGTGGTGGTGGTGGTGAGAAGTGGTGGGTGGTGGTGGTGGTGAGATGTTGTGGTGGTGGTGAGAAGTGGTGGTGGTGGTGGTGAGATGTGGTGGTGAGAAATGGTGGTGGTGGTGGTGGTGAGAAACGGTGGTGGTCGTGGCGAGAAGTGGTGGTGGTGGTGGTGAGAAGTGGTGGTGGTGGTGGTGGTGAGATGTGGTGGTGGTGGTCAGAAGTGGTGGTGGTGGTGGTGGTGAGAAGAAGTGGTGGTGGTGGTGAGAAACGGTGGTGGTCGTGGTGAGAAGTGGTGGTGCTGGTGGTGAGAAGTGATGGTGGTGGTGGTGAGAAGTGGTGGTGGTGGTGGTGAGATGTGGTTTCACGCTATTGGCTTTCCCATTCCAAGATCCTCGTCACTTTTCCGTTGTTTGGCGTAACACCCAGTTTGCTGGGCCTGTTCTATTGGATGCTTGGGTTTTCTAGCGATGAGGATGTCGTCACAAAGTGTGCCTCGGCCACCCCACATATTTTTATGGTCATATATGCTAGAAAGAGAGAATGAATGGACTAGTGTGAGAATCCTAGAACATGTACTTGTTGGGGTTGTACTCACTAGAAGCACACACCTAGACTAGCTTATAATTTCTACATACAGCATATGTATAAGTTGACACCTGAGGCTAAGTGAACTACGCAGGCCTGGCGACGCTGCTGTAGCTCGCGTAGGAGGAAATACCGCAGCTGGATATGCGTCGCTCTGCCTTCAAGCCGAGACTCCTGACACAGGAGAATCATGGCCCTGTTGTCAGCGTACAGAACCGGGGCAGAACTAGGCCGCTCACCTAAGTCTTTGAGCAAGAAGGTCAGCCAGCGAAGCTCCTGTGCCGCCATGGCACCGGCGTCGATCTCAGCCTCACAGCTAGACTGAGCAATAGACGACGAGCGAGTAGATCTCCAATAGATAGCTCCCGAACCAAGGCTAAAACAGTAGCCCTGCGACGACCTGAGTGTCTCAGAGTTGTCTGCCCAAGAAGCACAAAGAAAGAGTCGTCTCCCGAGGTCCAAGGCCCAAGGTCCCGAGGTGGCCTCAGCGTAAGTGCGAGGGGTCGGGATATCGAAGGCGTCTGGGTCACCCTCTGGGACTAGGAGCATGGAGCAGAGATGGAGAGCGGCATCGGAAAGGAAAGCAAGCTCGTATTGCCGGTCCTCTAGGACGTCACTGTCAAGGGCAGGTGCACCCCCGACGGACGGAGGACGGGCAGGGTCAGAGACCAGAGCGGTAGCGTAGTCAAGGCGGCGGGTAGAGGCGAAGTCAGCGACAGCCGCGACAAGCGCGTCAAGGCGCAAGACAGGAACAGACGGGTCTGTAACAAGAGTGGCAAGAACCCGAGGGACAAGGGGACGAGCAGCACCGAGGTAGTCAGATAGCGGGGGAGGTGCAACAAGAAGCGACGAGGGAGGAGGCATCGGGAGGAGGGGAGGACGAGACGAGTGGGAACGGAGCAACATAGGGTGGGAGCGCAGGACAGGAGAGACGGGACGAGCACGGGAGGGACGGCGAGACCAAACGTGGGACGGAGGTGTAGGGTCAGGAGACAACGGAGGGGACAAAAAAGGGGAACGAGGAGGAAGACGGGCCGGAGACAAGTCCGACGGTGGGAACACAGGGCCGGAGATAGGAAGGTGAGAAGGTGGTGGGGGAGACACCGGCGAGCGGTCGGGGGAGGGAAGGCCAAGCAGGCGAAGAGCGGAGACCGGCGGCGACGGCTGCGGCGGCTGCAACGGTGGCTGGTGCTCGACCCGCGGACCGGCAGGGGCACGACAGCCGGTGGGAGAACACTCAACAGCAGCACCCCCAGAACCAACACCCCCAGAGCGAGAACTCCCTCTAGCACCGGCGGCACCCCCAGGCCCGCCGGAACAGACCACGCCAGGGGCCGCAGGACGAACACCCTCCTCAACGCGAGCACCCCTAGAGGCCAAGAGCGGCAGAGGCGGCAGCGGCGGCGGCTGCGACGGCGGCGGCGGCTGGGACAGCGGAGGCGGAGACACCGGGGAAGGGGGACGCGGCAAGGACGGGCCGGGGGGACCACTAGAGTCAGCAGACTCCTCAACGGGGACAACCGACGGGAGGGGAGTGACATGGGAGACACAAGACGGGGCAGGACGAGGCGAGAGGGGAGCAGGGGCTACCGGCAGAGAGGGCGCCAGGAACAAGGGGGGGGGAACCGGGAGACCTCGGTGAGGGAAGCGACGGTAGAAGCACACAGACTCGTCAAAGGTGACGTCACGAGAGTGAAGGAAGCAGTGAGACTGCGGGTGGTAGAACAGCCAGTCAGCCGAGTCCAGGGGGAAACCGAGGAAGACAGAGGGGACAGTGCGGGCAGTGAGCTTGTCCGTGCCAGAGGCACGAACGTGAGCAAGGCAACCCCAGACGTGGAACGCAGACGCGTCACCGGGGGACCCGGTCCAAAGGAGGGTCGGCGAAACCCGCGGCCGCTGGGAGCGTGGCCACAGGTTAAGCTGGTGAGCAGCGTAGCGGACAGCGAACGGCCACAGAAAATGGGGGGCATCGGCATGAATCATGGAGGTACGAGCAACCTCCATGACCAAGCCGATGCGGCGCTCAACAACCCCATTCTGCTGTGGCAAGTCCGGTAAGGTGTACGACTGGGTGATGCTCTCCGCACGACAGAACTATCCAAGCCGACCAAAGGCGAACTCGCCGCCACGGTCAGAGTGGAGACACAACACGGGGAGACCGCGGTGAGGACGCGTAGCCACAACCCACAGGAGAAGAACGTCGGGCACGTCGGCCTTCCGCTCCAGGGGAAACACCGTGGTGTAGCACGTGTAGTCGTCGACGAGCACAAGAATGTAGCGCTGATCGCGTGGTCCGGGGACGGGGGCTGGGCCCCAAATGTCCAGGTGCAGGGTCTGAAGGGGAGCAGTAGCAGGGCAAAGCGAGGAGGAGTGAGGGGCACGGCGGAGCTGGCCCTTGATGCAAGGCGTGCACGGTGGCGCAGTCGCGGGGGGAAGTGCGGGGAGCGACTCGGGGAGGCCTAAGACAAGACCGTGCTGAGACATGTGACGCAGGCGCGGGGAGAGCAGGGTGACCTAAGCGGTGGTGCCACAGAAGGGACGGGTGTTTGAGGGACCGACACGAGCAAGCTGCAGCGACCTGGGAGGATGCACCAACCGGGGGGGAAGTGGTGTCGAGGGTAAACAGACCGGATACCGTGTCCTGGGGGAACGTCGCAAGGGGGGAACCTGAGACTGCCTCGGTACAGACAGCAAACCGCTCGTGCCCAGGGAACGTAGTGGTGACGCCGAGGTCCTGAAGACGGCCGACACCTACCAGGTTCCTGGAGAACGAGGGAACGTGGAGGCCTATAAGAGAGCCCGAGGGAACGGCTCGACAGGGAAGGGAAGTGGAGCTGCGAGCGACAACAGGACCCGCGAAGAGGTTAGCGAGAGCGACAACAGCAGGCGCAGCAAGCGGCGTAAGCGTGGAGTGGTCGCGGAAGAAATAGGCAGAAGCACTGGAGTCAATAGTGAAGGACAACGAGGCAGTAGCGGAGGCCGGGAACGGAGCCGGTGCAGAAACTAGGCTAGGCAAACTAGGCCGTCTTACGCCTGACGCAGCAGGGGAGGCTAAGCTACACAAGGGTGCTACGCCTAAACTAGAGTACACAGGGTAATAAGATCTAGCAACACTAGAAGCGTCAGCATACAAGGCATGCAAAGAAGCACCTATCTGAGCCATATCTAAATCAAAGATCGGCA